TTTATAAATATTATTATTTATTAAGATTGTTTTTATAATAGCAAAAGTAAATAAAATTAATAATAAACTTTAAGTTATTAAGATAAAGAACTTAAATAATATTATTTATATTATATGCTTAAATTACTTTATTATAATTATTAATATGCTTATTAATAATATTGCTTAATATATATACTTTATTAAGATATTATTAATTAATCTTTAAATAGTAATAGCTAAACTTAATAATATAATAGCTTTATATAAATAACTTTTTATATTATTAAATATTTTTATAATAATAATAAGTAAATATTATATATAATATATAGGAGTTATAAGCTTATTTATAATAAATTTTAAAGCTTAAAGTCCTTTCTTATTAAAATATATAATTATAAGTAATATATTATAATTATTTTAATAGCTAATTTAATTAAAAGTTAATTTAAGCGGAAGAAAAAGTAGTAATAAATAAAGTATTTTATTTTTTCCTTATTAAAAATTATAAAGAACCTTAATGTTATAATTAATATATTTATAATTAATATTTTTAAAATTACTTATATAATAATTAATAAAGTATGTTTTATAATTATTTTTAAGTTTTTTTATAATTTAATTATTAAATATAATATTTAAATATTATTAAAGTTAGTTATATAATTACTTTTATTTTATAAGATATAGTGTTTAAATTTAAGTTTTTATATAATTATTAAGCTTTAATTATAAAAGGAAAGATAAATTTTTTAAGGTAAAACTTAAGTATAATATTAAGAAATAATAACTTTTATATATTATATTAATAAGCATTTTAACCTTAATATATTAATTAAAATAATATTTTAGCTATAATTATTAATTATATATAATTAAATCTTAATTTTAATTAACTTATTATTTATTAATTATATTATTTTAAATTAATGCTTATTTAATATATTATTTTAAAATATTAAAATTAAACTAAGTTAATACTACTTTATTTCTTTAATTTATTAAGGATTAATTATTATATATTATTATTTATATTATATACCTTACTTAATAATATTAATTAATATTAGCGTTAAGTTATTATAAATTAATGCTTTGTTTTTTTTTATAATAATTAACTTATATTAATATTTTATTAAATAAACCTAAGATAATAAGTTTTTTAATTAAGGTTAATTATAAACTTTTAATTTTTATATTATTTATTAAATGCCTTAATAACTTAAGGTTATAATATTTAATTAAGTTAATTATTATATTAATTATAAAATAAATAATAAAGTAAGGAAATTAATAAATAGTTAATTTTTTATAATAATTATAACGTTAAATATATATATATTATTATAAACTTTCTTTTAAGAATTTTTATTGCATTTTAATATTTTTAATTATAAAAAGACTGCAGCTAAATAAGTAACTTATGGTTAGTAAGTTTATAAGTATAAGTTTTTATATTATAATTTTATAAAAAAGTAAAGAAATTTATATAATTTATTATAAACTATTATTTTTTTTACTTAAAGTATTAATAATGGTAATTTATAATGAATTATTAATTATTTTCCTTATTATATATTAATTTATTAATTATATATAAAATATTTCTATATATTTAATATAAATATAAAATTAAATAAAGATTAACTTAAAAGTTATTTTTAAGCTTATTAATTATTATTAATAAGTTATATTTTATTATTTAATTATATTTAAAACTTATATTTTTAAATTGCATTATATTTATAATTTTTCTTAGTTTTAATTTTTTATCTTTATAAATATTAATGAATTATTAAAATAAGGCTTAATGTTATAATTATAAGTTTATTAAGAATTAAAAGAAGTTATAAAGATAATATTAATATAATTTTTATTAAAATAAATAATATTTAAAAACTTTTAGCTAAATAAGTATATTTAATGTTTATTTTTAAAACCCTTAAGGGCATAACCTTTTATAGGAAACTATTATATTAGCTAAAGATATTAATTATATTAATAATATTATTATTAACTTTATTATAAAAATAAATTATAAAATTAATTTTTATTATAATAAAGAGTATTTATTTTATTAATATAAGTTGCTAACTTTTAAGTAATAATCTTAACTTTTATATAGTGATTTTAATTTTTAAAATATTAGCTTTATTTAATAAAAGACTTAATTTTATATTATTTAAAGCATTAATGCTTTATAAATATATAATACTTAATAATATATTTATATCTTAATTAAAATATAAAGTATTTATATAATTTTTTAAATTAAAAGTTAAAATATTAATATATAAGATAAGCTTATATAATAATAGTTTTAATAAGCATAATAGCTTAATCTTAATTTATAAAATATGTTAAATTATATAGTTATTAATTAATATAATAAGTTAAGTTAATTAATATTATAATATATTTTAATAAAATAATACTTTATTATCTTTATTATACTTTACTTTATAATTTAAGTTATTATTAATATAAAGTATAAATATTCTTTAAAAGTTATTAATAATGGAGATATTATTAGCGTTATAAAAGTGCGTAATATATTAAAAACTTTAATTTTTAACTTTTAATAATAAAAAATATATAAAATGCTTATAAAAATAATAATTACTTATTATTTTCTTTTTAAATATCTTTTTATTTATTATAATAATATAAAGCTAAGTTTTATTATAAGTAAATTATATTAACGTTATTATATAATATAATAATATAATTACCTTATTACTAGCTTTTTAATATTATAAATAATAATATAATTATAAAATATAAAATTAAAAGAATGGCCCTTATAAGCTTTAATAAAGGTATTTATATAATATATTTAAGAAAGATTAAATTATATTATTAAATAAGTTTAAAAAGAATAATGCTTTATTTAAGTAATTTAAAGCATAGCGTTAAATTAATTTTATAATATTAAATGCTTAATTTTTATAAAAGTGCTTTTAATATTATATTAATATAAAATTTATTTATAATTATTATGTTTTTTAAGATTAAATTCTTAATTCTTTTTTTATTTACTTTATATAATATATTTTTAAAGCATTTTATTTTATAGCTTAAAACCTTTAAGAATAAGGTTTTTACTTTAATAATATTTATTTTAATAGCTTTTTTAAAGGTACTTAAAATTAAATAATTAATTAAGTTAAAAAGGTAAATAATATTATAATTATTTAAAATTATATTTAAAAATAAAAAATATAATATAAAATTTAAAATTATATATATTTTTAAGGAATTAATTATAATTAATAATTATAATAAATTAATTAAAGTATAAATAAATTAATAAAAAGTTAATAAAAATATAATAAAGATATTATTAATTAATTAGTTTTTTAAAATTAAGGTTTAAAAAAGTATAAGTTTATTTTATAAAAAAAAAAAAAAATTAAAAAAGGAAATTAAGATTTTATTTCTTAATAACTTTTAAAAATGCGCTTAAAAGAGTTTTTAATATTTTTAATAAGCTTTATATTTAATTTTTAAGTAAAAGGTTCTTTTAAGTAAGCTCTTAAATTAAGTTTTTATAGCAATTTTTTTATAATTATATTTTAATTTTATTATATTTAAGTTTTCTTAAAAATATTTTTAACTTTAAGATTTATTTTTTTAAAAGCATAAAATAAAGGTAATAATAATTAATAAAAAGTTAAGTATATTTCTTTTATTAATTAATTTTTTAATAAGGATATTTATATATTTTATTTTATTAATATAATTAAGATAATGCATTTTTATTCCTTAATTACTTTTTTAATTAATTACTTTTTATTTTAAAAAATACTTTTAATTTTAATATAATAAATATTATAATATTTTTAAAGGTTAATATAAGCTTATTATAATATAAAAATATTATTAATTCTTTAAATAAAGTTTTTAAGAAATAAATTAAATTTCTTAATATATTTTATTTAATAAATTCTTAGCGCTTAAAAATTACTTAATTAAAGATAATATATATTATAATTATTTATAAAAAGTTATTTAAATTAATAAATTCCTTAATTTTAAATAATTTATAAATATAAGCTTATAAATATAAATTTATAAAGTTTTAATATTATTATTATAATTTAATACTTAATTTCTTTACTTTTTTAAGTATTATTAATATTAAGTTTAAAAGGTATTTATTATATTTAACTTAAAAAGTAAAAGGTTATTTTTAATATTTTAAATTACTTATTAAATAAAGAATTATTTTATATTTATTATTTTAATTAAATATAAAAAGAAAATTAAGCTAAATATTATTTTTTATATTTATTTTTAAATTTTTTATTTTTTATTAAATTTAATTACTTTATTAAAAGCTAAGGCAACTTATTATTAAAAATATTAATTATATTTCTTTTTTAATTTATTAAAAAATAAGAAAAAAAATAAAGTAAGTATTATTTTATTTTTTAAAAGCTTATTATTACTTAAATGCTTTTAATATTTATTATATAAAGCTTTTTAAATATTTCTTTTCTTTTTTTTATATTATATAAATTAAGAATTTAATTTTAAGATTATATTTAATTACTTAAAAAAGGCTATATTTAATGTATTAAGGTTTATAAATTTTTAATACTTTTTAATTTAATAATAAAATTATAATATAATAAATTAAATAAGAAAAAAATAAATATTTAAATAAATTACTTAATTAATAAGGTTTAAAAAAGTATTTATAATTATTATATAAATATATGCTTAAAAATAAAAGGAAATAAATAATATAAAATAAATATAATTAAGATATATTTTATATAACTTATTTATAGCTTATAAAAAGGAAAGATTATTTTATATAAATTAAGTTTATAATTATAAAAGGCTATAAGTATTATAAGGGGTTTAAAAGTATAATTATAAAAGCGTTTATTTCTTAAGAGTAGTTTAGAAGGAGGAAATAAAAAAAATCTAACTATTTAAGCATTCCAGAAAGTGGTTGCAAACCAGGGTTAGGGATGTGCGTGCAACACAAATCGCACGCCAACAGTCCTTCAATGCTGCTGGTCCTGTTTACCACCGACCCAGGACCATGTTTCCACTTTGGCTTTGGCCCCGTCACTCAACCCATTGGTTCGCCAAGGCCAGGTCCGAAATTCAAGTACAGTAGCAACGCACACTTTACACCACAACAGAGTCCCAATATTTGATAGGGAGGCCGGGAAAGGGTTGTAAAATATCGGCTCGTTACAGGTGTTGACCCTCAAGCGGCACTTGGAGCAGATGGCCTCGTCCTTAATCGTGATCTCCATGTTGTTGTGGATGATCCGTTCGATATTAATGATGTCAGGAATCCAGGTTGGCCTGTTCTTGAATTTTCCGTAAATCAAGAGTTGAAGAAGGCTTCTGTTGACACGAGGATGCTTCTTCAGGATGTCCAACGTCTGCGGCAGTAGACCCGTGTCGATTCGGGTTACCCAGAGGAAAGAAACGAAGACGATTCGGAGTGGCGCTGCAACTATGTCGGTACACACTTCTTGAAAGGCGTCAAAGAAGTGACTCAACCATCTTGGTTTGTCTCGTTCAAGCCACCCATTGGTAGAAAGAAAGGCCATCGCATTGAGATGCTCTCCCAGTGACGACATCGCCACAGACTTGAGCGTTTCGAGCTGCACGTAGTCGGCCAGTTTCCAGCAGCGAACACAGAGAAGGGGAGTCTTGAGGTCATTGACATAAAGGCCTTGTGCAATCATCAGCTGTGTTCTAAGGTGAAACTCGACGCATGCCACTGTACCTTGACCATAGAGGTGCCGCAGCATGATGTCGACCGAATCAGGGTCAGCCTCAGGGAAGTCGATTTCTCCAGTTGTTGCCTCCTGTCAAGTGTTAGCGTCATTGTTTTTTGGTCTCTGGTCGCGCTTTTGAAGTGTCATGTACCACAAATGAACCGTAGAAGGCGCCCTTGAAGAAGTTCAATCTCGATGCCAGCAGCATGCGGTGCACCTTCCAAGTGCGACCTTTACACTTGACAGTGCCATCGGCGAGGTTTCCTGTCTGGAGCAGCTGAATGTCGATCTCTCGGAAATCTGGGCGATTGGGTTCGGACATCTTGAGAGCAGTGCTTGATGCGCGAGGTTAGGGGAAAGTTTGAGGTTGTGTGTAGTGATGAGAAATTGAAGTTTTGCTCTGGGCAGCTTGGTTTTGATGGTGGTGTCGCGAGGCTGCACGGGCGAGGTGGGGCAAATTGGCAACTGGTCGAATTTGACTGCCCTGCCCACTGCAAGCAAGCTGGGCAGCTCCTCTGCGGCCAGTAAGTTTGGACTGTCTGGCTTTCTATGTGATTTGAGTCCTGCACACGGCACCTGAAGCGAGCGTTTGGTCACAAGATGTGTTTGAATGTCAGAACCAGCCAATATTTGTCTGGTAAAGAGGAGCAGCAAGGCATAGCATGCACGTAACCTACACTTCATAGCCCCCAGCATGGCTTTTCAGTGTGAGAGGACATTATGGGAGACGGCCGTGGTTCAAGCCAACCATGTTTATCAATAGGAATCGTTGGACAGCACTCTTGTCCCGACATCTTCCTATGTTAAACATCCAATGCCTGGGCTCGACATTTGCCTCGCTGTGTTTTAGTGACCTCCAGCTGCCTCTCCAGCACCCGTTTCTTTACTCTGTTCAGGAGTTTGCGAACAATTCTACCTTTCCATTCGACGGTGTTCCTGCTCAAAAGCTTACACTGTGCGTTTACTTAGTAAACTCTCTCTACTTTGTGAGCGCATGGCTTAGTGCTCTCACTGATCTTGGGACATCGCAACAGTCCTGGCAATCGGACTCAACTTAGGTAACGCTGCTGTAATGTCATTCAAGGATTTCAGAGGAGTGCTTCTTTAATAAAAGCTCATCACGTTGCCAAGGAGATACAACCGTGCTGCTGACATTTTGAGATTAACCGGTGCCGTGTTAATTTGGCAGCTGCATGCCGAGACCAGTTCCTGCAGTGATGATCTACAGACAATGAAATGCATCGACTTGGCACTCTAATCTACCCACCTATCCGACAGCCAGGACGAATCAACGACAATGAGATTGATTGAGATGTGGTGGAGCCTGGTGAGGCTCTGATCTGGACGGCTGGATAAAGTGACTGAATCATTCCAGAAAAGCTTAATTTGACTTCGCAGGATGAGGTTGTACGACAGTCGTGACGCACGAGCTGCGGCTGTGGAGTCTCACGTTCGGGAGCGGTACCGGAAACTTTTTATCTAAGGTTTTCATCAGCCGTACCTCTTCACATGTTCTGATTGGAAAAGACCTGAGCTTCGCCCAAACGTATAAATACGCAGTGTTGAGTGAAGGTCAGGGCTACTGAATGAAGTGATTATTGAATCAGGAGCTCACAGAACCGCACCCGTGGACGTTTCATATCAGCTCATTTACTCACGCCGGGAAGGTCTGAGCCCTTCTAGCTCACGCCGAGGAAAGAACGTCTTTGTTTGCCCACCCATTAACAAGCTCACGCACCCGCCATAGCTAGCGCAAGCACATGCACATCACCAACACAACGAGTCAGACCAAAGCTTGCTCACACACTCATCCGCGGAGACGATCGCTCCCCCGCTTGCATACACCCGCCGCAGCCGCTATAACACCGCCGATCCTCTAGTCATCAAACCTGTCAATGGTCGGCCTCATCTTCCCGAACGGCCTAGCTTGGTTAGGTAGCCGATGCCGAAGCCGAATATGAACCCGACGGCAGGCGACCGCGGGACGCTGTCGCCGCTGCCCGAGTATCACCGCCGAGGCCTCACCGTGCTGACGGCGTTCTCCGCGCTCTCCTTCATCTCGACCACGTGCCTTTGGCTCTTCATCACGTACAAGCTGGTGTCGTTTCGATGGCACAAATTCAGACAGCGGAGGCAGAAGAAGAGAAAGGGGCAGGAGCAGATTCAAGAGCAAGTGGAGATAAGGGATCCGGACTTCTCTTTGGGCCTGGACCAGCGACATGAGCACCTCGAAGGTCGGACGATTCTCGACCAGCTGCAGGAGCTCGACAGGCTGCGGTCGGAGCAGGAGCAGCAGGGGCAGCACAACCAGCAGCAGAGCTCCGCGGGGGGCGAGGAGCAGATGCAGGATGGGATTGGTGACGACAAACAAGATGACTGCAACCCCTTCCCGATTCTGGTGTACCACCTCCTCCTCGCCGACATGCAAGAGGCGATGGCATACGGTTTGAGTATACACTGGCTGTCAGAAGATGGAATCTACGCTCCTTCGAGTGTCTGCTGGGCCCAGGGATGGTTTGGCTCTGTCAGCAACCTCGGTGCCAGCCTCTTCCTCTCGGCCATATCCGTGACCACATTCTGCACGATTGTCCTTGGACACAAACCCTCGAGGAGAACACTCTACGCAGTCGTGACTTGCATCTGGCTATTCACCTACGGCATCAACACAGCGGGTGTGCTCTGTTCTATGCGCAGCACACCGGTGGTCAAGATGGGCGAGTCATATTTCATGAGGGCAAATGTCTGGGTGCGTCCTCCAAACGCATCTTTCGAGACTGACCGAAGCTAACTGCGACTCATAGTGCTGGATCAGCTCCGAGTACACCCCCTGGCGCCTCTGGTCCCACTACTTCTGGGTCATAATCTCAATAACCCTCACGTTCGGCCTCTACGCAATCGTCTTCTTCACCCTCTGGCGCCAGAAGCGCAGCTGCCGCCACATGCCCCAGCCGCCTGCACACGCCCGAGTCGGCCCGCCGCGAGCGCGAGGCCCCCCAAAAGTCGGGCTACCACCCGGCCTTCCTGGTGTACCCCTTCATCTACCTCATCTGCATCGCCCCCCTCGTCATCGGGCGCGTCTCCATCATCCTGGGCTACGACCTGGGCATTTGCTTTTTTGCGTTCGCGGGGTCCATCCTCGCCGCCAACGGGCTGTTCAACTCGGCGCTGTGGACGACGACCATACTCTTCAGCGCGCCAGACGACATGCTGGCCACGGGGCTGGACCGCTTCAGCTTCATGCGCACTCCCGCGCGCAATTATGGCCACACCGTTATCATCAGCGGCCCCGTGAGCCAGGGCTACGCGGGGACGTACCGCGCCAGGCAGCAGCAAGAGAAGGAGAAAGGGGGCAGGAGGGAGTGGTGGTGGTGGCGGTTCGGCGGCCAGCGACCCTGGGGCAGGTCTTATGTTAGCACGCATGAGTGCCTGAACCCGGACCTGATACGGGTTCATTCTACGCCGACGCCCGTGGTGGAGGGGCCTTATATCCACATGAATGTTGTCACTCGGGTGGTTGTTGAGGATGCGAATAGAAAGGAGGGTAATTCCTAGAAATACATGGTTTTCATTCTGTGGCTCATACTGTGCAACTCGTAGAACCACCCATAATCCTGTTCAGACAGTGGTTTCTCATGGCGGCTGTCGTCCCTGGTCGGAGCCTCCGTCAACTGGACATGATCTGCATCCCGGCCCCCCAGTTGATGTCGAAACAGTTCCATCGTTATTCATCCTTCTTCAACAGTTTTCCTCGCAACTCCCGCGCAGAGAACATGGCGCCAGTCATGTGCTCCTTGGTTCACTACACTCAGTTCCATCTCCATTTGTGCCCCATCAAGAAGCATCACTCCGTGTCCCTTTCAATGTTCTCACATTCATCATCGTCCTTGCGCGCAAAGGGAAGATCGATGTCAACGCTCTTGATCTGAGAAAAACTGCCGACATCGACACGGTGCGGGGCCACAGCAGCCTCTTCCTCCTCGGTAAGATCAGCTCCCCACGGAACCCAGCCCAGGCGGAGCTCGGAGAGTGCGCCGCTGACCTCATCGAGCGCCTGCTGTAGGGTTATGGCGAGGGCCTCATCCGCCGGCAGCGCAGGAGTGGAAAAGTTGACGTTCCACTCCGTGGCATTAGTGGTGTAGCAGAGGCTCTTGAGATTCTTGCTGTAACTGAGCATAAGCCGCAGCAAGGCAGGGTGGGTCTTGGTCTCATGCAGCTTGAGCTCGGTGATGTGTAAGAAGGCCAGGAGATGCCGCGGGTGCTCGGTCGAGAGTGGCCACCCGCCGTGGTCGGTGGAGCAGAGGAAGAACCAGTTGCCGTCATCACGAAATAGCTCCCACTGCTGACATTTGAGGTGTTCCAGTTGAACGTGCGGCTTGAAGTTGACGTCTTTGCTTGGATCGGCTTGTTTCCTAATGGAGCGAAGGGTCTTGAAGGGGTTCTCCCTGTCAGCCCGGGCCTGAACGGAGCTCGGGATGTGGGTTTGGCCAAAGGTCCAGTCCTCAAATGCTGCGGGCGAGATGTGGTGATCGAATGAGGGCTCTGGGACAGTGACCAAGATGTCCTGAACTTTGGTTTGTAGACGAATGACAAACTGAAGCAGTTGCTGATACAACTGATGGAGGCCCCGTTCGTAATCATCCCAGTAGGAATCGCCCCTACCGAAATGGTAAAGCACCCGCGGGAGAGCGTAGACCTCATCCGGCACAGGTATAGCCTGAATGTGGTCGGAAAGTTCAGGGAGAAGAGTCCTGACATCATGAAACAATCCCAACATCATGCTTTCCTGATCACGGGTCTCGTGTTTGTCCAACCAAGCCATTGCTCGTGTCAAGATCGCGCGGTCTTTCTGCCTGGAGTGTTCATCATACTCCAAGCCTGCAACCACAGCAAGACTTCGGATCCATCCTCGGCGATTGTTGTAAGTCATGAGGTTCACCAACAGGGTCGCTGTCTGGACGTGGGTGGTGATTACGACGTTCTTGTAGATCAGGGGCAGGGCGATTTCGTTGCACTCTTTGGAGGTGAGGCATAGGTTGACAAGTGCCTTTCGGGAAGCCAAGGTGTCTGTGGGGAGGGGCAGTCCGGTCCCAATTGGCAGTGGATCCGGCATGAGGCTCTCGAAAACTCTGATGACGATCTCTGCCGGAAGGTCAAACAAGTTGAAAACAGCAGTGGCCACTGCTGTGTTGACGATCCGAGATGCGTCTGCACCCGCTTGGTTGGACTCATCGAGTGAAGTGGCCACAGGGGAGATGGCTGCTCCATCATACTGGGCTGTGGTATCCTCCATTTTATCAGTGATCGCAAACCGGAAGAGCAGGTCGGCTTGTGGTCGGCTGGGAGGCCGTGATGAGGATCTAGATCAATGTCAGACCTAAAACAACAGGAGTGACGGGTTGCGTAGGACACACTCACTGGTTGTGTGCCCGAGAGTGAGTCAGGCAGAGATCCCGATCGTTGGTACCAACATGAGAAGGACCGACTGAATGAGACCGTTCGGCTCAAGAAAAGAAGGAAAGGAACCAGTAAATCAGTACAGCTTCCAATGCACAAAAGCCGAAGGAAAGGCGATATTTTCTCGAGACAAAGTGTCGGGAAAGGAAGGAAGCAGAAAGTCTGCAAACATCCAGTGCAAACCATAAGGAAAAGGTGACGTTGGTGCAAGAAGAAGGGAAGGGAAAGCCGCAGCTTCTGGTACAGCTCCCACGGGGAAAGACGATGTTTCCCTGTTTCAGGCCGAGTGTGAAAGTCCCATGTTGACGGCTTGTCCTCGACGACACTCGGTGACCCACAGCACCGAGTTGTGCGCCTTCAGGGGCTAGACGGAACTGAAAATGCCCGGCGGTAGACCCAGCTTCACTGAGCTTGTTCATTGTAAGAACTCCTCCATGATCTTGGTTAGATATCCTTCTTTTCCTCATGGATATGACAGCAGCCGACCATATGTCCGGGCAAGAACGACATCATCTCAGGGATTTTCATCCTCCAGAAATATTCAGTAAACCCTGAATGGCCATGAAAGGCTAGAAACTTAGCTTGAGATATGCCCATGTAATCAAGACAAGTGACTTACATGGAGGGTGGTTGGTGGACATGTCACATAAGTCGTTGATGTATGAAGGGAGCAGAGCGGATCATCATCAAGATCAAGCAAAAGCAGCTGCAAAGACCATTGAGCTCGAGAGGTCCTTTAGCCACCTTGATATGCTTTGTTGCATCCTCAGAGTCACAAAGCCCTCAGGGTGACGAAGCCAGAAGCCGTCATGGCAGGCCCAAGCATGACTCAGGCTGCGCTGCTGTGATGATCCACTGCTGTGTACGGAAGTACACGCATACCCGAACCCAGCAGCATACGGGCAGCACATCAACAGCCGACGAATGGTTAGCCAGTGCGGCCGGGCCGATCCCTTTGGGCCTCGAGACCCGCCTGCACCCCGCAAAATACCACGAACTGTCGATGCGGAGACGATTCCTGGGGGAAATTGCGGGGATACTCGTGACGGGGATGGCTGAGATTTTTATATGTGCTTTCATGTTGCCCATGATGAGTGTTTCCGTTTGGTGTCCATCATGACGAAGCGGGAGATAAATCAGGAGACCCTTCTTGAAAGCGCCTGCTTGATGGATGCAATCGATGGCATTCGGCTCGGGGGTACAAGCCGTGGGAAACGTTGGTGGAACGAAGATGACAAGACACGATCCCGAGGGAGCGGATCAACCCATGTCATCTGCCTTGTAAGAGCCGACCTGTGGGGTTGACCCGCACTTACTCCGTAGTGTCGCTATCCCTTGGACTCCCCATCGGATCAGGTACGGATGCGGCCTGCCATGTGTCGTGCCGGAGTTACCCCGGATGGGCCAACATAAAGACGAGTAGCCCCGGAGGCGTAGGTATTGAGGCGACCGGGAATCTGGGTGTTCCTTTCGATCAGCGTTGCGGGGAGTGATTACCACAATGGGCTCAAAAAGGTCTCTTCTGGGCGCTTTCGCCTTGGCTCTTGGGATCTCGGAGGTGGTTTCGTCCGTGGCGCCCACGAACACCTCGTCTCCAGACCTCACCAGACTTCCAGCGTTCAAATCCAAGCCGAGGGTTTTCAATCTCTCGGACATATCGGCCGAGGTCGATGACACCGAGTCTCTTGTCCGGTATCTCCTGTACTCGAACGAGTTTGACACTCGCGGATTGTGGGAGTCACTCGAGCGGCGATCTGCGCTCCAAGTAACGCAGGGCATTTGCAGTGGAGGCGTACGGAGAGGTCGTCGATAACCTGAACAGCCACGTCAACCCCGAAGCTCAATATCAAAATGCAAGCACACTGCTGAATCGCGTCACATCAGGTCCAACGGTAGGTTCACATCTGCGCCTACGTATTATGGACAGCCACTAATCCCTCGATTTAGGTCTTCGGAAAGGAAGCACTGTCGATCGCCCCTAGTGAAGGCGCCTTGCTCCTAGTGCAAAGTTTGGAAGAGTCAGAAGAGCCCCTGTGGGTGCCAGCATGGGGAGGCATCAATACGCTCGCCCAGGCGTTGCAGTATATCCAGGACAATTATTCCGAAGACGATGCCGCGGCGCTCCGCTCGCGCCTGAGGGTGTACACCATCTCGGACTAGGATGACAGCGGGCCCTGGATCCGCGCCAACTACCCGGACATCTTCTACATCGTACGCGTGGAACTCGTACTACGCATCCGCCTGGTTGGGAATCTCTACTGCTGAGGCCGGGTCCGACTCGACCAAGGTGCCCAAGACATGGCTGGGAGAGAACATCAAGATCGGTGGAGCTCTCGCCGACCAATACCCCCTGCCCTTGTACATCACGGAAGGAGACTCGCCCAGCTTCCTCTACCTCGTCCAAAACGGTCTCGGACACCCAGAGTATCCGAACTGGGGCAGCTGGGGTGGACGCTACGGCTACGTCGTCCCGGGGATCCAGTCAATACTCCGACACCGTCGACCAGATCGTCGGTGCCGACGGAGCCTCGTACACGAGCAACAAAGCCGGCGTCTACCGCTGGCGGGACCACTTCCAGAACGACTTCGCGGCCCGCATGCAGTGGTCCGTGACCTCAGACTTCGGCAACGCGAGCCACCCGCCCGTGCCCGTCGTGAACGGCACGCAAGGTCCGGACTCCTTGAACATCACCCGTCGCGGCGGGGCAGACGGTCGTGCTGGACAGCAGTGAGTCCTACGACCCGGACCACCCTGAGACCACCGAGAACCTGCAGTTCGAGTGGTACCACTACGCGGAGCCCACCGAGTATGTCACCAGCCCGGGCGGCCTGACGCACCTCAACCTGACTGCCCTGGCGCCCCCTGAGGGCACAAATGGCACCCTCCCGAGTAACGATGCTGTGTTCCAGAATTTGGTTCTTGGTGAGACTGTCGGGGTTGACATTCCGAGTGACAAGACTGGGCTGGCGTACCACGTCATCTGCAGGTGACGAGCCAGACTGCACCGCTGCCGCTGAGGAGGTATCTGCGTGTTGTTGTTAATGTGGAGGCATGACCGGGTAATGAGGCTCTGTGAACAAGGGCGGGGATGGAAGATAGCAAATGTGTTACATTACCTCATCTATAATCGAAATTTCAAGTATTCACATCCCACAAACTGCCCGTACCACTGCGGCAGTTCTACTGACAAGCTTTTGGCTGAGCATCAAATGTGATCGATGTGATGATACAACTCACATGAGTGCAATGTTTCCCGTGTGAATACTAGGGCCTTTTGGCACTCTGATGGGCGGTGCGAGGATTTTCTTGTGAGCGTAATTTGGAAGCCCACTTAGTCGGGTGGAAGTCTGGGCGACTCGTCGTATAGACAACAACTCCTCGTCGCCATGCTGTGTCTCCTCTATGCTCCATCCTCAGGTTTATAATCTTAAAAGCCCAGAAGTCGCTGCCCGTGCTTATGGGGCTCGCTTGCGGCCCCTTTAGTAGGTCGCCACTTTATCATTGCGCCACGAACAATTTGAGAAGCTTGGCCGTCATCCTTTTTTGTCAAGTGTTTAGTCCTGCCAAGGGCTACATGACCTCAGCGGGTTTCAGTCCCCACGCAGCTTTTAACTCTGCGAACATTCTCTGAGCGATACGGACTTTGGCGCCGGCACTGACAGCCGCATGGGGTGCGGGAGTGGGCTTCAGGTCAATATCTCCCCTGCAGTGGCATGTTCCGCCAAGCTTCGCCATGCCGGAGCGGCATCCAACTGTGGGAAACGAAACTTCCAAGAAGCCAAGACCACCCATGCCGGGCCCCTTGCATTAGATTGCCTCCGACTTGGCCCTCGCGCGTTTGTCAGTCAATGAGAAGAGATGCTCTCACCAACAGCCCAAAGTGTGGCAGTTGATGCCTCGCTGCTCTAGATATAAAATGTGTTCGCCATACCCGTGAGAAACATTTCGAAACATGATCAGCAACCATCCCACTGTTCCTTCCCACTTTTCGTTTCACTCGTTCATATTATAAAACATTCATTATGCATTTCAGCAAGCCACTCATTCTCCTAGCCGGCCTGGAGAGCCTTTGCAAGGCGGCTATTTTCTCTGCTGATGCCGACACCGACATCTCGGTCTGGGGGCGCTCTACCCCATCTACCACCACCAACGTTCCCAAGCACCGCAGGCGCGTTGTGCGACAGCGACAGCGCCTGGGCAGCAGGCAGTCTGCCTGGAGCCCGCCGGCGGATCTGGCCGCCCCACTGAAAGAAGTGTGGGACCACACCCTCGAGACGTACAACAACGGCGATGCGCTTGCCTTCAAGAACTACGGGTGGGATCAGCTCAAGGCTGGCAACGGGTATGTCTCCGCGGTCCTCACAAAACCCAGCACTCGGGAGTACACTGACTAACATCGCAACCACACAGCGCCCTGAACTACTGTGTCCGGTGGGAATCAGACACGACCGTCTCCCAGGCCCAGCGCGACCAGATCGCCACGGCGGTCAACGAGCAGTACCAGAAGTGGTTCAGCTTCGTCTACGGCTACGACGGCTTCCCCTACTCCAACATCAGCGTCAACGTCGTGGGCTGGGCCGTCAAGGACGCGAGCCTGCTCGAGGGGTCCACCGAGGGCCTCGACATCTACACGGACGTCGACGGCGAGGGCATCCCGCAGTGCGCCGAGTCGTGCGGCCGCTTCTTCAACCAGGCCGGCGACTACAGCGGCTGCGAGGGCGGTGCCGAGAGGCACTACGACATGTCGCTGTGGCTTACCGACGGCATGGGCGGCGGCGCGGGTGGGGACTGGGGCCAGCGGATCGGGGCGGAGTATTTCCTGCAGGCCCTTGGCTCGGAGAACATCCACATCCTGCTGCACGAGATGGGGCACACTTTCGGCCTGGACGACTTCTATGACTGGACGCCCACGGGACAGACCTCGTTCATCATGCTTGCGGGCGCGGCGCAGGAAGTCACTGAGTTCGATGGGTGGATGCTTCGCAACTGGTGGTATGAGCTGTCCCGGGAGAGGGGCTGGCAATCTTAAATCTTCGATCTGCGAGGTCAGTGTGCCGTTTGGGTTGACGGAACGCCACTTGAATCTGAGGATCGGCGTCTGATGACCCTTTAAAATAGGATGAATCACTATATTGACACCCGATTGTGTCACAAAGCCTCCTGTTCCACGCGCATCCATCAGAGCAGATCACATTCCTGAACTCATCGGGGCTTCGAACTTGTCTCTTGCGTGTAATGAGGGAAGGCCCCTTGAGCGCATTTTCTTCTTCCTCCATAGGCAACACACGATATACTACGTAGAGCTACCTCCGCTCTGAGTAACACATAGTTCCTTGTTCAGACCTATTCTCACCCCCCACTTGGTTACATGTTCGATATCTCGGGCCTAGTAGAAAATGTCGACAGCCTATGTTCGACGCAGTATACGAATACATACTGCACATCACATATAGGTGGATACACGTCTTTAGTAGGCGGTTAGTCTCTCTCGGCAGAAAAGTCCAGACCCGGGCTCAAAGCGCTATTTGTCTAGAAGGGGTGCTGATAAATGCGTGCTATAGCATTAGAAGGTACTTAAAGCTGTTGGCCTCTTAGCACGTCAAGATTAAGTCAGTACAGACGGTGAGTTCTTTCATCAAAGCAACTTTTCAAAGCACGTGGTCTTCGGCCTACTGTTCGCCGCATAGCTGTCCTGGCCATTTCCATTCTGTCAAGACCAGTATGCCCCCTGATCACAGATACCCGTCCTCTCGCCATGGATACTTGATCTCCTTGGCACACTCCACACACCATTCTCTAGAGTGGCTCCAGCCGTCTGACCAGTTGAATGGATCCCCTAGTTGTCCATAGGCCTTCTTCGTCCAATCATTTTTCTCCAACTTACCGCGACATCGCACACAGGTATCACACCGTGACCCAGCGGCCGGCACGGGCGTCTTGCAGCGCGGCGGGGTCCAGACAGGAGGTGGCGTCCTCTTACTCCATCCCCCGCAGAAAGGAGGCATGGGTTTGCAGTGGTGTTCCATGTCGTCCAAGAAGCGCCGGGCATTCTCTCTAAGCCAATCTCGGATGCCGATGTAAGTGGAGTAGTAGTTTGTCAGGAACGTATTTGACGCCCACACAAACTCCATCAGCATAAAGCTGATGACGGGAGTGTTCCACTTGTCTGTTTCGAGGATCGCGGCCTTGAGATCGTCGACCCAGATCAGAGCCTTCTTCTCGTTCCGGTAGTCCTCGGTCATATTTCCTCTCGTCCACATCCACCTGGTCTTCTCGTCGCAGTAGTCTCCGATGTGGCGCTGGACGACGGGCAGCAGTGGCTCGAGGAGAAAGAAATCGGCGGATCGATATAGCTCGGCGCAGAACTTGAACACTGGCCGATACCTCGTCTCTGTGGCCATGTCTATGGCTGCGACTTGACTGAATGTCAGACACGAAAACACCTAATCAGGCCACTATTGCTGTGCTCACCACCCCCGTAGATGTACCTCAGGCACACCTCAACGGCTTCGGGATCCTGCTCCTCGATTCTGATGACTCCGTCGAATGCGTCCTGGTTAAGTTTCATCTGGCCAACCTGTTCAGATGTCAGCTAGTCAGATATTATAGAAGTGGAGGGAAATAATGACGCTGCACGTACCACATAGCTTCCAGTGATGGCCGTCTCGAACCAGACGCTTCTGGTGCAAAGAATGTTCCTATGTAGGTTCCACGACCTGGGACCGCATTCCACAACGATGTCGGAGAAGAGGCCGGACTCAAAGAGTCTCAGGTCCCCGGACCTGTACGCCGTCTCCTGTTCCGGGTCTCCGGCCATGGTGGATGGTGGCGTGGGTGTAGGTAGGTCTGTCGGTTGCTGGATGCCAAGTGTGTTATTTCGGCCGGCCTCACTTGATGTGTTGTCGGTGGACGGCTGCTGTGGAGGTCTTCGTGTTAGGTCGAAAGAGAAAAATGGAAAGGTCTGTCGTAACGAGTGGGATTTTGGTAATTTATGTTCCAGGGTCAGCAGCTGAAAGCTCAGTACAGAGGTGACTTCTCGACTCCCGAGTTAACTTCAGGGATCGTCACCCCGGGAGAGCTCAAAGTTTCCTGCATCTTTCGACTCTCACTCTGGCGAGACCAGCAGTGAACTCGCGGAAGACCAGTATTTGTATATGCGACAGTGAACGCCTCTGGGCAGCTAACTTGCTTAGTCACCTCTGGAATTGTCTTCCCTTTGGGGTCAGCCATTGTTCACTAGAGAGGAGCGGGCTGTTCAACACAATGTGGACTTTCCAGCCACCCGTTCTGAAAGTGTTCCGTATGGGATGGCGAGTTCGATTCGGGCAAGACGAATATGGTCAGTATTTGAATGCAAGATTGAAAGGTAACTCAGTAGAGGTCAATATCAGAGTCTACATACAGGAGACCATGAGTTACTTGGCGATGTCGCTATCACATAGTGCTTGACACTGATAAATTAGGTTGAGCCGGTGGCCTGTCGGCCTTGACGGAAGAGACGTTGGCAGAAGAGATCGGCTTGTTGCCAAGCTTGACTGAACCGGAAACTAGCTGAGGCGCGATATTAGGAAGACGAAGACCTCAATGTCAAATGGTAGCTTATCACACAACACCGGTCTGCAGAACTAGATCCAAGAATCACTTTATAAAGCCTTATGCATCAGAGATGACTGTAATTGCCTACAGATATCGTGCTTCTTGTTCGAGTAGGGCAACCAATGTCGTCCTGCCTTGGCTAAGGGCCTCAGAGATACACAAAGTTTGGAGTAGTGTGTATTCCGTCCTGTCAAAAAACCGCTAGCACATTGTCAGTATGGCTACTCATAGACTGGCTATTGCGTCACGGAATCAGCTTCTCGGCTTGCATACGCACACTGACGGAAGGCCATTTCTGGGACCAAAGCAGTAGACTTGCGTAAGTGTAGACGGCCTTTGTTGGCTGATTGAATAGATTGCCTATAGGTGAGAGATTGAGGAAACTTATATACTGTCCTGCTAGTCCTTTCTACCGATCCACGTTATTCATTGTGTCCACAATATTTGTTTCAATCAGCCACTGCATCCTGTTTCTTCCACAAATGTCCGAAGGTGGGGCCGAAACGCTTGTTCCTCACGTCAACAGCGTGTTGCGTCTACCTTGTGTTTGCTGAGTATTTATTTTCGGTTGGATCGAAAGTGATTAAGTAGTACAGGTTTCATGTCGGGGTGAGGGCATCATGCTTGCTGAGGTGACTGAGTTTGATTGGCGGATGCTAAGCAACTGATGGCACTTCTGTGTCACGGAACAGAGGTGGCACGCTTGAGTGCTCTCAGCACATTTCGAGCTCCATACACAAAATTGTGGAATATTCTTTGATTGTAAAAGCCAATAATTTGATGTGAAAACTTTTGACGGCTCTTTTCTGCGATTGCCTACCTCGACTCTGGTGCGATGTCTTACTTAGCCTTGATTCCGACTAAAGTGGTCGCCGGGTGACTTTTCACCACTGATAAATTCCATCTTGGCGACCAGAATCCCCCAAAACTTGATAACCAGGCTCTCCCACATGCCACCAGTGACGACCTAGTTGTGGCTGAACCACCAATCCTCGACGACATGTGCGCGCGCCAATCAGCATCTGCTCTATCGCCACGGAATCGTGTCCATCGCAGCACATTCCTTGCACCATTCTCTGAGAATTGTGTTGTTGACTGTCATGATGAATGGATCCCAGATTTGCCCATATGCGTCTGAGCTGCCAAGACGGAACTTTACCAACTCCTTATTGCATCGGACGCAAGTTGCATGCCATTGCTGAGTGATGGCAAGACTTGGAGGATTGGGGGCCCAGGCCGAGTCCTTCCACCATGGAAACAGGGTGCAGTGAAGGAGCATGTCTTTGATGAAGGCAGGCGTGCTGTCGAGATCGTCTTGAATGCCGATCCAGGTAGATCCCAACAATGCCCTTCGTCCCACCCAAACAAACTCCATCAGTGTCTGCTTGATGGGCACAGCGTTCCATCTGTAGGCCATTTCGATTCCATCTACAAGATCCCTGGTCCACCGTAGGGCCGTTTGATCGCATTTATTGCCCAGCCCAGAGCCGCGTGTGCACATCCATTTTAGCTTTTCATCATAATGGTCCCCGAGCCGGCGCTGTATGATTGGCAACATCGGGTCAAGGAGGAAATAATCTGCTGCCACGTACAGGCTGACACAGAATTGGATGACTGGTTTGTTGGTCGTCTCTTCAACCATGTTCAATGCTGCGGCTTGGCACGACTTTAGCAATGCACGGGACTTGTAGTCGTCGATGTACTAACCTCCTCCGTAAATGTATTTCAGAATGACCTCTATGGCTTCTGGGTCGTGATCCTCGATGTTCACCTTTCCAGATGTTGCTTCCTGTTCAATCACCCAAATAATCAGCTCAGATGTCTTCTTTGGGTGACTTGGCTGACGCCCGTATAGTACATGCCTTAAAAGCCCCAGCCAAGGCTTTCTCGAACCAGACGCTTCTAGTGCAGACCACAGCTCTGTGGATCTTGAAGGTCTTGCCACCGCAGATGATCTCTGCGTCCGCAAAGTTGCCAGTTTCGAGTAGCTTCATGTTACTGGCCCTGAGGTCGTCGTCCGGGGGCGTGGAGTTTGCCATGATTGATGCAGGAGTGCTGCGATGCAGGATTCGTGGGGGATTTCAGGATTATGAATATGTGTAGAGTCGTTCGGTTTCGACCTGATGATGCTGAGAGCGTGGATTTGATGCGAAAGTTGGGTTATTGCTTGCAAAACTTAGGAAGAAAGTTGAAAGGTCTCTGCCTCGGACCTTCCCTCAGTTGTTGACTGGGCCCACTTTTACGTCTCGGAAGGTGACGAATGGCAGGGGATTTTGGTGCAGTGAGGGCAACGGACCCCAATCCAGACTCGAGATGAAGCGTCCCTTGAGAAAAGCTTTCAACTTCCGCCTGCAGTGAAGTCCAGCAAATGCCAGCACGGTGCTCAAGAATGATGAAACTCCACTGAGCAACGGAAAGCATCTAAATTACTGGCTCACTTGGGCCCCATGAATGTTCTCTTCCTGGGAACTGGACCCTTGTACCTCAGGCGAGATGATCAGTCCGATTGGCACTGTAATTGACCATTTAAGCCACACCTCCTGACTATCTACACCAAATGACTTGGGGCACGGTTGGGCCAAAGCGAATATCACGAACCTCTCTTTGCAAGAGTGCAAAACCCAAGTGAGTACGAAAGTAGCCTTGTGAGATACTGCGGTATATCATTGCTACCTCAGCAGAGGGTGACATGTCGTGGTGTCAACCTCGTGAGCTTCCATGTCATTCAACGTTGCACGCGATGAAAATTAAGAGCCCGCCAAGCTTGGCTGCACCAAGACTATATCCCCGAGGATGCAGTCACGCAACCCAGCCTTGACCAGCCACCCTGCATCAGTGGTCGTTGGCTCCCCCCTCCCGCCACGGGGTCATGTCCAGATTCCCGCAGTCCCGGCACCACCCAAGGCCGCCGTCAAGGCCAAAAGGGTCGAGGATCTGTCCCTCTGCTTGCTCATTATTTCCCCAGAATATCTCCGTGCCGCATCTTCGGCATGTGGCAGTCCAGGTCCTCCCGCTTCTGTGTGGGGCCCAAACCGCACTTTTCGTCGATGAGGTAGAAGCAAAGAATGCTAGGAGGTCCGCCACAAAGGCCGGTGTGTCCTTGAGGTGGTCGAGGGTGGTCGAAACTATGCGTGCATCCAAGGTGCAGCGCCTTCCAGCCCATGTGAACTCCACCAGTACTGCTTTCAAGCCCTCAACGTTCCACCTGTAAGCGCCCCGAATGCCGATGATCATGTCAATGGCCCACGCGGTCAATTTTCCCTTGATTTCGTTCGCCCACTTGGGCCGAAAGAGCCTTGTGCAGAGCTGCTTCATTCGCCTGTCGCAATAGTTGTGAACAGCTTTCTCCACGGACGACTTCAACGAGTTGAGCAACAGGAAGTCGGCAGTCTGCCAGAGAGACACACATTCTCCCATGAAATGATCCGGGGAGATTGAAGACTCCACGTCGAGACCTCATTTCCTGTCTTAGTATCAGGTAATACTTGTGGTCGGGACATGTCGCTCACCATTACCGTAAATGTGCTTCAGCGCAAGGTCGACAAAGATGGGGTCCTTCTCTTCCAGGTTGACTCGTCTGCTGCTGGCCTCCTGCGTGTAAAGATGGTCAGCTTCGACCAAGACGAGGACCGACCGTCGACTGACGTACCTGGAAGGGACCGGAGAGAGCTTTGCGAAACCAGACCGAGCGGCTTGCCAGGATCGCTCTATGGCATTTCCACACGCGTTCGCCGCAGACAGCTTTGATGTCGGAAAAGTTGCCAGAAGTTAGGAGACTGCGTCAGGAAAGGTTAATTGCCATATAAAATGCCAGAGGAGGTTTGAATGGAGCAAGAAGTTCTGGTGTACTCTAGTTCTCTGGCTCGGCAATCATCCGCATCAGCAGCATTTACTGCCATGTTAGTGGGCGTGTAGGGGTGTGTAATGATTTGAAAGGGTGCAGTAGGAGGGAGGTTGACGTGTTGTATTCTGCGTGACGCGGTGTTGCCCTGGAGAGAGCCGTGCTCTAGAAGTGTATGTTTACACGCAAAAGTGATGCAGGGTCAGGCTAAGCTGGTTCACGCTCAGGACTGCTGGAGTGAGCTTGGAGCTGTATGCAAGCCTGCTGGGGGCCAGCCCAAGGTCGAGCTAGCTCAAAATCCAGAGCTTCGACCTCAAGGGCTAGACGAGTTCGAGGGTAGCTTACTTGCATCTCAAACTCGTTCTACGATCAGCTCTGATAATAAAGTAAACATTCATGAGGCTGTGATATATCTTAAATGTACTTCTCTGTCAAACGTGAAACTGGCTTTGCTAGGGTGGCTTAAGCTGTTTTGCAAAGGAGGGTTCGCCGTGTTGGGACTCTACAGCAAATTGGGTCCATGTTTCTAGTAGATACAAGGCTCTCAAATTCTTCAAGGTTCTCTGTAGAAGCGCTGCTTTCACATCGACAATTTTTATGCTCGAGGGCTGTAACTTCAGGATTGAAACCAATGGCATTGAGCCCGCGGAGCTCCCGGCCGCATCGGCAAAGCCGAGCTCCGACTCATGTTGCGCACGCAGAACTCCACAAATTGCGTGCTCAACCGCCATCTCCGACTTCACATCCATCATCAGTAACCATTCACAACCATCTGGAGCACAGCGCGACAACTACAGCTTTCCGCCTCACCACACTGAAGCCTTTTCAAGGTCAACAAATTCTCCGGACCTGCCTGACCAACTGCTCCTCAAAGCTCGCTGACAATGACTATGGTCACCCGATCCACCCCGCCGCCTCCCCAGACCGACCTCAAGACCGTCGTCGAGAGCCGGAATCGAGAGTGGCACTTCCACATTTACTTCCTCATCCAGTCGGAGACCGAGACTGCCGCTGCTCTTGCTCTTCGTGATGCCGTCCTAAGGCTACGTCGCGACGGTGAGTGTCACACTGGGAGCAGCCTCCGCCTCGAAGAGTTGCAAGAGGTCACAGAGCCTCGCTTGCTGACAAAATTCTGATAACAGGGGCCTTTGTTGCTGTCCCGCTGTTCAGGGTTAACCACTACCCGATAGGGCCCCATCCGGCTGGGTCGTACGAGAGTGAGTAGTCATCACTCCTAGGGAAACGCCTGACCTACGAGACTCGATGCTGATGGCTCTTTGACCGGCAGTCTGGGTGCCTGATTCTTCATTCTCCGATGTCTTCTTTTACCTATCCGCCAACCGTGGCAACCTCAGGTGAGTCCAATGTCTTCTTCCGGTCCACGAAGTACCGACCAGCCCAAGCACAGCAGCTAACACTGCAGCCAGCATCCTCGTCCATCCCTTGACATCAGATCAGCGCGGAGACCACGAGACCCGGAACGCCTGGATGGGCACGCCGTGGCCCATATTCCTCGACGGCCTGCCGGTTGAGGGCGAGATCCCGCTGCAGTACCCGGAGCTAGGCCGCGGCTGGTCCACGTCGCCGAGGCAGGAGATGTCGCTCGAGGAGAGGCGCAAGAAGGGTGCGGAGGTCGAGGCTCTGCTGGCTAATGATCCGGAAGCGGCTCCGGCTCCTAAGGATTGAGGAGAGTCTCGATGGGAGTCAGGTAAAGGTTTCTTAGGGTCAAAGCTCGCAGGTTATCAAGAGCGCGTCGGGGACGGACCTCATTGTAGGTGAAGCAGACATGAATGTGAGATGTGGAATATTTATTTAGGTATGACTGGAGGGCTCCTAGCCTATGCCTTCTTCCGGACAATCTTTCGGTATGATCTTGATCTCCTCCCATGATCTCAAGCAAGCCCATTCAACTCGACACTTCGCTCACCGAGCCAAGGCGAAGCTACAGGGGCTTAGGCGGGAAAAGCTTCGTGGCCTGGCCCGGCGCCTCAACCTGAGCCCGAGAGTAATTGGTGCCGAAAGCGCTACCTGGGTTGTTGGCAGCGGACATGAGCTGTGCATCACCTTGGACGTACGGTGACTGCGGGCCGTGGGCCAAGGTGGTCAGAACATGGTTGCCAAACAAGGGAAACCTGGCGTTGAGCCGCTCGATCATGGGGTCGCGGACCAGCCAGCCACGTGCCACCCACACAAAGTAGGCGATGACGAGCTGGCAGGCCGTCCCGGAACCCTGATACGCCGCGTTGACGGCGTTAGTGAACTCGAGATCGAAGACGAGCTTCCGGTTATCGACGTCGAATTAACCCCCCATTCGCCGGAAACCGCGGCGCGCGGGGATGGTCGAGGTGGCTTAGAGATAGGGCGTGAGCTTGAGCCACAAGGCTTTCGTCGCGTAGCTGACCATGCCATTGACTTGAAAGCATTCACCTAGCATAGAAAGTTGCACACAATCGTCAGGCTTAAGGTCGTCGATGGCTGCGATGCCTGAATGACAAATTACGGTCAGCGGGACGTAGACCGTTGTGATGGCGCTACCGATTACTTACCTCCAGAATAGATGAACTCAAGAAGAAGTGCCATTTCCTCCTCCGTGTGATTCAGAATTTTGACAGACTTGACATCTCCTGTCTTGGACGGGCTAGAGAGCTCCCTTCTTAAGAAACCCGATCTCAGGCACACGATGCTCTTGTGTACGTTCGCATTCGTGATCATGGGTACGCCCTTCGGGTGAACAATAGATCCTATGTCCTTCCAGAGCGCCATCTCGAGAAGCACCACGACCTGTTGTGAGCTTGTCAGCATGGACTTCACCACATGGTAAGGCAGTTTGGTGGCTATACGTACCAGTGAATAGACATCATGATGCGTTTCGAAAACTGCCGTGGGGCGCCACCAACGATCGGGGTGACGGTATAGAATAGATTGTTCTGCAAAGAATCGTCTTCATCCATATTGGTACCTGCACACCCAGGCTGTGAGTACTCGGATACGAACAAAAAGAGGCAGCTCAGGTCAAAAGGCCCGACGAAGGAACTAGACCCTGCCATCTGCCAGTTAACCGACTGATCTAGAACAACGGGTGTTTCCTTTTTTGTTTCTGCCTCAGGGCTAAAGGTGATGTTGCTGCTCCGTATGCTTTTGTGCACCCAGCCGACCCGGTGGAAGTGCTCCGTGGCTGTTGCGAGAGCCCAGGCAAGCCGAATGCGGTGACCAAGAAGCACAATGGGCTTTTTCTTGTAAAGTGACACGAGTGAGGTGAAGTCTACATTTGGGTCAACTCTCGGCGGTGCCTCAAAGACCAGTCCAATCTGATCGTGCAAAAGGCCGGGGTAGAATCCCACGCATTGGAGGATGTGGAAACCCGTACGTTTCGGGTGGCGTAGGAGACTGACCATCTTCTTGGCTTGTTCCTGGTAAGGCTCCCCATCATCATTCTTCTGGTATTTGTACGTCTCGATGACGACAATCTTCTGCTCGATTGTGCCCGTCTTGAATTTAGATGCAGTTTTGATGAATGTGATACTATCCTTTGGTATTGACCGTCGTCCTCATCGTCTGTGCCATGGCTTTAACATCAAGGTACAGACCGAGATAAAATTATGCTTAAATTTTGCAGACGCGATGGTTAGGTCTGGGGCGCCTGGGATTGCTGGTTGGCGGGCTGCTGGTCGAGGGAGACCTGAGACGGGCCGGTCTGCAGCGCCGGTGGGTTGCTAATATGCTTGGATGGGCGATGGGTAAGGCTGGCGGTGTTGTTATAGGCGTGATATGACTAGGTATGGGAGGTGTGATAGTGGGGGGTATACTCGGGTTAGGCCTGTCAGCCTTGTTGTTGAGATTAGGAGCGCTGGCGAGGATGTTCTTGATCAATCGGCGGGTGGAGCGCCGGGACTCGACCGGGGGCGGGCCCTGCTGGAGCTGTTGCTGGTGGCTTTCTACAGCCCGGCGGAGAAGAATCGCTGGGCCCGCATCTGCAGCTGTCACAAGCTCATCATCCTCCAGACTCTCGCTGTCCTGGCTGAGATCCAATAGGATCGGGGTTTCTACCGCTGAGCACACATTGGCGACGCCGCTATTGATGCTCTCAATCGACTCCTCAATCGAGGCTCTGTCGGCGGCTCTGGTTGGATCACGAGCGTTTCCCTCTGCTGTTGACATCACAGTGTTCAGCCCCTGGAGTTGTCGAACAATCTCCTGCCTTGCGGGCTCGGAGAGCCGGCTGAAGACGGAACTATCGGCGTAGCCCTGTCCATCCAAGAGGCCCTGCAGGCGTCGGGCTCGGGTGATGACTAGCTCGATATCTACTGCCGTGACATTCTTTGGCGCTGCCGTCTTCAGCCAGTCGGCGATTTCGCGCCCGGTTACATCGTCGGACAGCGAGGCGCGGAAAAGGACGTAGCCAGCAGGTCTCCTAACAAACCTGCCGTCTAATGCAGTCTCGTTCGTTAGGCGCTGCAGCCGTATACGATTTGACGGCTTTCTGACAAAATTATGAAATACAGGCGTTTCTGATTGGAATACACCAGTTTGGTTGCCGCTTCTCTGGTGGTGATTCGGAATGTACCTACCGGTAATTCTGTCGTCTTCTCGCAGCCTGTCAGCTAGCTCATCCGCATCGATGCCGACTGCAGCGTGCTTCTTCAGCTCCTTGATAAGGGCTCTTGTGAAAAACTTCCTTCCAGGAATTGGCGTCTTCGCCCCCTTCGCTGACGCGGCGAGCAGCTCGAATCTGCCACCGTCCTTTGTTCGTCTAGTCAGAAGCGAAGCATTGCAGCAATCCAGGAGGACGAGGACGTCCCCATGGGCAGCAAATGGAATTTGCTGGGTTATATGCCACGACAGCGTCGGTCCACCGGTCTCAAAGCTGCACGATTGCCCGTTAGCAGGTGTCAAGTGATGGAAGAGTTGCTCCAGGGACCGACTAACGCTGCCCATTCGGCATTTCCATGCTTGTCTGGGCCGCAATGACCGGCGTAATAGATGATCACGAGCGAGTCGCTATGGTTGCATTTCGTGTCTACCAGACTTGCGATCTCCAAGTTGAGTTTCGCACCCGGCGAGGACCCATGGTTGGGAATGTTGAAGGTGGACACGCTGAATTGATAGTCTTTTTCGAAGACAGCACGCAGGTCTTTCAACTCTTGTTCGGGGCCGACATCGTTCTCGGACCAGGCGATCAGGACAGCTTGAACCTGCGAGTACTCAGTCTTGTGAGTGAAATAGTCTCGCACACCGCTCTTGAAGTCCCTGACAAAGTCTACTTCTTCCATCGTATGTTTTTTCCGTCAATGTTTTGCGTGTCTGGATCGCGAAGCCAGCTAGAGGGATTCCACAGTGTCCAGCAGGATCGGGCCATCGGGCGTCGACGGTTGCTTCCCAGGCTCCTTAGCCATGGTGGGCTGACGGGCCAGCATGCCAGCCTCCTGGCCGGCACCAACGGCCGTTTTGCGTTACACAACATATGTTGTGTCACCACACCTGCCCGCATCCTCAAGCAAAAAGGAGTTGTTGCCTAACCTCCCACGGTCCTGAGAGCCTCATATTTCCAACTTCAGGCTACGAAGCCAAGCAAGTGCAGCTCCTCCGACCGGCAAAAAGATGGCAGAGCCCGATACCAACCGCGGCCGGACGAGGCCGGACGAGAGCTCTTCTGACGAAGAAGAGGTTGTGGAGATTACAAAGACCGAGGCAAGTCTCATATCTATCAGTAGGAACAAGCAACTCACAAGCATTTACCCCTTAGACGGATCCCAAGGCCGACTCCACCAAGGGCAACGGAGAAGGGCGCTATAGAGCCCGAGTAAAGAAGCATAAGAAGGGAGCTCAAGTAAGTCACGGCGTATTAACCCATTGTGATGCAATCCTGACGAAGGATTCCCAGGATCCGGTGCGGCCTTTATATGGGCTCGGCGAGGTCGTCTACGTCGCAGTTTCCGGCCAACAGGTGCCCTCCGGTCCCTACACGGTCGTCTCGGTCACTGCAAATTGCCAATACACCCTGAGACGGCAAGACAATCTCCAGCCATATCCGTACTTTGTGCCCGAAAGCGACTTGCGTGTTCTTTCCTGATAACCATACGAACCGGGTCCGGGAATAAGTCTAGGACGGAAAGAAAGAGTGCGGGGCAATACTGTCGATCATGGTTTGGGCAGGGTAGAATTGCGCAACACGGGTAGAATTCTGGCTGCTGGTCTATTACATTCATTCTCCGCTCTAAATATTGCATTAAACCTCGATCGAACTCGGCTTCTGTCCATAAAATGACTTCGGGCGCCCCGCCACCGGTACAGCAGTTCGTGAGTCGACAGCGACGTAAGACAGTCCGAATTATTTTCCGCACACCAGTGATACAAGCTGAAACAATTTGGAACAGCACCGCCGCAGCCTCAACAGTACTCCTTTTCAAATAGTCCACCAAAAGGTATCAGCATCCCTTCACTCTGGCAACCAAACCAGCCCTAACGCCCTCGCCACCAGTGGAGTCATTTCCCCGTGGGTACCCGCGCCTCTCTGCCTTCATGGACAGCGACAGCGACTTCGCCATGTTCCGAAGATTCGGCCGACTGCACACACGCGTCCTATTGCACAAGCAGGACGAGCTTGTAGAATTGGAGCAACGGCTGGACGACATGGATAAGTCGGAGTGTGTGCCCTACTTCCACAGCGCGAGACGTCACGACACGAACCTCGAGCGACGGACCATAATCGACGAGGCCGAGAAGAAGTTGAGTGAATACAGTTGAGTCAAAAGACCCCATTGTCACAAAGCACCCACACATGAAGCAAGACCGGAGGTTGATGGAACCTGATGAGCACAGATGCGCTGCTAGCCTCTCACTTCCAACACCTCGAGCGGCCCGGGCCCAAGGAGAGCGACCTCGAGAGCATGGCCCACTGGATGTTGGGCAACAAGCCCCTCGTCGCGGAAGATTCGACCTTCATGGACGACTGGGAGGACCTACGGCGCCCCAAGGCCCACGCGGACCATGGCCGCTTGGAGGTTCTTCTAGAGAGCTGGGCGGCTGCTTTCAACGGCCGCGGGATCTTCAGGGCATGGCTGCCTTCACCCACATACATCGATGTCGCTTGCTGACTTCCACCTAGATGCTTACGAGAACAGTGAGCCCCTTTCTTGCGAACTTCACCCACGTGTTACACGTCTCACCTCATGCCTTCATCCGGCTTACCAAGATCCTCGGCAGCCCGACATGTCAAAGTCAGGCGACCCGCACGTCGTTTTGTTCAAGGCCTCCAGCGTTGTTGCCGTGTCCCGATTTCTCGCCACTGGCTTCGCCGTGCTCTCTCTGGTGGTGCCTGTCGTGGTCCTGTACGTCGTCGAGTCTACACCCCAGCGGCTGGGAATCATCACGGTTTTCACGACTATCTTCTCTTCACTTCTCTGCTGGCTCACGCAGTCAAGGAACTATGAGATCTTCTCCGCGACCGCGGCTTATTGTGCAGTCATGGTGGTGTTTGTTGGTAGTATACCTGTTACATAATGCTGGGAGGGCAGATGCCCACGGTTAGCTAGTGTGTGCCTTGTTACATCTCCTTGTCGGTCCCGCTCCTTCTGTTCAGAATAGACCTAATATTTTCGAGCCTTGCGAGGTAATCGTTGATGGTTGCTTTCCCCGCCTTTCTCACGCTTGGAATCTTGGGAACGTCGCCACTTTGCGTCGCCCTCCGAAGAGTCGTGTTCACTAGTTGCAGCGGTGTCCCGCCCAGAGACATCTCCTGTAGATGCCTGTGCTTCAAATGGTCAGCCCCTGCCTCGAGGAGCGCCGAAACACCTTCGACGTCGCCGTAGTAGATAGCATGGAGGAACGGGGTGTGGCCACGAGTGGTGAACTCGTTCAGAGGCCCCTGGCCGTGGAACTCAGGGTAGGCATACAGCAGTCTTTTGACACAGGAACGTTTCATTTCCGTAGACAACCGCATGGAGCACGGTGTGTGCGACTACGCCGTCTCTGAGCCCGAATCTCGTATCAGCGCCGGCGCGCATCTGCAACATCGCAGCGTCTACCTGTTGTCTGCAGGAGACGGCTGTCTCAAGAGCTGTGATCTCAGCACTGAGGGACTCAGCACTCTTCTCGGCGGCCACGAGCTCTAGATCCGCGCCGGCCCGTATAAGCTCCTCGAGAACGCCCCCGGATACCATCCCAGCAGCCACCTGCAGAGCCGTGCGGCCGGACGAGTTTCTGGTATCGATTTCGATGCCTGGGGGGCCAAGCAGAACATCCGCGACTGCTGCGCCGTCGCGAAGGGCCCAGTAGTGCAGGGCAGTCTGCCCCTGAGGTTCCAGCGCGTTGATGTCACGAACTAGCGGCAGGACCAGACCAGCCTTCTCGGATAAGAAACGGCGATACATACATAACCGAGCGGCACATATCAGGAGGCTTCCATCCGAGGCTTCAACAGACATCGTGCTCCTTTGCGCCCGCGTATATGAGCTCCTCTATGATGTATGACTCGCCATTGACATTTTGGACAGCGCTCACAGGTGGTGTATGCCCAAGATTGTCCACGCCATTGATATCCGGGCCATCAAGCAGCTCGCAAGATAAACTCAGACAAATGGATATGCTGGATAGGAAACTTTCATTTCCAATTTAAGTAACATAAGAGCCGAGCCGTCTTGGAATTTTTTTCAAACACGCGGGACTGGAACAACCACATGACGGCCAGCCGGCTGGTTGCCTACCAATTCCAGACAGAACCTCGAGAGTGCAGCGTCTCCAGGTCAACAGCATGTTGGCAGCGGAAGCAACCACGATCTTTCTGTCCGGCCAGAGGCCCCGGAGTTTCATCAAACACACAGAAATAGACAGACTGCAATCATAAGGAGGGCACAAGTTGTCAAATGATGCATGTGGCAAGTTGGCCCTGCAGTCCGGTTTGGTCACGGCTGCCCATGGACCAGACAACACTGCGGCGTCTGCCAACATGATTCTTCTATGGATTCCAATGCGGAGACGTAGGATTATGTGCTGGAGTAGTCGGTATCCCCAGTCATTTCTCTGTTCCTCCCCCGTCCCATTTCGGCACTCTATTTCAGCCTTCGTTCCAAATTTCATGACCTGCCCCTAACGCCCAGTCCGGCTGCCGGTCCGAATGCAGCTGACGCCTCGAATGAAGCTACCCTCTTCAGCCCCAATGGCGTGGAGGACTCCAACGACGACGGACAGCGCCCGGAAGGCCCAAAGCCACACGCTCCCTGTCGCGATCGTCCCTGACGCGTTGCTCATGTCTGTGAGACTCTTCGACAGTGGCGACAAGCTCGGGGTTGGCGAAGGGGTCCTTCCACTGCTCGAAGGCCGAGTTGCCCTGGAACGCCGTAGTCAGTGGGCCAGTCATGACCGCCGTCAAGAGGTCGTAGCCAAACTCGGGGACCTCATCCCTCAGGGCACGGATCAAGGTGCTGCCGAAGGTCTGGATCCGGGCCGTATAGACAAAGTCGACGTAAACGCGTTGGATGCCGGATGGAATGGCATAAGCGGCTCGAATGGCACTGCAGAGGCGGTCGATGAAGCCCTTGGCGTGGAGGAATCGGAAGTTCTGGAGCATGAGATTGTAGGTGGAGCTCATGATAGGGCGTCCCTCTGGTAGAGGGTCCCATAAAAAGGTACGATATTCGGCGGCGGAATATTCGTTCGGGAGGTCTGCGCATTTGTTGATATCGCAGATTGAGTTCAGGTACTCTCCGAGGTATTTGCCAAGCACTTGGTTGGCGTAGTTGTTCATCTCATCGCTCAGGTAGAAGTCGCCAAGGGCGGAGAGCTCGTTGGCGGCTGCCATCAGATCGTCCTCATTGCTCAGGTCGACCGCGCCGGTGTAGAGGAACTCGAGGACTCGCTCGATGTTGTCTGGGGCGGTTATCTCGATAACACTCTCCTGGCCCTCCTAAGAGTCCAATAGGTTAGCCAATCAGGTACAGGATCAAGAGATGGGGAGCATGGGGAGAGCGGGTAGGAGGAGAAAAAACAAAGAAATAATAAAGAATAAGAGAAAGGGGCTCGAAAATGAAAGGGAGTGCTGTTGGGAAGGTGGCACATTTGCAGGGGGAACAGCAACTGATGCAGTAGAGCACTTACGCGGAAGGCGCCCTCGAGGACGCTACGGAACCACTTGCTGCGGGTGCAGAGCACGTTCTTGTGCACGTCGTAGGTCTTGCCGTTTGCAATGATCTTGGCGTCGGCGTACTTGCCTGACTCCAGGAGCTCCTTGTCAGCCGACGAGAAAATCGCGGCAGGGGCAGACACAGCGAGAAGGGTATTGGTCATGTTCTGCTGCTCCTCGTTTGGATCCTCCTCCTCGTCGTTGGCCATGGTGGACCGAGGAGAGCCGCTGGGAGGTCGGGCGACGCTTCCACCTCGAGCATCACGGAACATCGAGTTGATGCCACGGGAAATGTGGAGGTTCATGATGGTCGACGGGGTTCTCGGCAGGTTGGACGACATCTTGGCAGTGTTGCGCCTGCAGTGCGATTTGAGGACGATCAAGTCGAGAAAGGAGCGAGTGTAGAGGGTCAAGTGTGGTGGTGAGTGCTTCTCAAAACAGCCTGACGTGAGGCGGTGGGAGAGTTGGCACAGTGGGGTAGAGAGAGAAGGAGGAAAACAGTAGGTGGTCTGCCCAATTCTGGCCTTTTGTATCACAGTGAACGATAGTGAATGAGTCTAACAAACGACTACAGGTGAAAAGTCCAAGTGAATGGTACTCAGTCACTGGCGGCACAGAAGCAAGCCTGGGTGGAAGCAGAGCTGTCAACTACAGATACAGCCAACCCTTCTACGCCTCCTGTAACCTCCACATTGTGGCGCTCCTAAGAGAGTCCTGCCTTGCGCAGGTGTGATTATCACAAGAGCAGAAATCATACGTAAATAAATGCAGCGCAAAGTTGATTGAAAGCAAGTGTATCTGACCTCTACCAGGCCGCCCATTATAATGGGGTTGTCATCATCCCAATGTGTGGTGTGAAAAATCAACGCCAAACCAGGTCCCAAGAGTCCATAATCATATCCCGAAGTTTCATGTCAGATGCGGCACATTCCAAGCCACTGTGCAAACCACTCTCAGCTCACTCATCAACGATAACACGGAGGACCAGCATGAACTACTCCTGAGCATCATCGAATACTCCCCACGAAACGCCCTTGCCTTTGCCCTTGTCCATCTCCTGGGCACACTCCTCGCAGCAGACCTGGGTGTATCTCTGCGAAAGGTTTGGTCCAGACCAGGGATTGAAGACCATCGTCTCGTCCTTGGTGATTCCCTCGCCGCACCCAGCACAACTCCGCTTCTTCTTCATCTCCTCGGGCTTCTTGTTCAGCTTCTCCGGCCTCACCATCAGCTTCTTCATCCACGGCGTCTTGTATCCGGGGCCGTACTGGGCCAGCAAGACCTCGTTCGCGAAGGCGGCGGGCAGCATGCCTTGACTGATGCGGAAGCGCAGGTCGGCATCGCGGAAGAGGACATCTCTTCCAGCGAGGACGAAGTCGATGAGCATATGTCGAGGGAGGTTCGGGTCCTCCTCGATGGGCTCAGTCTCATAGGCTTGGGTAATTCCAGCCTCAAGATCATCGATGAATGCTCGTGGGGCTATGGCCTGCATGGCCTTGGGAACTGGGTAAAGGCAGATATCCTTGAGCTTCTTGCTCAAGTACATACCCAGGTGCCTGGTTGCGTACACGACCATGTCGTGGATGTCAAACTCGTGGCCCAGGTTGTACAGCAGGATACAATCCTGGATGATCGGCTGGTCCTTGGACTGGTATTCCAAAATCTCGACACTCGCTGCGCCGTAGATGAACTCAGCAACAAGCCGGACTGACTTGATGTCATGAGAGTCTATGGTGAGAACCACCCCGCCTCTGTGGTCCACCGGCATCTAGCTCACAGTGTCAGCAAGGACATACCATACCTACTTGGGAGGAACGATCAGGACAGACCTTCCCAGTCTTGGTCAGTTGCTTTTTGAAGGCGCCACTTCGGGAGATCAGCATGGCTTTGTGCAGCAGCAGCCGCTCATCTCCAACCATCACAGCACAGTCAGACTGAGTTGCGAGATTGTAGATGCCGAGATCCCCTCTCTTTTTGAATTTCTTCCGGGAAGCGTTCGTGTCGGGGATCTCATGATCACGCTTGGGAGACATTTTGGTTTTTGATGTTGAGTTTCCTGGATAGATCAATAAAGGTTTGTGGGTTTTAAGTGGTGTAAGGGCAGCGGCTTGATGACTTCAGGAAATGGAGATAAGAGAAAACGGTGTGTGATTGAGAGGAAGGGCTATTTGAATCTCTCCGACGGTTGGAGCTCGAATTGGGAAAGTACTCCACGAGGAAGCTGTGGCAATGTGCAAAGTTGTAGAAAGATGCCTTAAAGGCGAGTGTGGAGCTGGAGAGAGGTGAGTGCCGGTACACCACCGTAAGGGAAAGCTTTAGCAGCTCTCCTGAATCTGATAGTGCTGGAAGGCACCGTCTAGGTCGATTCGCAAGAAAGCAGTAAGGATAGAAGAGTTCAGGGTGAGATGACTGTTTATGGTGGTTTGTTCTTTTGGATGAAAAGGAAGAGGGAGTAAAGTTCTACTCGTCTTGTCGTATTGCGGAGATAGAGCCAAGTGGTTGGAAGGGTTGTCGGCTGAGTGTCGCGAGCGAATGGAACCTCACTCCTTGCGGTGTGAGTTAAGGAAGAAGGAAGGAGCAGTGGCGGTAGATGTTGGCCAAGATTTGGTTCGAGGAAGCAGATCAGAATGCTCCAGAACCGGGGTCAACCTTTCCAGCTTAGGCCAAAATGGTCAAAGCAGTGGGTGGTACGATGGTAGGTCGAATTATCAAACGCCGACTCGAAAGCATCCGAGGTTGTAGAACTGGTCTTCCAGGGTTAGTTGAAAGAGGAAATCGTTAAATGTATTGACGGGGGATATCAAATATAAAGTCTAAGGCAGGCTAATCACATAGCCCTCCTGACCTACGTTCTGCCGTCCTTCCACCTCTCCATTTTCGACTTCCCAAACGTAATCTCCAGCAAGGACTTCGCAAAATCATCAACGTCCTCTGGTCGAGCTTCCGTCAAGAAATTCTCAATTTCACCACGCGTACTTAGCCTCACATTCCTCTCCACACAAATCTTACTCCAGGCATAACTCGTTGGCGCGTCCCAGACACCAGACGCGGTAGTGATCATGAGGGCGCCGGCACACACAGTCCAACCCTTAAGCATAACTTCATAGACAATATGTGTCCCCTGCGCAAAGGTCCACGTCCGCCGCACCGACTCGGCGAAGACCCACGTGTGCCACAGGACCTCCTCCTGCGAGCTGGGGTTGGTGCAGGTGTGCGTCGGGGTCGCCGGCGTCGCCGCGCCAGGCGCCGACGCCGCTGCGTCCATGACGTCCACGATGCCGAGGCCCAGGCCCCTCGCTGCCGCCATCGCGCCGGAGTTGCCCGAAGGCGTGAGCTGGGAGGCGAACGAGACGCTCTCGAGCATCTGCTTGAGCCATGCCATCATGGTCGGTATCCGTTCTTCGGCAAGGGCGCGCAGGCGGATGTCGCCGTCGAGGAGGCAGATGATCTGGTATGCGAGGAGGGCGTGGACGCGGGAGAGGTGGCCGAAGGGGTCGAGGCTGCTGGACGTCTTGTGCTTCTCCTCGTCCTGGAGGAGCTGTGTCGACCGATCCTGGATGGTCCGGTGGACCATGTCCTCGTTCTCATCCGTCCTTAGCAGGTAGAGGGCAACGGTTGTGTAAGCATCCTGCACGGATCGGGGTAGGCGGAAAGAGTATAGCTGTTTGTGGATGAAGGCGTTCCCGCCAGTGGAGATCCAGTCCGACAGCCACCCTTGTCCCGTTGTGAGGAAGGCCTTGAGCGCGGTGCGGCTGTAGGGGGTCGGAGGCATTGGTTCTTTATAATGCGGCAACTCATGCTCTATTTTCCACGATTCTGGAGACATAAACCAGTCCGTACTGAGTTGCTTTGCAGGTGTATAAGGGAGCAGGGCCGAGGGCCGGGCTAACTCGACGTCTGTGGACGAAAGCACGCCGCCGAACTGGGAGGTGGTTGGGGCAAATGAGAGCAGCACACTCGGGTCCCACATGTCCAGCGGCCTTCCGATATCCTTTGCGGGCATGGTGGGTTCGGTTGTTGTTGCTGTCGACACAGGAGCGTCCTGGAGCCGCACGAAGGCGCTTGGCCTGGTTGGCAGCGGATAGTTGCACTCGAGGCCGCGCGACGCACAGCGGTGACATCGTGGGCTCTCCTTTCCGCACTTCCGCTTCGATTTCGCGCACGACTCGCAGGCTTTCACCTCGGGGACGATCTCCATTGCTGGTATTGCATCAGGGTATATGTTTGTTGAAGAGGGATCTTGCATCGCTTGTGCTGTTCTGGCTGACGGGGGGACTTGTAGTCGGGCGGACCTGGAAGGCCGCCAAGGAGGTGGACCCGTATTAAAAAATGCCCGTTTAGGTTGGCGTCCGCGGACGCCAACCAGTTTGAGTAAGGCCGTTCCGCATTTTAAGCTCATGTAGGCGGAAACCCACTCTATTTTTGTCAAACCGCATATGCAATGCACCCGCTGATAAGGTAAATTCAGGTTTGGGTATTAATTCATCCGTCACACTCCTTCAACAGTGCATCCTTTTCACACGCAGCCTGATCCGCCGAGACATTGAAGCATGAAGCATTCCCCAAGACTCATAGACCTGGCACGAGCCTCCAGTATCAGCATCTAACCGGACTCGTTCTTGTGTAATTATCCGCCCGCCGTCGCTCAATTACCACTCATTGGCTCAACTGTAGCTGAGTCCGTGTTGTGGCAAGTCAGTGTTGTCCAAACATCTCGTGACTGGCTATTGCTCTGGCCGCCAACTTCAAGTTTATCATTGGGCGGTCCAGGCTGAGAATCATCCAGGCTATAAATACCACGAGAGTGAGTGGTATCGTGAAGGCCCAGTACACCCAAAACTTGCTTGTGATAACGGTCGGCCCATTCCAGCCGAGTGACGGCACTGCAAAGAGCGCAGCGAAGAAGGTCACAGGCAAGAACAACATAGTCATGACAGCAATGGTCTTCATTGAGCCACTGTCACGCCTGGCAGCTTCTGCATGTCGGTTTGAGATCAGAGAGAAGATCTGCTCGATAGAAGGTAAGTCAAAATTGCTGCTTTAATATCACAACAGGATTACGACCTTAATACTCACTATGTCAGACTGTGCTCTCACCCGATTATCAAGATCTTTGGCTTCGACCTTGAAATTTCAGATTTTATTCTTATTCGAATTCAACGATTGGACCATGGACGAGTCACTTGTCCAAGGTTTGGCGTGGGAAGAGGTGCCCCGTCCCTCTACCGTTGTCGCGCGGAGTTTCTCGACTTCATCCTCCAAATCTGACACCATCCGTTCAGCGAGGTCGGCCAAGCGGTTACAGTAGCTGGCCATTCCAACGGAAAGACCCATTTCCCTTGCAGCAAAAGTCAGGTGCTGTGTATCGAGACTTGAGATCTTCTCATGATACACGTAACCAAACACGCCATGGCCTGTGAGGTTCTCATTCTTAATCTCCGCTCTCCATTGACTGTCTAGTTCGTGCTCCATATAGGATACCACATACAAAAGCACAAGATTGGCCAAACCAAACGGGTCCTTGAGATTGACGACGAAATCTTCTAAAATCGCCGCGAGCATGGCTTCGGCTGAAGACCACCGTGAGTAGATGATATACTCCTGAGCCATCAGTATTGGCTTCGCCTTTGTTGCCTCCCGAGTCGTATCGACTGACCAAGCGATATAGCACATGCTGGTCAGCAGCTAAAGGCTGAGAATGCCCTCCGCAAAGTTGCAGCAAGTCCAGCCAGACGGCCTCCGACAGAGTTGCTCCAAAGGCCAAGGATCTAGATCCAGGCACTTGTAGACGTCCACGAGGCTGTTTCGGTCGAGGCCGGTGCGATACTGTGTCTTGCCGATTTTGGAAAGCCTGATCAGTTCCAAGCACGCACCAATCAGTACATGCCTTCGTGCCGCGTGGCCCCTTCACGGTGTCGTTGTCGCCCATCTCCAGCCGGGCCCTTCTCAGCGCCTCTACCAAGATATCGGTCCGATACTTTTTCGTCTCGACCTAAAATATACCAGCGTCATCGGGCAAGCGTGCCTCGTTATCACGGCCTGAACAAGGGAACAATATTTAGGATGTTCGCACTGTAGATGGGATGGGCAGCAGGCTATCTAGATAGCCACTGATATTTATCACAGCTGTGATGCAGGCCACCTGAACTCCTACAGCAGTATACATACACGATGTTACATGCACGTGTGGCTCCTGACGCTATGCACGCTACTCTCAGGTATAGAAAGACGTTCCACATTAGTGCTGAGATTGGATGCAAGAGCATGCAGATTCTGGGCAGCCGGTTACCTAGATCACTCACCCTCCAGGCTTCAGGTAGCCGGAACTGGCCGCGGCGACTTGTGGAAAAGCCTCGACCGCGGAGTGGGAGCGCTGACATCGCGAGTCAGCACCGGACTTCTAAAACACGTCCCTGCGACTGAATCATTCTCTTCCTATTTTCTGCTGGGGCTTCAGCATACAAAATGTCCCATACCTATGTAAATATGACTTGCCCCGCTTCTCTCATTCGCGACTGATAGCCGTAGCGGGACTACACAAGTAAGGCTGGGGTGGATATGCCCAGCTGGGCTTGGCAGCTTGGGGACGTTCGCATGCTGGTTTACATTGTAGTCTGAAACGAAGCGGGTGCTGTCTGTAGTCTGTAGGTACAGACAACCAGTCCTAACCAGGGGGTTCGAAGAATCCAGCTGCCGGTATAAATAAATCAGGAGAGAGCGTCTCTAGTCTTTTCGTGTGGGCTGCTCAATTAATTCGATTTCAGACACACGAAGGCTGGGACTTTGACACCAATTAATACATATTCAATTCCTTGACAATCTCTCAATCCTCAAAATGAAGTTCACAATCATTGCCCTCGTTTCAGCTTTCGCAGCCATCAGCACAGCCGAGTTCAGCGACAACGGCGCAGCGGGCGTTGGGGCCTGTGAGAACATCGAGAAGAACACATTTTGCGTAAGCTCAGGCTATTTTTCCCCCATTTGACACAAACCAGACACTAATGCCGGGCTGTAAAAGTGTGTGGATGACCAGACTGATGCTTTTCCAACATTCCGGGATTGCGTAGCAGATCCGGAGGGTACCACTTGTCCAAGTGGATCACGGGCAAAATGCTGCTAAAGAGGGACGACTTTTCGTATACAATTTAAAGGATACACCATGAAGACCTACGGGAAGACATAATTCAGAGCTACGACAGATGCGATTCAAAGAACCGTCCGCAGCCGGTTGTCCATCTTATTGGTTTGCAACGAGAGATACACGAATTGAACATCATGGGAACTCCCTGAACAGAAATTTTGTCTTCAAGGTTCTGAAGGCGAGGAGAAGGACTTTTTGAGCCGTTAGGCGGTGCATCACCAGTTGACCAGCATTCAGCTCAAGGCGTCTTTCAATTCTAGGCTGCCCACGTTTTTCATGATAACGATCGGGTCCAAAAATGTTTGTTCAAGTGGGAAGTTGTGGTTTAAGTGATTCACTGTGCCGTGTGTATTATGAAATCAGTAGTTGTGAGGAGAGATGAGCTTGGTGCTGGGCGTCGGTTCGGTGGCCGTGTCGAGTCGAGGACATCAAGCCGGATGCAATAGATAGCCAAGGGCCGGGATCGAAGGCAAGCAGGAGCCGGAGTGGTACTGTGAAGGAAAGACGAGTCCCGGGTCGGCATTTTTCGAGGCCAAGAGTTAGTTGTCTTGGTGGCGGTGAGTCTCTCTGGGGGTCTCTCCCAGGATTGGCGACGGTAGCTTCGTGGGACGCACGCAACGACACCTTGACGCTCGACTCCAGAGGCGCAGTTGAACTCAAACGTAGTATTTGTGCATGGGGAGATCAGAGGCCGTGCCCTTGGCATCGTCTGCGTGCCGCATGATGCTGGTCACACCTGCCAAGGCGAGCCGTCGCCATTGTGCAGGGAACATCTCGACGTGCGCTTCCCTGCTTTGCTTCACAATGACGCAACCAGCCACTGCCATGGAAACGGGCTGCCTCAACAACCTCTGCTACTTTTACAACCCTACCTCCACATACTTCAATGGTTCGTCCCCTCTCCTACGAACTCAAAACATAACCTCCAAGAGACTTTGTTTGCACCTCAACCTAGAGCATCACCAACGCTATCACTAAGGAAAAGACAGGCACCTGCGACACTCTGAAGACATCAAGGTACGCTCCTACGCCCGAAGGTATCCCATAAATCAACCAGCACTCCCACCAGGCATCGCTGACGCCTCGATCTTCGCAGACACCATCATCCAGATCATCAACCAGACACCCGGCGACATCTCCACCGGAACAAAACAAAAATGCCCTTCTTCTACTCAAAAGGCTTCGGCGGGAAGCACTTCGGCACGAACGTCACCGCAGACAGGCACGGCGTGCGCCGCGGGCCCTGGCGCTTCTCCCTCGGCCGCTTCAACTGCTTCAAGTAGCACCGGGGCCACGTCAGCGGCGGCGTCCACGGGCGGCACATGCACGCAAGTGCCTCCGTCCCGCGCGTCGGCGGGAGGCGTCTGTGATGGATGTCGCGGGGATATGAACGCGGCGACGGGAGGACGACACGATTTGATACGACCCGACGAGACAAGAGGGAGGAATCATTCGGGAACACGGCTGGCAGCAGGATGATGACGGAAGGGAGATGGGGGGACGAGGGTGCGAGGGGACTCAGGTCACGACGAAGCACACCTCTGGTCAAGCCGGGAGCTGCATGCAGTGGCGCCTGGATCTCTGCAGGGTGCTATTCCTCGTGGATCGTTCGTGCTTCTCGCGCTTACGGCCTCGCTGCGTGGTTCCCTTCCACGCGGATTGTCGACTCTACGGGCCAAGCTGTTCACTGCCCAGCGTCCAACATCTGGCATGGAAATTCTGCTCCATGAGGCTTGCGCAAGAGCGAATCAACAGTAATCCCCCTGCACGCCCTCTGAGTTGTGTTTTCAGTAGGTGCGGGCCGAAACTATTTGGCTGCTGTGTGATCGAGAAGCTGTTCCTGGTGGTAAGCGGTGTTTCATTGAAAGCATGTCCAGAGTCTCAATGGACGGCCCTACAAGTATTTCATTTTAATTCATGCATTGATGATTAGCAGTAGCGTCAGCAAATAATAATCCATTCAAAATACGGTTGTGCAAGTTGAATCCCAACCACAACTGAAATAAGAAATACAAGCATTCGTATTGGTGATCACGAGGGAAATCGACTTGCCAACATTAGTGGGGATGTCGTTGTCGGCTGCAGACGATAGTATCTCGTAAGAAACCAAGTTCAGCATCTGCCGCGTGTGTGTTGCGGCTATCTCAATTACTACGTCCTAGTCCTGGATAGCATATATACTCGGTTCCCTAGACGACTTCGCTATCGACCTCAGATCCCGGAGGCTGAAGCCCGTGAACCCCGGCGCCCCGGGCGGCAGCACCGCCGGCAGATACGACCGCCGGAGGTTATAGGTGACGGAGGTTAGAAAAGTCTTGGCGGGGGGGTAGGAAATCTAAGTTGCCGAGGGGTAGAAACCATCCCTCAGCATAGCAAAAGGTTTCTACCCCCCCGTCACCTGATACCTGCGACCACCGCAGCCTGTTCGCCACGATGTCCGCGATCTGGCGGTGCCCGTCGAAGTTGTTCGCTTCTGTAGGGTCATAGGGCCAGGCACGAGCGCCCACCATGGCCGGCGGGGTCATAAGCCCGGCGGGCACGGGCGCGGCTGGAGAAGGTCGGCATGACGGGGGTCGTGGTCACGATGGCGCCCGCGCCCGGCAGCACCCGCACGGAGAGCAGGGCCCTGGACTGGTGCCGTGACGATGAAGTCCACGTCCCTTGGGAAGGGGCCGGCGTCCCTGACCCCCCCCCCCCGGCGGCATGCGTTCCGGGGGAACTCCCCGGCGCTCCGCTGCCTACGTCTCCCCCGCGGGTTAGCTTTTCATCATGTGGCTCTCTGTCTTTCTATAGATCACGTGGGAGAGATGGATTCTGACATCCTGATATACGTGGCCAAGCCCCAACTCAGGCTGGCCCGGGACGGCCACAGCAGCTGGACACGCGCGACGAGCCGACGGTGTTGCTGCAAGGTGTACAGATACGGCCCGACCACCTGCGGCTGTCCCCAGTCGACTGCCGTCTCTAGAAAGGGGACGTCTCCTGCATCGCGGCACGGGTCGTGATCTCAAAGGGGGTAACCCTGAAGTACGCCTCTGTGGCCTCATCCTTCATCTATCTGTTGACCAGGCAGAGGCTGCCCAGGCCTCGGGGCCTCAGGGGGCCTTCGAGGTTCGCCCTGGGTGGTTCTTGGAACACGGCCTGGAGAATCGCCATGCGCAGTGCCTGTGGTAATCTGATCAGCATGTTCAGGGCCGGTATTCCCGGGTGTGGTGAGCCTGGTGGGATTGGGGCCGGAGGTGGCGGCGGTGGTGGCAAGCCCAAAATACGGCCGCTCCGCAGCCGCATACCATGGGAAGCCATTGCATTGACAAGCAGCGCTTCTTGTCTATCTCGAGCATTTAGATGTGATATTTGTGTAGTTAAATCCGGGTAGCAAGAAGCGATACGCCTGGTATATCTCAAAATAGTCGATACGCACTTACACAAAGACGCAAGTCAGTTTCACTGAATTATAAGCGGCCATTAATTTATTTGATGGTCATATGATAAAGAAAAACTAGGCGGCTACCTCTTTGATGAGTGTCCCTGGAGACTTCAAAAACCTTCCATCTTGAAACATGCAGGACGGACAACCATATTCGTGATCTCTCTGACAGCTTAAATTGTAACACCTGGAAAAGGCGCAGAAGTGTATCCATCGTGGAACTCAGGAGAGCTGTCGGATTCAATGATTACATTGCTGAAGCAGCTGGGAGGCTGATTAACATTAGCATGTATTGTACCACCTGCACCATTGATACACCCTTATTATATCTGAATAGGGCTTGAAGAATATGCTATTTAGGGTTTTAATAGCTTTAAGGAAAGGCTTCTCCCGTGTATCATGAGTATAAGTAAATAAGAGTAGGTATTTTATAGTTTATTTGCACTAAAAGGTGGGTGATAGGATTTGGATGCACTCATGCCACGTCTTCTTCAAGTTACTCGCCACCAGAGGTGCCGGACTGTTGTTGGCCATTGTCCTTTTCCATTCCAAAAATGGACCAATCGAACTTCGTGAGAATTCCCATGCTCGCCCAGGATATGTTTCCATTGAACTCACCATTTCCTTGGGGAGCCTGAAACCAGTCGTCAGTTATTAGTAATGTATTTATTTACTTATTTATTTACTTGCATTAATTCAACTAATTTCAACCCTGCATAATGAGTAGCAATTATAAAGTATGGGTGTAAATGATATTATATGGATTCTAAGTAAAATTCCCTACCTACTCAGTAGATTGTGTCGTATCATACAGGAAGTATACGTACCATATATATCATACAACGTGGTGCATATTACATCCCTGCGCTGCTCAAGTACCGTGCTTACTATTCTGCCGCACAAACAAGCCACCTGATGCGCATCTCCTCATTGTTCTGTTGAAAGTGAACGGTGATACCTCTGGCGAAAAGAAATCGCACCGCCCAATCTTCCACGCACTTGGACATGGCTTCCGAAATCAAGGTTGTTCGCCTGAGCGATCACATGACCGTCTCGGTATCGACCGAGGCGTTGGAGGCGCTGCAAGCACTGGCCGCAGAGAAGACCAGAGTCGTCATGCTGGTCAGTAGAGAGCACAGAGATCTGGCGCCCGTCCAAGCGAGGAGCGGGACAGCTGGAGGCCGTGCGGCCGATTGTTGACGTGACTTGCAGAGCGTCGATCCCGAGACGGAGCTCGTGCAGCTCGTCCCCGGCCCGCCCGACGCCCATCCGTCGACCGTCGCGGAGATTGTGCAGGCCATCTCGCCCACCGAGCCGCGCTTCACCTTTTGCCGCTTCGAGCACGAGGGCGCGCCGGGCCGCCGCGACACCGCGCTCCTGTTCTTCTTCACGTGTCCCTCGCCGCCGCCCGGCACGGTGGGTCTCCAGGCCGCCAGGAAGCGGATGGTCTACCCCCTCCTGAAGCGTGCCGTGCTGCAGGTCGCGAGAGCCGAGGCCGGGTTGAGCGCCGACAAGAGGTTCGAAGTCGAGGACACTGCCGAGCTTGACGAGGACTTGGTTCTGGGTGAGCTTAGGGCTCCCAAGGAAGATGAACCGCGCGGGGATTGAGGATATGCGGCTTCGGCAGTGTTGTGGGGTGTAGTAGGTTACATTCGCTTGCCCATAGGGAGGGAAGGGCCCATAAATGGCCCCTGATAATTGTTGCTCTAGGAATTCTTCGCTTTAGAATCCGAATCCACTCTTTTCTTTTATTCCTCGCAGTATTTACAGGTCTTGTTTCGCAAGAACCTTCGTGACTGTGCACTACACGCTCCTTTCTATTCCTCTTATTTCCCCCCTCTCGCTGGGGCGTTCTCTTCCTCTCGCAGAGGGGACCAGCAGAACGTGCCCTCTATTCCATTTCGGTGGCCCGTCAGCAGCCTGAGGAGAATTGTTTGGCAGGGACACGATTCGAGCGGCCACGTGCCGTGCTCACGTTGACTCTTCTCAAAGCGTCTCCAACCCGCAGGCATCAGCGACGTGGGATACAATTCTGTCCACGTCTGTTTGAAGACGGCTACCAGAGTCAACAAGAATGCACAGAAACCCCGGGCGAGGTACTATGGGTGCTTGCGGAGGAGCGCACTGGTAGTCACACAATGAGAGAATTAGGGCACGCCGATGGATATAACGCTCAGATTGCACTTCATGCTGAGGAATATAACATTTCTGTATTTCATACAGACGTCTCTCAGGGCGTACTTCCAGGACAAAGAGATAAAATAAACTCTGCTGCCATAGTCCAAGTTCACGAAACGAGACCTAAAGCAGTCAGAACTTAGGGACGTACGTCGAAGTAGCTGATGCCGAACTATTTGCTATTCAGCAGGCGTTGCAAGCTGAAATCGATGGGGAACCCCATACAGAGAGAGGGTTCATCTTCTCTGGCAGCCAAGCAGCTATCCAAAGACTGAGCGGATGGAATCCCCTAGTGGCCAAGGCAAGATCGCTAGCTGCTCAGCTGGCGAGACAACGCTGCAAGGTCTGCATTTTGTGGTACCCAAGCCACATCAACATTCCTGGCAACGAATTCGCAGACAAACTCTCAAAAAAAAGGCGCTTTCACAAGCTCCTAGCGATAGCTGGGTTTCCTTCTCATGTATCAAGCGTACGGTAAAGGCAACTACGCTCGATCTATGAAAAGGACAATGGGAATCATGGGCTGATACAGACTACACCGGACTAGGAAGGCTATACCGCCATATTAGCCGCTACTCCTTACGGTCTCATACCAAGGTCGACTTTGATTTTCAATCGAGTTGGACTATCTATATTCAGCTCAAAACAGGTGTTGACCTTTCAAAAAGTACTTGTATCTGATTAGCAAGTCTGGTACGTCGCTGTGCTCTTGTGGGAGCGGTGCTTAACAGACCTCTATGCATATCATTATGCATTGCACTCTTTACCGGAAACTTAAGTCAGAGTGTTTGCGTGAGAAGGTCCAGCCTTTTAACACAATCGCTCTTTTACACAAAGGTTGGGAAAAAGGCGCTATTAGAGTTTCTTCAAGCAAGCCAACTTGGGAAATTGCTGTTTGTACAAGTCTTCCAACGACTTTTACAGAGTAACTAGATAGTACCGTTATATTCGTGGCTTTTTAAGGATACGGTAGTAAAACGGCGAGTGGGCAAGTCGCAGTTCTAGGCGCCTACGCGCCCGAGACGTGAGGAAAACAAAGTCACTGTATTATAATACGTCTGTTTAGATAGAAAAGAGTGCATGAGCTATGACTTTCTGACGATGGGGGCTGTCTGGGTCTATTTACGTCTAGACTTCTCGGCCCGAAGCGAAGGGTGTGGGGTGCTGGGCGCCGCAGCCACTGCTTCAGTAGCTTCGGGATGCGGAATACTTCTAGGCTAGGGGGACTGGCTGTTGTAAGGAAAGCGTTACTTTTGCAGGAAGAGATGCTTTTGGCTAGATAGCCCTCGGCAAAGCCGAAAGGCTCCATGCGAGTAATGAAACAGATAAAATATATATAAAAAATTACATCTTTGTCCCAGTTTAGGTCTATGTGAACCGAGTGCTTCTCAACAGCTTGCGAATGCTCTCGACGATCTCCATCAGGCTGCCCAGGCCCATCCTGTGATCACCCTCGGCGGAGCTGTACCCCTCGTGAGCCAACATGCTCTGCAGGAGCTGCATGGTGGCTGTCCCAACCGGGTGAAGGCCGGACCGCTCGCTGTCCAGCGGACTCTGATCCATTTCTTGGTCGTGAAGGTGCTGCTGGACATGGTGGTACTGGCTGTGGCGGTCGTGGTGGTGGGGGTGGTTGTGGTACTGATGACGGCGGTGGTAGGGGCTGCACAGCTCCGCCGCCGCCGCCGCCGTGTCGTGCACCGGGTCCGGCTGCGGCTGGCGGTGGTGGGCGTCCTCGCTGCCCAGCATGCCCGTCCACGCGTCCTCTATCTGGTCGAGCATGTGCGCCATGACCTCGAGCTGGATGCGGATCCCCAGAGCGCGCTGCCGTGTGATGTACGGCGGGTCGAGTCGCGTCAGCACGCCACTGCAACGGGTTCCCCCATCTCCCACGTGGCCCCGATCTGCCCGTCTGGCCAGCCCATCCCCCGAACCTCCGACCAAGACGGAAAGACGCCTGGCCTTGGGTGCTGAGGGGGCCTCGATGCTGCAGCCTGCCTGCTGGTGGGATAGGCGGGGGTGCGCATTGCGAGATGCTTGGGGAAAAGGAGGCACGGAGGCCGCGGTGGGCTTTTTGTTGGTGGCGTCAGACAAAGCGGACCGCAGGGTGTCATAGATATTCGTGAAGACGGCGCGGTACACCGACAGGAGGCTGACGTAGCAGCAGAGGAAGGATATTGCCATGGGGAGTTCGACGGGCGAGGATGGCATCGAAGGAGGGCTGGTGGAAGGGTATGTATCTTGCACGGTCCCAAAAATGGTCGTGTCGCGGCTACTGGTGGTGGTGGTGATGGCGCTGGCCGGGGACGACTGACGGCGATGCTCAGCCTGGTCCTGCTGGGCGGGGGCAGGTGGGCAGCAGAAGCCATTGAGCAGGTCGATCAGACGCTCCGAGGCCGAGAGCACCCGGCGGACGATGTTTGTCTCGGAGACGTTCGCGTTGCCCGTCGGGAGACTGGTGCTCTCATCCGAGAAGAAGGCCTGGGCCAGGTCGGCGTCGGTGATGCAGTGGAGCTCGCTCAAGAGGAGCGAGTGAAGTTCCAACAATCGTCTTCTGCGGATCTCGTCTGGGGAGCCCACGTGATCGGCGTCGGGCGGTTCTACCGTGACCACGGTGTCTTGGCTTTGGCAGGGATGAGAGTTGCTTTTGTTGTTGCTGCTCTCGCCATGATGTGCTTCCGAACCCTCAAAGTAGGCTGGGTCCACAAAGCCAATCAACTTGTCATGTTCGACACCCATGTTGGTCCTTTGCCTGTCGAGCTCCGGCGGGCGATGGTCAGGGGGCGATGGAGCTTCACTAGGAGCAACCGGTGCCAGCGATCCAGACGGTGTTGAGGTGCTCCCGGCTGCCATTGCCCCTTGGAACTTGTCCAGACCCAATTCGAAGTGGCTGTGATCATGAAAGGATACAGTATCGGTGTCGAACAAGCTCCCGTCAAAAGTGGCTGAAATGTCCCCCATGTCAAACTCGTCAATGCTTGTCAGTTGCATGAAAGGTGGTGCAGAGATGGAAACAGCAGAGTTCCCAGAGGACGACGCAGACGATGACTCCGTGGCTGCGTCGCCCCGTATCTCCGTCGGAGGAGTCTTTCTCTTCCTCGCAACGGTGGTGGTGCTGGGGGTGGTGGTAGTGTCCACGTTGATGTTGTTGGTGGTGTTGTTGATAGTATCAGAAGTAGGTGAGCCTGGCTGCTGTGTCGTGATATGGCAAGGCACTCCCGCCTTGACACAGCGGCTGCAGGCTCCAAAGGAGATGATGATGTTGCCCTTTGCAACGAAAGGGCTCCTTTCACACCTCAGTTTCTGTCTGTGGCAACGGTCGCAGGCGAACCGGCGCGACTGGACCATGCTGAAGACGTTTTCTTCATCTGCGGACATGACGGCTTTGGGGCTCCCTGGGTGCTGCAACACATACCACAGCAGAGATACCACAGCACACCGCTCAAATCCGTCTCTTGCAGTTGCCAACTTGCTATTGTATTGCTGCTAGAGCATGATTGCGTAGGGGTGTGAGTCGCGGTCTTTCATACCCTTGATTAACACAGGCTCCGTCCGTTCCAATTATTGCAGTCTTTGGTGGTGGCAAGCCGCTGCGGGCAGAGTAAATTTGCCTGCGGCTGATGGTTTATTAGGGAAACGGATATTTTGAAAGAATAAAACGGATATTCGAGAGAAAATCTTGGACCACCCAATACACTTACCTCCTAACAGGGCCGCTCCAGCCAAATTTGGTAATACGCCTCTATATTTCAGCACATCATAAGGAAACCACTACTGCGGCCATGTAACACGTTCATCCGACCTTGTGCGTCCAGGTTTTCAGGTGGATGATCCAATTCATATGCCACACCAAGCTTTGTATAGGAGAGTAGAGTAGAACATATAATGCCAGCGTGAATTCTACCTGACGCTTTCAATTGCTCCCACCGCCGGTGGGTCGGTTGGTTCAGGTCCTATACCGGTGCTATGGCAATGTCGCCATCCCGAAATATGCTGTGCCGCCATTCCGTGATCCTGCCACGCCGCAACATTCATCGCACTGCTCCCCTGATTTGCCAAGCCGTGCCGCAAGCTGATGACAGCATGGTCTGACATGCGTGAAAGGATTCTCGGATTTTTTTCTGGTGTCTCAGCTTACTTACCCCGCGACTAAGATTCCTTCCTCCGCGACTAAGCTTCCTTCCTCCGGAACTAAGCTTCCTTCCCCCGGCAATCCCATTGCCGACTAAGCAGCTTAATTTTTCCTAAGCAGCTTGTTTCGTCCACATATTCTAAGCATCTTGCTTTTTTCTTAATTCCCATCAAAGCCCGAGCCATGTGGGTTGCGAGGCACCGAATCAACATGACTGTAAACGAAAATTAATGCAAGGGGCACAAAGAAGGTTCAGGGGTGGCCGCCGCTTTAGGCAACCATCAATTTCGTTATTACCCGAGCCCTCCGAGCGCACTGAGGCCAGTTGGGTCCCAGACTCACAGGCTATTGGTGTAGACTACATGAAAGGAGTGGTTGATCAGCTTACCAGTGAGGCTGACTGCGCTGTGAGGCTGACTGCACTGTAACGCTGTTTAAAGGCAGCAGAGTTGCACGGACCTGGGGAAGATGTTCGGAATCCCAATTTATCATTGGCCCATCAGACCTTATGTGTGACGACCTCCACTGGTGTGGGGGACCCGTGTGTGTACCGGGTCACCGAATTACTAATATAAGCCATGAGACTCAAGTCCGGTAGACTGGGAATCTTGCACCCTCTTGGGAACATGGTGAAGTTAGATGGCTTGTCAACTGCAGCCGTGACATTATCTGATCTACTGAAGGGTCAGTGATTTTGAATCCTCCTTTCAGTTAATACAATCCTTCTTGCATAAACGGGTTAATAGTTTGAACCATTTGATGCAGGTTGGTGATGCGTCCTTTTATTAATGCAGTTTTTCCCCGCTCTATATCACAGTAAGACGGAATTCCGTACATGGTGTGGCAAGATGACATGCAGTACACCACTCTGCTCTCTTCAAGTTGATTGCAACTGACGCAGGGGCTGAATCCAATAGGTCTGCCATCATCGGGTATGCAGATCAAGTCCAAACGCAGTTCTCATGATTACAATAGTTGAGCATGGTGAGGTTGTGTCTCAAAGTGAACAGGTGGAGCTTTTTTTTGTAAGAAGGTGGTGTAAATAATGGTGTAAGTTAAGTTTACAGGGATATTTAAAGTAAGAGAAAGTTGATAAATTGTGTAATGTCTTAAAGAGAAAAATAAGTAAAAAATTTAGAAAAATTAAAATAATAATGGATTTTTAGTTTGCTGGCTAGTGATGTTGTGTAATGTAGTAATGCCCTGTGGTTAAACATATGCTGTGTGTTGTGGTCTTGGGCCACCCTTGGTAAACCACCACAGGCACAAACCAGGCTGTAAACTTCATTTTCCGCTACATTCATCACCAAAAAGCTGAATATTTTTTAGATCATTCAAAATTAATCTAATATACGTTGCAAATTGAGTTCTATGAAGAAGTATTCCAATGACATAAGCAAGACCAAAGTTGGTTTATCCATCTAGGTGCAAATGGGAGCGATCCCAATAATATGGGCAAAAATCAGACTTCCAGCCTAGTTCGTGCCCATAGCGGTTTGCAGGGGCCCGAGGCTGCAACGCACAGTGAGTTACACGAGCGGTCAGAGTCGTCGCTCCCATTACTCCTCGTTCCCGCCATCGATGGCCCCATCTTCGGCTCGAACCAAAGACAGCCAACCAAACTCGTCCTTCGCCTTACCCAGCTGGATGTCCTTCAGCCGCTTCAGCAGCTCGAGAAATACTGGGCCGCCGCTCTCCTGCTCATCGTCTAGGTACGTCACGGTCTCAGAGTCGGCATCGGACACGACTCGTGGCCCGGCAGGCAGCTTCTGAACACTTGGTCCCGAATACAGCCCATTGGCCAATCCATTGGCCGATCCATTGCAGAGCCCCTTTGCACCGCTGGTCCGCCTCGTGATGGAGCGGATGGGACATAGCGCCACCCCGGTCCCGGCACCCAGCACCTCGCTGAACTCGGGGAGCTCCGTGTACGCGATGCGCCGCCTCTCGACCCCCCAGCCGCAGGCGTCCCGCGCGATCTGCTGCACGCTGTCGCTCGTGACGCTGTCGATGACGCAGGGCGAGTCCGGCACCACGAGCGTCACGCCCCCGGACCCGGGGGGGCCGCCGCCGGGGGGAGACCGGGTGCGCACCCCGATGAACCCGCACGTGCTGAACTCGTCCACCTCCTCGTGGCGCGCGCTGTCCAGGTGCAGCGTGATGCCGAAGCCGGACGCGCGGGCGGCGCCGCTGAAGCGCAGCACGGGCGCGTAGTTGCCGCCGACCTTTGCGTGGCCCGTCCCGCGCGGCGCCGCGCGGTCAAACTCGTCCAGGACCAGCGCCCGCGCCGGGAGCGGCGCGTCGTGGACGCCCGCGGGCGTCGGCGCCACGAACACGAGGAAGGCGTAGTCCTCGGCGGGCGAGGGCGGGAGCAGGGCGCCGGTGCCCAGCAGGAGGGGCCGCACGTAGAGGGCGCCGCCCGAGTCGTGCGGCGGGGCGTAGGCCGCGTTGAGCGCGACGGCGGCCCGGCACGCCGCCACGAAGAGCTCCGTGGGCACGGGCGGCATCGAGAGCACCTCGGCCGAGTGCTGGAAGCGCTGGGCGTTGCGCTCCGGCCGGAAGACGGCGACGCCGCTGGGGGTGCGGAAGGCCTTGAGCCCCTCAAGGCACTGTTGCCCGTAGTTGAGCGCGGGCGCCATGCCATGCATGCGAAGGTAGGGGTCCTTGACAAACTTGAGGGGCGTCCATTTGCCGGTAGCCCTGGAGTATGTCGATTCTATGTGTCCAATGGCTGCGGAGTCGCGTCAGGAAATGGGGATTGGCCAAGTGACAGTTGGGCGTTACATACCTTCGTGGAACTTGAGATTGTCCGTGTTTGTCCACTCAATCGTACTGACAGGAGGGGGCGGAAAGGGCGCCATGGTGTCGTGCGTGATGCTGCCGGCGAGCCTCCAGGACAATCTGGGACCCTCATGCGCGGGTTCTCGCTTTGGTTCATGGACTATATTCCCACAGGAGCCTGGCGCGAGTGACTGGCTGGCTGGGTCGCCTTTTCAATTCTCGGAACCCCCGAGGCTTAATCTTGTCGGAAAGCCGACACAGCAGAATGATGGACCTGCAAGGTAAGTGACCACGGCCAAGGGGGCCGGTGTGGCCAAAACAACCTTGGAAACGTCAAGCCGGAGCCATCATCATTCTTCCCGCGATTTACCTGGGGAGTAATCAAGCTGGTGACCAACGTGCCCATGATTACAAGCAGTTGCGGCTACGTAGTAAGTATATATCATCGATTCTTTGAGTTTGTCCTCCAGGGCTCACGGCCTCTACTCTGGCTGAATACATTCCACATCATTCTTCATTTGTACCAACCCCCCCCCCCGATACCTTGTCTCTAGTCGTTTTGAGGGAAGAAGCTTCATCATGATTGCACCCACCATCAACTCGGAGCGTGCCGTCGCCAAAATCTTTAACTCGGCCATCGCCGCGGCAGCCATCGGTGCAGCCTGGGAGGTCGGCCTTCTTGACGCAATATCAAACCAAGCAGCCGTCCACGTGCACAACTTTGCCGTAAAGCACGATCTGGACGCGGACTCGCTGGAGGGCGTGGTCAGCGCCCTCGCCGTCGCGGACGTTGTCGAGAGAGACCGTGATGCCGGCACCGTCACTGCAGGCCAACTGCTGGACGAGGCATACAAGATGAAGTCGCTCTTCCACTGGCTGGCTCTCGGGTCGGGAGGGCTCTTCTCCCGCATGTACGCTTCTCCGCACAAGACATCCCTTCTGCACTCACCCCTCTCTGCTCCGAGGCCATTTCTTCTAACACACGAGCGCTCTCTGCAATCTAGGCAATATGCCCTCCCCAACAAGAACCGCACGGGGACTTACTACTCCCGCGACCCCGTGGCCATCTCGTATGCCTGTGCCGAGGCCAACGCCCAGTTCTTCGACCCCGTGTTCCTCCCGGCCGTCGACGCGCTCGGGTACAAGTTCCGCGCCGTGGCCGACCTGGGCTGCGGCAGCGGGGAGCGCCTGATGCAGCTGATGGAGCGGCACCCGGGCACCACGGGCATCGGCGTCGACATCGCCCGCCCCGCCGTCAACGACGCCGCGTCCGAGGCCGGGAGGCGCGGGCTCGGGTCGCGGCTCTCCTTCACCGAGGGCGACGTGCGCACCATCGCCCCGCGCCCGGAATTCGCCCACGTCGACCTGCTCACCTCCTTCCTGATGGGCCACGACTTCTGGCCGCGCGAGAACTGCATCGCCATCCTGCGCAAGCTGCGCGAGGCCTTTCCCTCGGTGCGGCGCTTCTTCCTCGGGGACACGACGCGCGTCCTGCTCAACACGAGCCCCCGCGAGTCCAAGTATGCCATCGGCGAGGAGGACGTGCCCATCTTCACGCTGGGCTTCGAGGTCGCGCACGCCATGATGGGGGACTACGTGCCGACCATGGACGAATGGGAAGGGGTCTTTGCCGAGGGCGGCTGGAGATGCGTGCAGAAACACTTGATCCAGCCTCCGTCCCTGTCGGTGATCTTTGAGCTGGAGAAGGCTTAGGGAATGTTCGGGACGTCCCCGTGTTTTTAATCGTAGTGAAATGAATAAATAAGAACGTCATTCCCGGCCTCGACTGTACCTACCCAAGTATGTCTCTCTAGCTTCGGCAGTGCACAGGTGCAGCTATACCAAATGTATCCCATAACACTGAGCCAGAGCCTCAATGTCTTGTGTCACCGAGACGTCTTGGAGATTTCAAATAGACACAGGCTGCGCTTCAAGTTTTAAGCGGTGCAACTTCACAATCCGGGTCCACACGAGTACGAATCCAACCCTTGGCGGCGAAATTGCAAGTCGAGTCACTGGGAAGCTTATAGACCAACGCGTGTTGTTGCGAATTCTATTGCTCGTAGCATAAAAATACACAATACTACTTGCTCCCGTTTGCCTCTGCACTATGGCCTTCCAGGAGTGGTGACCGCGTGATCCCCAGCTTCTCATCCAGAAATTTGAACGTCCGCTGGTTCGCCAGTCTCAGCGCCCCCATCTTGGCCTGCAGCGACCCTTTGCTAGGCGTTGTCGTCATCCACAACTCCACCTTGTCCTTCCCCCCAGGCAAGTCGACCAGCTCCTGGTACACCCGCATGGTGTGGTGGTGGGGCTCGAGGTAGAGCGACTCGGACGCCCCCGAGACCAGGACGGGGCACCTGACGCGGCCCAGGTAGCCGCCGCCCAGCGTGTACTTCTGCATCTCCTTCATGATGAGCGCGGGCGAGCCCTGCCCGAAGAAGGCGCCCGCGGTCATGAGCTCCCAGCGCATCTGGAACGACAGCCTCATCATGACGCCGACGGCCGCGCTGATGAGCCCGTCGCCGACCCAGCCGCGCTCCCAGGCGCCCAGCATCGCCGGGGACGCGTGGGCGGTCGCGAAGTCCCAGAAGCTGTACAGCGGGTCGAGCGAGACGCACGCCTTGACGCGCGGGTCCGCGGCCGCGCGCAGGGCAAAGTACCCGCCCAGCGACGCGCCCGCCACGGCGACGCGCGAGGCGTCGAGCCCCAGCTCCGGGCGCGCGCCCGCAAGGTCCGTGACGAAGTCGAGGACGCGGCCCGCCACGGCCTCCCAGTCCGGGCGCATGGTGGTCCGGTCGCGCCAGAGCTTGACGCCCTGGCCGGGCCCCTCGAAGGTGAGCACCGCGTAGCCCAGCTCCGGGCCGGCCGAGGGGTGCATGTAGAAGAGCTCCTCCTGGAGGGCGTCGGCGCCGCCGCCGCTGATGAGGATGGGGATCTTGCCGCCCCCGGGCAGCCGGTGCTGGGCGGCAGGGAGGTACAGGTGGCCCGGGAGGGTGGTGCCGTCCTCGTAGGGGATGTCGACAAAGTGCACGGGGTGCGCGAACAGGGCCGCCGCCTTGCGGAAGATGGCCTGGACCTCCTCGGTGACGGCGGCCTTCCTCTTGTCGCCGGCGAGCAGCATGTAGCCGCTCGCCCGCGTGTAGTTGGAGCCCCGCAGGTAGGCGTTGCGGGCGGCCACGCGGTCGCCGCTCCTGCGGGCCTCCTCGGCGAGCTCGAGCGCCTGCTGGGCCTGGGCCGCCCACGCGCGGCCCCAGGAGTCCGGGTCGCCGTCCCTGATCTGCCCCACGGCCTCGAGGACCTCGGCAACGTCAGAGCCGCCATACACGGCGGTGCCCAGGATGCGGACGATCTCGAAGTCGAAAAACTGGCCCTTGAAGAAATGATGCATCCTGGCTGCTGTAAACCGGCCTGCTGGACTAACTGTACGGTATGGTTTCCAATGCTGCCAGTTACCCAACCACCACAGGTAATTTTTTTTAGTTGGTATATTCTACTGCCCAGGAATGCACTGGGTATGCTGCTTACGCTACTCACGGCGCACGACGGGCAGGCCGAAGTAGACCAGAGCCCCCAACTCAGAGCCGCGCGTGCATACAAAGCACAGTTACGCGGCACTCGTCTTCGGACTTCCGGTGCCTCTCGCCGGGTGGTTCAGAACGGCGGAGCCGCAAGGATTTCGTTCGGCGTCCCGTTCGGCGTCCCGTTCGGCGTCCCGTGCATCCCGCCGTGGGTGCTTAGTACACAGGGAGGCAGTGTACTTGAAACATGGTAGTCGACCAAATCGAGATTCAACCCAGCCGAACTCAGATCCTTGGAAGGATGAAGCACAGTCGGTATAAATGCAACATTTAACCCAAATACAGCCATGGCGGCAAATGGTTGGCTCGTGGTTGGTCAAGCGATATTGCAAGTTGGTGTTGGAAAAACAAACTTCAACAAGGGGGTGTTTTAGTGTGGCAAAAGTACGCCTATAAAGTACCTATATAAACAATAATATGACAGCACGGCTGAAACAACCAACTGAGAGGATGCTCATTTCTACCGACTGCTGCCTGGCGCTCTGCCTCAACATCCCATCATCGCTTGCAGTCAGGTCTCATTCGCAACACCACAAGCTCGGGGCCGGCCGGCTCCTTCGTAAGCATAAGGGTCCGCTAGGTTGGTGTAGTGGGTGCTTGTTGATTACTCGTATCAAAAGGAGACTATTCGCGATCGGTAGTTCACAGAAGGGAAGGATCGGCAGGGTTACGTGGTAACCCAAACCTTGTGTGTGCAACAGGTGCCGTTTACATCGGTGGGTGAGACACCGTCAGCACTGAGCACCTCTCCTTTCATCCCCTGAACCAAGCACTTGAGCAGCCCAACCATCAGTTCAACGCAGCAGGCCCTCACCAAAGGGCCCCCCCTCCCCTCCTTTTTCTTTCCCTCCCACATTCCCAATGCCTGAACCAGACACTATCGAAGCGCGTGAGTCACCCGGGGGCCCTCCCCCGGGAGTGGGCGCGTTCGCCAAGCGCCGCTGGTCCAAGGCCCATCCGCCCTCGGACCCAGCCGTCTCCTTCGCGGGCAAGGTGGTCCTCGTGACGGGCGCGAACACGGGGCTGGGCTACCAGGCCGCCGTCAAGTACGCCGCGCTGGGCGCCGAGCGGCTGATCCTCGCCGTGCGCACCGCCGACAAGGGCGAGGACGCCAGGCGCCGCATCGTCGAGCAGACGGGCTGCGCGGCCGACAGGATCGCGGTGCTCGCCGTCGACCTCTCCGACTTTGCCTCGGTGCGGGCGTTTTGCCACGCCCTGGGGGAGACGACGCGCACCCTCGACGTCGCCCTGCTCAACGCGGGCCTGGGCCGGCCCGCCTACACGACGTCTGCTGCGGGCTGGGAGATGGCGGTGCAGGTCAACGTGCTGTCGACGGCGCTCATGGCCGTGCTGCTGCTGCCCCTCCTCCGGGCGACCGCCGCGGCGAGGCCTGCGGGCGCGACGCCGCCGCACCTGACCTTTGTCAACAGCAACGGCCACGACATGGTGCAGAGGGAGTGGCTTGGCGAGGACCAGAGCCTCCTCCGGGCGGCGAACAAGGAGGACGGGTGGGTCGACAACAGGAGCTACGCCACAGTCAAGCTGATTGGTATGGCCGTCATGCTGGCTGTCGCCCGGGCGTCGGCTGGTGACACGGGCCCGGACTCGAGCCCTCAGCGGCCGCAGGTCATAGTCAACGCCGTCTGTCCGGCCCTGTGCAGGACCGATCTGGGCCGCAACTACGGCTGGCTTGCCAAGAGGGTCGGCATGCCCATATTCTACGGCCTGTTTGCTCGCACTGCTGAGGAGGGCTCGCGGTCCCTCGTCAGTGCGACCGCCCTGGGCCCCGAGAGCCACGGACGGTTCTGGCATCATGACATCCTGTATCCGTAAGTTCCACCCCGACACCCATATCTCGCTCCCCTCCACGTGTACGCGGTGACCGTTTGCACTGACACGGACATCTCTCTTTTGAGGCTGGGTGATTTGGCCAAGGACGAGGCTCTCATGGAGCAAACGTGGACAGAGGTCTTGGCCGTCATCGCGAAGGAGGACCCCAGAGTCGGACAAATTTTGGGGAGGGTGGATTGAGCAGCTATCTTTCATGTTGTTGGCTCAGGCAGACAGAGCTCTGTAGTCGTAAACCAACCGTGCCTCAGCCTTTTGGTCTCCCTTAGTCGTGATACAATACTTGCAGAATCGTCGTTCTCCATTCACCTCCTCAAACCCCCACGTCGCCACGGTTTGCCATCCAGTGTTCACCCCACCCGACCTCTCTTCGATGGCAACACGTCCGTCACCTCCGACAGGATCTTCTATCTCCCGACCCAGCGTCGCTTCCTCGCTCACCTCCGCCCTGGAGACATAACTCGCCTTCATCGACATGGCGCCAAAGATGGGAACGGTGTCGTGGCGCGTCTGTCCATCGAGGATGTAGCGATTCGCCGTGTCGAAGCCCCCGGGCCTGACTGTCTGCTTGACGTTGATGATGGTGGCAGACTTCGTGTCGGGCTCATCCGAGACCTGCTGCTTCATTTCGATCTCGAGTCTGGCGTACGCGATGACCTTTCTGATGATCCAGGGGATGCCTTGCTAGCAGGTCAACAAGCATCATCAGCACAGGTGAGCTCCACGGCTGGTCTCCTCGTCAAGTAGGTACTTACCACGGCGAAGGTAGCGTCCAAATCATCCGATTCCGCACTGTTCAGTGACCATATACCCGTCATGTTCAGGATGTTGGTATCTTCCGGAGCAGCCATCTCGTGTCTCTTGTCATTTGCCTAAACGCCTACCGTCTCAATATCTGCAACTCGGTATCCAAATGTCTATATCCTTATCCTTTTTTCTTTTTCTTTTTTCCCTCTTCGGCCATGACTTCCAGCCAAGTTGTGCATGGGTCGGGTGGTGCACCAGTCCGGATCTCCGGTGTGTTCCTCGGAGTCGGGCCGCCGAGTACCCAAATCTGACGCACGTCCAATTCTCCTCATAACTGCAATGAGTAGAAGTGAGAGCAATACAATACAGTGGCTTTGACAGGAAGCCCCTACCTCAAGATATAATCGATCATCTTGTGTCTGACTTTCGTGGTTTCAGACAATATCAGAATTATCAGCAAATATGTTGTCGGTGACTGAATTCCTCGAGCATTATCATGTGGTACGGCAGACGTTCGCGCCGCTGAGGCTGACGCGCTGGCAGCTGACGAAGCTGATGGCGGCCCAGCTCTGGAGGGAAGCGTCTCCTCTGGCCAGGACAGTCTTTGTCACCGCCGTCGTCTCTCTCCTGCTGCTCGTCGTCTCACTTGTCCGAGGCCGGACGGCGCTCCAGAGGCTGAACCTTCCCCGCGCGGTCAAGTCGAGACGGTCCGGGCCTGGCCTCACCTACGACTTCAGGCAGGTGATGGAGGACACGGCCAAGAAGCACCCCGACTCGCCGTTCCTGCTCACCGCCTTTGGTGTCGAATACGTCATCTTCCCTTCCATCGCCTTCGATGAGATCAAGAGGCTCCCGGTGACGCAGGCCTCGGCTTTTGCTTTTTTCCGCGAGGTGTTCTACGCGCCATGGACCGGCGCTGGCGTGCAGACACCAGACCTGGGCAAGTATGTTATCATCCGACTGAGAACAATGAACGACTCGAGACGAACACGAACTGACAAGTCACGGCTGGCAGGACGATCGGCTCGGAGCTGACACGGGCCATCCCATCCCTTGTGCAGTGGAGACAGCAGGACTGTGCCGCGGCCTGCGACATGACGATCGGGTCGTGCCCGGAGTGGAAGCCGATGACGCTCTACGCAACCATGCAGGACTTGATCGCCTCCATCAACGCCAGCGCCTTTGTCGGGCGGGACCTGGGCACCGATCAGAAATGGATCCGCGCCGTTGACCGCATGTGCGTACCCTCACACGGGCTGACACGTTCCTTTTTTTTTCTCTTTTTCTCTCATATTCCCCGGCTGGGAGGCTCTAACATGATTGCTGACCATCGATAGGCCTATGATGATGGCTTATCCCACGATAGTCCTCAGCCTCCTCCCTCCCATCGTCCGGCCCATCCTCAAACCGTTCCTCTTCGCGCCGCTCAAATGGATCCACCGGACCATCAAGGGGATGCTGGTCCCCGTCATCACCGCAGACTGGAAGGAGTACGAGACCAGCACGGACAAGAAGAAGCTTCTTGGCCCACAGGAACAGGGCAAGGCTCAGATCACAGGGTGGCTGCTGTCCCGGTACAAGGGCAAGAGCGAGCGCCGCAAGATGGACGACCTCGTGCAGGACTACATGAGCCTCATACTCGAGTCGACAGCGTCCTCCTCCTTGACCCTGTACTTCCTGGTTTTAGAGCTGGCGGTCGATCCGGGCCTAGCGGACGAGCTGCGCCAAGAGATTGAGGAGGTGACCTCGGGCGGCCGCCTGCCGCAGACGCACCTGAACGAGCTGCGCAAGATGGACAGTGTCATGAGGGAGTCTGCCCGTATGAACGGCTTCAGCAATCGTAAGTGCCAATCCACAATCACTCTCCAATGAAGGGCCACCGGGATCTTGAAAGACTCTGACCTGCTGCCCTCCCTGCGGCGCCCAGTCGTGCTCTACCGCAAGCTCCTCGCCCCCACAAAGTTCACCCTGGGCCCCGAGCTCCCGGCGGGCACCAAGATCTGCTGCGACGCGCACCACATCAACTACTCGCCCAGCCTGTGGAAGGACCCCGAGGTCTTCGACGGCCTGCGCCACTACAGGGCCCGGCAGAACCCGCAGAACGAGAACCGCTTCAAGTTCGCCACCCTGGGGTCGGACACGCCCAACTGGGGCGACGGGACGCAGGCGTGCCCCGGCCGCTGGTTCGCGGACAACTCGATCAAGATCGCCATCACGCACCTGCTGCTCAACTACGACTTCAAGCTCAGGCCCGGGGAGGAGAAGCCCAAGAAGAACTTCATGCCGAACGGGACCCTCATGCCGGACCTGTGGGCGAAGGTGTTGTTCAAGTCGCGAAAGAGGGCCGGGGCAAAATGAGGACTGGCATGTATCGTGGGATACATGGGGAGATACTATTGTTCTGGTGGGCTGTGCGTGTGGCCCCGGGCCATGCCCCCCACCCTCTAGGAAGAAAAGTCAGCATCAGTAGCCGATGCTTCCATTCGCTCGTTTGATTAAATAGAATGACCATCTTTTCCTCCTTGTTCTGATGGCGTGGATATGATCAGATTTACAGTAGCATTGCCTTCGTGCATTGATTCTTTGTGAATTCCTTTCCCGATCCACGGGGCTGCGAGCCCTTGGCCAGTGATGTTACAAACGCAAACCAAACCCTTCTCGATGTCACAATATGAGGATATCATCCACGTGTTCTCATGCTGAATTGAACAAACATGACCCCCCTCAAGCTGATTCATGCGCAGAACTCTGAGGTCGGGATCCCTCTCAATGCGGCTTACATCATTCGGAAAGACATCAAGAAGGACCTGGGTGAGTACACACATACATGCGCCATGGCCATTATGGTGACGAGCAGGAGCCACAGGAATGATGACCGACTACGTTGCGTGGGTTATCTGACGCCGGAGATGTACGATCTGCTGCGAGAACACCAGCCGCATGGTTAGTATTCTGATCAAGTGACGAGAGAAGCGGATGGGACACTTGGTCGGTGGTAGAGTGCGAAGGATTACTTCGTCAGCATTCTGGCGGGTGGTTATTTTTGGTGCAAATCCGGACATCGGAACGGCCGATCGTATTACGACAAGGCCGGGATTACCAGCACTTGTATATAATTAGAAGTTATTCCACATATATTCCGCCGTGTGTTTTTCATCCATCCTCGCCGTCGACTGTGGTGGACAGCCCTGTCCCGAGTTGCGCACACACCTGGCCTCTGGACAACATAATGCTCATACAATTCGGTTTATTTACCCTAGGCCTGGTCGCGCTGACCAGCACCCGTTTTGTCCAAGGGGAGCCACTGGAGTCCGACTGGGCCTCCCTGAACGCCTCAGTGGGCGGCAGGCTCTTTGCGGCGGAGCCCTTTGCTCGCCCCTGCTTCTCAGTACTGGAAGGACAGCCAGTGACTCCCGACGCTGCCCAGTGCGCCATCATACAGGACAACTACTTCAACGGCTCCTATCGCACCAACTTTTACTCGGGTTTCATGCACTCGTACAATGAGGAGTGTGCGTCAAATGTAACGGACCAGTGTGTCCTCTCGGACGAAGATGCAGTGACGGGCCTGGTCTCCGGGTCTTGCAACCGGGGTTCCGTTTCTGAGAGATACATCTCCGTGGCCGGCCCCGAGGATGTCCAGGCCGCGCTGGGCTTCAGCCTGCGGACCGGCGTGAGCCTCTCCGTCAAGGCCTCGGGCCACGACTACGGCTCACGCAGCAGCCTCAAGGGCTCCCTGGCCCTCTGGACGCGGAACCTGCGAGACATGTCCTACGAGCCCGCCTTTGTCCCCTCGGGCGCCGCGGCCGCGCCCGTCCGGGCCATCACGGTGGGCGCGGGCGCCAACCTCGGCGAGGTCTACGCCTTCGCCGACCGCCACAACGTCACCTTCGTCGGCGGCTCGGCCGAGACCCCCGCCGCCGCGGGCGGGTGGACGCTGCTGGGCGGCCACGGCGTGCTGACGCCCCTGTACGGGCTGGGCGCCGACCGCGCGCTCGAGTTCCGGCTCGTCACGCCCGACGGCGCCCTCCGCACCGCCAACGCCGCGACGAACCCGGACCTCTTCTGGGCGCTCCGCGGGGCCGGCGCCGCGGCCTTCGGCGTGGTCCTGAGCGCCACCTTTGTCGTCGAGCCCGCCATGCCGCTGACGCTGGCGCTGATGCAGTTCAACGCCACGCCGGCCGCCACGGCGCCCTTCCTGCGCCTGCTCGCGGACCAGACCGCCTCGTGGGCTGTCGACGGGTGGGGCGGGCCCATGTCGCCGGGCGCGCTGGCGCTGGTGACGCCGCTCCTGGGCGTCGACGCCGCCAGGCGCTCCATGGAGCAGGCCGCCGCGTTTGTGACCGACCAGGGCGGCACGGTACTCATAACCCGCCTGGGGTCCTTCTACGACCTGTACACCACGTATTTCGAGGCCACGACCTCCCCGGGCTACGCGTCGGCGACGTTTGCCTCCATGCGCGTCATCCCCAAGTCGCTGCACCGGTCGGCCGCCGGCCGTGCGTCCATCGAGGAGACCCTCGTGGCCCTGTCAGACGCATCCCTGACGCCGTACATCTTCCAGACGGCCCCGGCCTCGTACAGCTACAACGACAGCGACCCGGCGCAGGCGAACGCGATGCACGCGGCGTGGCGCGACAGCTACTGGATCGTCGGCACGCAGGTGGCGTGGCCCTGGGACGCGGACGCCGGGGGCCGCGCGGCCACCGCCGCGCTGCTGCAGGAGGCGTCGCGGAACCTGACGTCGCTCGCACCCGACGGGAGCATGTACCCGAACCTGGCGGACCCGTGGGTCGAGGACTGGCAGCGCGAGTTCTGGGGCGAGGAGAAGTACGCGAGGCTGCTGGGAATCAAGGACAAGTACGATCCGCATGGGCTGCTCGGCTGCCGCAGGTGCGTCGGCTTCGGCGACGGCACGGCGCCGACAGACCCGGCATACCAGTGCCTTGACGCTTTCCAGGGCGCCCGCAGGTAATCTGTAAAAAAGTAGCGGACGGATATTCTGCACAAATCAAAACATGTAATAGACACACTTTGGATTTGACCATGTCAGGGCGTCAGGTCCCTCCTTTCAGGTCCCCCTCCCCCATCTGACCACCGAATTTGCAAGTTAATTTAATGCTGCACCTAGTTGCTTCCCCCAGATTCGTTGCTGCGATTCCACTTACTACTATAAATGCGGCTTAATTTTATCTTGATGATGTTTAAACTGCTGAAAAGCCTGTGAGAAGAAAAAGTTTAGCAAACATATTTTTAGCAAATAAGTTTATAGTAAGGAAAACGGATACTCACACCCATTAAAGTAAATAATATCTTTATATATAATTATTAATTTAAAAATATAATACCTTATATAATCTTTATTATTATTAATTTTAACTTCCTTATATTTTATTATATTAATCTTTATAAATTAATTAATTTAATAAAGAAATTACATTTAATTACTTAAATTTTATGTTTTTAAAATGTAATTACATATTATTAAACTTTGCTAGGCAATTACTGGCTAAATATACTAGGCAAGGTGAAAAGTTTATGCAATGATTAAGTTCTTAAAATGCAAATAGCATGTTTTATAAGAAGAATTCGCATATTGCCTGAGATCTCATACACCCTGGAACCCTGGAATGCCTACTCAACTTACTCGGGTATTGAATCTTACTCAGCCTTGCGCACAGACCGCAGCCTTGTCTAAGCCGCTCTGGAGTAGTCCTTTGTGGCCCCACCTTTCTTTCAGATGTGAGTAAATGGCCACTTCACCCTGAACTCGAATCACCAGGCAGTGCAACGTTGCACCCTTGCAAGTGGGTAACTCCGGCGTCAAAGTGCATTGGTTTGTGGGTCGGAACGGCTGACTGTGTGGACTCAGCTTTGGCGGGATATGCAGAGAGGACATCGGAGTGCCGATGCTGACGTGTCGGACGAGCCGTAGCCTTGCCGGGCTGCCGATCCGCCTCCGAGCCGGTCGGACATTGGCCCCACTGCCCAGGTCGGTAAGACCCAATCCTGCACTCCGTCATCTGCAAACCTCAAGCCTTTCGGCTCTCAGGCCCCTGGGCTTAAGAAATGAGAGGGGAGATTCGCAGGGCTCAAATCGGAGGGTGCAGGGGAAATGCTTAGTTAGCAGCCACCCAGAGCGCATCTCTCACAGCTAATTCGCATGCCTGATTTGCATATTCAATTTACATACCCAATTCACATACTTCATTCTCACGCTTATAGCTAATTTATATACCTTATTTATTTAGGTAATCTTAAGATTATAAATTTATGTTAAGTATAATGATTAAATATAATAGTTTAGCAATTAAATAAATGCTTTACATACTAATTTAGGTGGTGTACATTATTGGTGCACTAAGGGAAATATACCCCTGTACGCTCTGATTTGAGCCCTGCGAATCTCCCCTCTCCTAGAAATCATGACGTTGCTCGGAAGATGCGCCAGTCAACATTGGTCGGCTGTCACAGCCACAATCACATTGATTCTGGCCTTCTGTCACGATATAAGACCAGGGGTATCATGTAGAGTGTGGCGTCACATTATAGTACAGTGGTCTAAAACGCGGCACCTTCCCTTGACAATTGGTGACGAAGTCTAACGAACAATTGAAAATGGCGGAGCTCGACAGCGCTGCTCATGACCCAGTGCAGACCGGCAACGCGCTGCTCGAAGCAGAGACCGGGGCAGGAAGCGATGCTACCCATGTGCACTACTACTACCGACCATTCACCCAAAAGAGACGTATCAGAGTCTCGCAAGCCCTCCTGGAGAGCAGAACAACTACACGTGAATGTTCTCGCTTGTCTTCGCCGCCCTGGCCCATTCTGCGATGAAGACGGAGCTGGACACCGAACTCGGGCTGGAGGACCGGAACAAGACATCTGACTAACCAACAGGCCAGTCAAACCAGAAGCCGACCATAAACGATCCCAGCCCGTGAACGGAGTTGTAGACCGGGCCACTTGTTGGTTGGTATGATGAACAAGATTCCGGTCTGGCCCGAGTCCTTTCGCTGTACTTGTACAGCCTCACAGCTCGTCATGCACGTAGTTTGGCTTGAACAGGTACGAGTTCTTAGGGAACTCCAAAGCCTCGGCAAAGGCCGCGCCGTGGTACTGTCTCAGCCCGATCGGCCCGCCAACCGCCTCGGCCGAGAACCCAGTTCCACCGACACCCTCGCCCAACATGTACTCGAACCCCACGTTCTTGGCGGTCACTGTGAAGCTCCACTGCTTCCGCCTCTTTGGGGACACCATGACCAGCTCCAGCCCGGTCATCTTGTCCTTGAGGTTGCCCGTCACCTTGCCGCCGTACGTCTTCTCCAGGACCGCGTAGTCCTCGGTGTCGGACGGGGAGTCGTGGGTCGCCGAGAAGACGTGCTCCCCGTCCTCCCACATCGCCACGGACGGCCGGTACAGCGTCTTGTCGACGGCCGAGCCGTAGCTGACGTGCGTCAGGGCGTACGGGCCGGCCATGATGCGCAGCGCCGTGAAGGTCCTCAGGCACGTGAACCAGCTGAAGGCCGTCCACAGCCTCTCGTGGCCGCCGAGGCCCGTGAGCCGGTACGGCTCGCCCTGGATGTCGGCCTCGAGGGTCACCCTGCCCACGGGGATCGGCTCGACCCAGCGGAAGTAGGGCACGACCTCGGTCGTGGCCTTCTCCTGCGGGAAGACGGAGCCGTCCGGGTACCGCGGGCCCGTGACCGACTGGATCAGCGCGGTGCCCTTGAGGTCGTCCGTGTCAAAGGTGATGCGCGCCGTGCTCATGTCCTTGGACACCTCGAACGTGTAGCTGTAGTCCTCGGTCTTCCACGTCCCGCGCGTGTGCCCCGGGCACGACTCGACGATCGAGTCGGTCGGGTAGTCGACCCGCACGAAGCGCGTCCCGTTGGGGTAGGCGAACTCGGCCGAGAGCCGCAGGTTGCCCGTGCCGAGGATCGCGTAGTTTGGGTCGCGGTAGAAGCCGATGCAGAACATGGTCAGGCCGTCGTCGGACACGCCGTCGAACTCCCACTGCTCGCCGCCGGTCGAGTTGAGCGGCAGCATCTTGGGCGCCTCGGGGTCGTCGAGAGGGCTGGTGGAGAAGAAGACGCGCTTCTTCCGGTCCTTCTCCATCTCATAGGTCGTCAGGTGGCTGACGGTGCAGCCGTCGCCATCCGTCACGGGATGCTGCGACGCGTCGCCTGAGTTGGCAGCATTGGCGCTTTCCAGGCATTGTGCCTGTGTGAGGAGGCAGGTGAGGGCCAATAGCAAGGAACGACGATGCATGTTGAGGCTGCTGTTGCCGTAGGTATGAGATACAGTAGAAACGAAACTCCTTCGTTGAGCGACGAACGTGTCACCAGATTGCTCCTGTGCAGATGCTACAACACCACTGGGAATCAATGTCCCAGCAAACGAAGAGAATGTGGATATAGAGATGTCATGGTCACGGGACCTTGGGGGGGATTTTCGGACAAGCCGAGGCGCCACGGTGATCCAGGGGGGATGGTATCCGTTGTCAGCTCCGATATGCAATGCACCAAAAATGGCCGGGTTGCGCCGGTGCGTGGTTTTGTGGGCACTCCGGATTGGAGACGGCTTACTCTCTGGCGCACATCAGTGCGGAATTTGGGTTCGAGCATAGGAACACAGGCGAAGGTCTCCTTGTGCTTGGTGAGCCAGCTTCAACCTGCCCATCCACCCATCTGCTGCAAGCTCGATGCGCATGATGTCGTCCAAGGCGCCCAAGATACCCCCCTCACACACGGCCATCATCCAGCATGAAGGCGGAACCACCAAGATCACCACGGGCCTGCCACTTCCGGTGCTGGCCCCTGGGCAGGTCCTCGTCAAGACCGCAGCAGTCGCCCTGAATCCGTGCGACTTCAAGATGCCGCAAAGGTTCCAGAGCCCTGGCACCTACGCCGGATGCGACTTCGCCGGAACGGTCGTGGCCCTGAGCGACGAGGTGGCCGCCAACGGGCTGCTCAAGATGGGCGACCGCGTATTCGCCGCCGTGATTGGCAACAATCCCCACGACAAGGACTCCGGGGCCTATGGGGAATATCTCAAGGCGACTGCTGTGTTCTCCTGGAAAATCCCGGACTGGATGTCCTTCGAAGAGGCAGCGGGTCTGAGCGGCACCTGCATTGCGACCGCATGCATGTCTCTATTCCGGTCTCTGCAGCTTCCTGGGACTTTCGAAGAGCCTGCGGCGAAACCGCTAGACGTCCTGATCTGGGGTGGTGCCACGTCGGTCGGGACCATGATGATTCAGATGGCGAAGCTGTGAGTGCTTTCTTTGACTCTCCCGATACACCCACTCTCGAAAGTCGTCATGACAATATTGACATGAAATGCTTCGGCGGGCAGTATGGGGCACCGAGTCATCTCAACCTCGTCGCCGAAGAATTTCGACCTTGTCAGGTCATACGGGGCAGACGCCGTCTTCGACTACCACTCGCCTACGTGCGCTGCCGACATCAAACAAGCCACACGAAACAACCTGCGATTCGTTGTGGACCCGTTCTCCCAGGTGAGGACGATGGCCCTCTGCGATGAGTCCATGGGCCGGGCTGGAGGGCGATACGTGGCTTTGGAATCGTATCAGGAGAGTTCGGACCGCAAGTCCAAGCTGATCAAGAGAGAACTCATCATGGGGCAGGCGATTACTGGAAGGGCGATCAAGCTGACAGATGGCTATGGGAAACCAGATGACCCCGAACTGGGCGTCTGGGGAATTGAGTGCTACAAAAGCATCCAGCGGCTGGTCAACGAGCGCAAGCTAAGGCCGCACCCTCTCAAGATCCTAGATGGGGGGTTTGAGGATGTTCTGAATGGCCTGGAAATGCTGAAGAGAAAGGAATTATCGGGTGAGAAGATAGTCGTAACGTTAAAGTAAGATATCGAGCAACAAATACGACTTCACTAAAACTCTTGGCCCCGGCGGAACAGCTGTTAGATGAGACGATCTGTAGATTTCTTTGTGCATCAAAACCACTAAATACGCATGACAGTGTGCTGGGGGGCCACTGTTGGCCAAGTCGTCGTCATTGCTATCATCACCGCCGCCACAGCCCAGGATGCGCACATGATTTTGGCAGCGAATGCGGTGCTCGAAAGCCTCAGAAACTAAGTCCGGTCCCGGGGAGCCTCACATCGCATCCAAGCTTCGGTCCATACGGCCATGCCGTTTTGCCACGGGAGAATCCACGTGAGTAGGCAGTCAAGGCCCCGGATTACATCCAGGCTGACATCAGTCAGCAGTCCGGACGCAGGCACTATTGTCGCTGCGGCCACCGGATCCTTTCGGGTTCTCCGACAGCCTTTCGGTGTTGCACACTCTTATTATTGCTTCATCCCTGTACTGGACTACAAGTAATACTATCCTCCTATGTAGTCATCCGCTTTGTCTCACTCTTCGATTTCTCGGAATTTTTTATTTTGTGCCCGGATCGAAACGTGCCTCGTGAAGCTTCAATTTCAAGGGAGAAAATCTGTTGAATAGATAGTCATGAAGCACGCGTCGGGAAAGCCGCAGGGCCAGGGACAGGGAGCCCAGGAGCCGATTGCCATTGTTGGCAGTGGCTGCCGCTTCCCTGGTAGCTCCACCTCGCCTTCCAAGCTCTGGGAGCTTCTGAAGGAGCCGAGAGACATTGCCAAGGAGATCACAGAAGACAGATTGTAAGTGGTTCTCGAGCCGGGGATGAGCAATTTCTGATGTGCCCATGCCACGAGGTTCCTGCTGACTCGTTTCGACCAGCAACGTTGATCGGTACTACCACCCGGACAACAAACATCATGGAACAAGCAACGTCCGCCACTCGTATCTCCTGGAGGAGGATTTCAAGTCATTCGATGCAGCCTTCTTCGGGGTGAAACCCGTCGAGGCTCTGGCTATGGATCCTCAACAGCGGCTGCTTCTCGAGACCGTCTACGAGAGCCTCGAGACTGCGGGCATTGCCATCCATCACCTCAAAGGGTCCCAGACCGGCGTCTTCGTCGGGAACATGGGATGCGACTATTCGGAGCTCGTGGGACAGGACCTCGACTCCTTCCCGCTGTACTTTGCACCCGGGACGGCGAGAAGCATCCTGTCCAACCGGGTCTCCTACTTCTTCGACTGGCACGGCCCGTCCGTCACAGTCGACACGGCATGTTCCTCGAGTCTCGTCGCGGTGCACCAAGCCGTGCAGAGCCTGCGCCTGGGCGAGGTGCCTGTCGCTGTGGCCTGTGGCACGAATCTGCTGCTCAGTCCGTCCCAGTATATCGCTGAGAGCAAACTCAAAATGCTCGGGCCAACCGGGCGATGCCAAATGTGGGATGAATCTGCAGACGGATACGCAAGAGGCGAGGGGTTTGCCTCGGTGGTGTTGAAGACACTCAGCGCCGCGCTGAGAGACGGCGATAATATCGAGTGTCTGATTAGGGAGACCGGGTGCAATCAGGACGGGCGAACAAAGGGTGGGTGTGTTTTTTTTTTTTTTCTTCTCCTTTTCTTCTTCTTGCGTTCCCCGAGGTATTGATAGAGACGATGAGTCCTCGTCACTGACAATTGTTCTTTTAGGCATCACCATGCCCAGCCCTCTGGCACAGGCAGATTTGATCCGGGAGACGTACAGACGAGCCGGCCTGGACCTAAGTAAGGCCAGTGACCGGCCCCAATATTTCGAGGCCCACGGGACCGGCACGCCAGCCGGTGACCCAGTAGAGGCCGAAGCCATCAGCACGGCATTTTTCGGCCCAGCGAGCGGCTTTCGGCGGGGGGAGCGGGATCCGAAACTCTACGTCGGCTCTGTCAAGACCGTCATCGGGCATACCGAGGGCACAGCCGGGCTGGCGGCCCTCCTCAAGGCGTCGTTGGCCATGAAAGCTCGTCGCATTCCGCCAAATCTCCATCTCAACCGGCTGAACCCGGCCATAGAGCCCTTCTACGGAGATCTCGAGGTCCCAACCACACTCAAGGAATGGCCACAACTCGAGCCGGGCCGCCCCCTCCGGGCCAGCGTCAACAGCTTCGGGTTTGGCGGCGCTAATGCTCACGCGATTCTCGAGAGCTACGAACCACCTGTTCCGAAGCCCCCATAAGGCATCCCCAGCGGCAGCAGCATGCGCACCCGTGTTTTCCCCGTTCACCTTCTCCGCCAACACCGAGAGCTCCCTCTCAAAGACGCTGTCACACTATAGGGCCCATCTCGAGCTGAACCCCGACACAGACCTCCGCGACCTGGCTTTCACCCTCAACAACCACCGTTCGGTGCTGGACAAGCGCACCTTTGTATCGGCAGTCGATCTTGACTCCCTCAAGGAGAAGTTGCAGTCACGTAGCAAGGAAGATGTGGTCAGTTCGAGAGATGGCGGCGGCGGCGGTGCTGCAAGGCCCGCTGGTTCTCGAAGTCGCATCCTGGGCGTCTTCACCGGCCAGGGCGCGCAGTGGCCACGGATGGGGGCTGACCTCATCCTGAGCTCACCGGCTGCCAGGGCCATCTTGGAGGATCTCGAAGACAGTCTTGGGGGTCTGCCCGATGAGGACCGGCCCACATGGTCACTGATCGGGGAGCTGCTCAAACCTGCGGAGTCGTCTCGCATCCATGAAGCCCACATCTCCCAGACGCTCTACACCGCCGTCCAGATCATGCTGGTCCAGCTCCTGCGCGCCGCCGGCGTGTTCTTTAGTACCGTGGTCGGGCACAGCTCCGGAGAGGTCCCGGCTGCCTATACGGCAGGGTACCTCTCCGCGCGGGACGCTATCCGCGTCTCGTACTACCGTGGCCTGAATACGCACTGGGCCAAGGGCCCCGGGGGCCAAGATGGGGGCATGATGGCCGTGGGCACATCATTCGAAGACGCAAAGGAGCTCACCGAGCTCGACAACTTTGCGGGGCGGCTGGGGGTCGGTGCGAGCAACTCCAGCTCCAGCGTGACCTTGTCTGGGGACCTGGATGCACTGCAAGAGGCAAAAGAGGTCCTGGATGCAGAGGGCAAGTTTACCAGGATGCTCAAGGTCGACAAGGCATACCACTCTCACCACATGCTACCCTGCATCGATCCCTATGTGCGATCGCTGCAGGACTGCGGCGTGGTCGCCCACACGCCGCGCGACAGTTCCTGCCCCTGGATCTCCAGCGTGTACGTCAGGGACATGAGTACCGTGACCGAAGACCGGGTGCAGGACAGGTACTGGAGCACCAACATGACCAGGCCGGTCATGTTCTCGCAGGCACTGTCGTATGCCCTGGGCGGGGAGGAGCCCTTCGACTACATTGTAGAAGTCGGCCCCCACCCTGCGCTCAAAGGCCCCGCCGGCCAGACCGTGCAGGAGGTGCTGGGGCAGAAGCTCCCGTACACCGGATGTCTGCGCAGGGGGGAGAACAGCGTCGAGGCATTTGCCGACTGCCTGGGCCATATCTGGTCTACCCTCGGCCCTTCGGCCGTCGATTTCGCAGGCTACGAGTCCTTCCTGTCCGGGGCCGCCGAGCAGCGACTGCTGTCCGGCCTGCCGTCGTATGGATGGGACCATGACCGCAGCCACCATTTCAAGTCTCGTCTCTCCAAGGCAATCCTGACGGACAGCACGCCGACGAATGAGCTGCTCGGCATCAGGGGGACGGACAATAGCACTTCTCAGGTGCGGTGGCGCAACAGCCTTCACTCGGCCGAACTTCCCTGGCTGCTGCAGCACCACGCACAGGGCCAGACGGTCTTCCCCGGAATGGGTTATGTTTCCACCGCCCTGGAGGCCGTCAACCAGCTCTTTGGCGGTGATTCGATCACCACGGTCGAGATCCGAAACCTCGTCATCGGGCACGCCCTGGTCATCGAGGAAAACGTGGGGGCCGAGACCGTCTTCTCCGTGACGGCCATCACGCGGACGGCCGACAAGATCACCGCCCACTTTGCCTTCCTCAGCCACCAGGGAAACGATCCAACCAAGTTGATCGAGAACGCCTCGGGCGAGCTTCACGTCATGCTTGGCCGGGCCTCGGAGGACGCCCTCCCGGGCAAGCTCGAGACCGACAGCCAGCTGAAGGATCTGGACGAAGAACGCTTCTACTCGTCAATCGCGAGCCTCGGGTATGGATACACCGGCCCGTTCAAGGCCCTCACGAGCCTGCAGCGCCGGATGGGAGCCGCGACCGGTCTCCTGACCATTCCACAGCAGACTGCATTCTTCGACAAGATGCTCGTCCACCCGGCAGCCCTGGACGCCACGGTACAGTCCATCCTGGCGGCCTACTGTTTCCCCGGGGACACGCGCCTCCAGGGCATCCACCTGCCCACGGGCGTTGACTGCATCCGGTTCAACTTCGCACACTGCGTCGAGCAGCTGAACCCCGGGGCTCAGCTGCCCTTCTGGGCATCGGTCGCACTGACCGACGAGGACGACGCGCAAGACGTCGGTGGCGATGTCGACCTGTACTCCCAGTGTGGCCGGTTCACCTTGATCCAACTGCAGGGCCTCCACACCAAGCCGCTCTCGCCGGTGTCTGCCGCAAAAGACATCCACCTGTTCTCCGAGGTGGTGTGGAAGCCCGAGGCCCCCGCCGGGGCCAACCTTGAGCTCCACGGCGAGCGGCTGGCCATCGAGAGCGAGATGTTCGACGCAATGGAGCGCGTTGCTTACTTCTACATGCGGACCCTGAGGAATGAGCTGCCACCGGGCCACTCACGTCGTGACCTGGCCCAGCACCATGTGCGCTTCCTCGAGTGGGCAGACCACGTGCAGGACCGTGTTGCGGGCGGGAGCCTGCGCCATATCCACAAGGACTGGGAAGGCGACACGGTCGACGACATCCGCCGACTCGTCGCGAGGTTCCCCGACAACATCGACCTGCAGCTCATGTATGCCGTCGGTGAGAATTTCCCGCGCGTCTTCAGAGGCGAGATCAACGCCCTTGAGCCCATGGTCCAGGACAACATGCTCAACAGGTTCTACGTGGACGCCATGGGCATGTCCCAGTACACCGAGGATCTCGCACGCATGGTGGCACACCTGACGCACCGGTACCCGCACATGAAGATCCTCGAGGTCGGGGCAGGGACGGGCGGGGCCACCAAGGTCATGCTGCGGAGGCTCGACAACGCCTTTGCCTCGTACACCTACACCGACATATCGAGTGGGTTCTTCGGGGAGGCGCGCGAGGTCTTCCAGGCCTACGAGTCCAGGATGGTCTTCAAGACCCTGGACATCGAAAAGGACGTCGTCGAGCAGGGCTACGAGGAGCACTCGTTCGACGTCGTCGTCGCGAACCTGGTCGTGCACGCGACGCGGAACCTCGAGGCCACCCTGGCGCAGCTGCGCCGCCTGGTCAAGCCCGGCGGGTACCTGCTCCTCCTCGAGATCACCAACAACGACCCGCTGCGGTTCGGCTTCATCTTCGGCAGCCTGCCCGGTTGGTGGCTTGGCTGCGACGACGACGACGACGATGACGGAGGGCGCGTCTACTCGCCGTGCGTCGGCGTGCGACGGTGGGACGAGGTCATGCGGAAGACGGGCTTCTCGGGCGTGGACACCCTCACGCCACACCACGCGCTTGGCCCGCTGTCGGTGATCCTCACCCAGGCCGTTGATGACCGCGTCGGCTTCCTGCGACAGCCTCTCACCACGTCACCCTCGGCCTTGTCCGTGGACGCGGGACACCTGACCATCGTGGGCGGCGCGCCACCGCTGACCGAGGCGCTGCAGCAGCTCATGCAGCCGCACTACAAGCAGATCTCTGTCGTCTCAAGTATCGAGCTGGTCCCGTCCCAAGACCTTCCCATCATGGGGACCGTGTTGTCGCTGGTCGAGCTCGACAGCCCGCTGTTCTGCGACGTAACCTCTCAAAAGCTGGCTGGCTTCAAGCAGATTTACCAGCAGTCCAAAAACGTATACTGGATTACGTGCGGCGCCTCTGGCCAGAACCCCTACGCCAACATGGTCATGGGCGTCGGAAGGACCATCGTGCTTGAGATGAAGCACGTCCGGCTCGGCTTCCTCGACTTCACGCGGGCCGGAGACGCGGATGCCCAGAAGCTAGGAGAGAAGCTGCTGCAGTTTGAGGCCTCGGGCGTCTGGGACCAACAGGAAGGGCCGCCCGCCCTGACCTGGTACCAAGAGCCGGAGCTCAGGTTCGAGGAGGGGCAGTTCCTCGTCCCTCGCATCCGGCTGAGCAAGGACCGCAACGCTCGCTACAACGCGAAGAGGCGGTTCCTCGCGCAAGACGTGGACCCACGGGTCCACCCCGTGGGCTTGACGCCTCGGGGGCAGTCCCTGGCCCTGCAGGAGACCTTTGGTCCTGTCTGTGCTGAGACCCGCCCCGACGTTGTGTCTATCACCGTCGGCTACGCCATGCTCCAGTCGGTAAGGCTGCCGTCCTCGGACTACCTGTTCCTGGTCCTCGGCACCGATAACACCACTGGAAAACCCGTGTTTGCGTTCGCAGACTCACACAGGTCGGTCGTCGAGGTCGACAGACACTGGACGTTGCCATGCACCATGCCCCTGGACCAGGGCAAGCAGGCGCTGGTATCGATGTACGAACAGGTCATGGCTCAGACGGCAGTAGATGGTCTCGGACACGGCGATTCTATTGTGGTCCTGGATGCAACACCATCAATGGCCGAGGCGCTGGCCAGACGATGCGCGGAGAAGGGCAGCCGTGTAACGTTGTTGACGACGAAGGCTGAGCGCCAGAGCCGTGAAACAATATACGTCCACCCCCTGGCTCCAACGAGGCGCGTGGAGGAGGTCCTGCCCCCCAAGGTATCCCGTCTCCTCGACATGTCCGACCATACGGGCGGCAGCGCGGATGCGGTCCGGCTGGTGGCCAAGTGTGTCCCGTCCAAGTGTCAGCATGAGAGCCTCGGCTCGTTGACCGATATCTCGGCGCGCGTCACCACGCCGACGTTCGTCGGCCTGGATTGTGCCGTACCTGATGTTCTACGAGCCTGTTGGGCCCATGCCAGATCTGGTGGGGGCTCTTCAGAACCCCCGATGATTGCCTTGGTGACGCCGATGGACGTGGCGGAAGGGAAGCCCGTGCCACCTGGCCCCTGCCTGGTTGACTGGGCTTCTGCTTCCAAGTGCGCTGTCCGCATCCAGCCAGCGGACTCGGTGGTCCGCTTCAAGCAGGACAAGACGTACTGGCTGGTCGGCCTCACCGGCGGGCTCGGGCTGTCCCTCTGTCGGTGGATGGTGGAACGGGGCGCCAGATATGTGGTGATGACGAGTCGAAACCCAAGTATCGACCAGAAATGGCTACAGAGCGTAGAGGCTCTCGGAGCCAAGGTCAAGATATTCCCCAAGTGAGTCGTTCCAGGTGCCCTCGGCAATTGAACCTGCCCCGGTAAAAGTCGTCTCTCCGTACTGACCACCCGTCCAGCGATGTTACCAAGAGAGAAGCGGTGAACTCAGCTTTCAAGACCATCACGGCCACAATGCCCCCAATAGCTGGAGTTGCGCAAGGCGCCATGGTCCTCCAGGACACCATGTTCGCTGACACGACACTTGAGACCGTGGACACCATCCTCGGGCCCAAGGTGCAGGGAAGCATCTACCTCGACGAGATCTTCCACGACACGCCGCTGGACTGGTTCGTCTTCCTGTCCTCCATCGCGTGCACGTCTGGGAACCCGGGGCAGAGCATATACGCCGGCTCCAACATGTTCATGAACTCCCTGGCCGCCCAGCGCCGCGGCCGCGGGGTCGCCGGCTCGTCCGTGGAGATCGGCGCCATCATGGGCAACGGCTCCGTCACGGACAAGCTCAGCTTCGAGCACCAGAAGTACCTGTTCTCGGTGGGCAACATGTGGATGAGCGAGCAGGACTTCCTCACCATGTTTGCCGAGGCGGTCCTCGCCAGCCCGCCGGACTCGCAGCACTCGGTCACGACCGCGACGGGGCTGCGTCTTCACTACAGCGACGAGAGCCCGGACATAACCTGGTTCAGCAACCCCAGGTTCCAGCACCTTGTCCTCGAGACCGGAAAGGGTGCCTCGACGGGCTCGAGCACCTCGAAGCAGGGCCTGGCGATCAAGGTGCGGCTGCAGGAGGCCAAGACCACGGAGGAGACACACGCCGTGCTAAAGGGTAAGCTTTCCGTTCAGTGTTTCGAAAGCCGCTTGGCTGTGTGTGTGTCACCTTGCTAACCCGTTGAACAAGATGCGTTCATTGCCAAGCTACAATCTTCCCTACAGGCGGAAGGAGACGCTGAGTTGCTGGGCGTCTCCCTTGAGGCGCTCGGGATGGACTCCCTCGTTGCCGTGGATCTGAGGTCCTGGTTCCTGAAGGAACTTGCCATCGACGTGCCTGTCCTCAAGATCCTGAACGGCGGTACCGCCGGGGAGCTGCTCGAGTTTATCCAAGAAACCGTGGTCGCGTCTCTCGGGTCGAACCCATCCGAGGGCGAGGCCGACGTCAAGGCCGACGTCAAGGCCGACGTCGAAGCCCCCGCGACCGTGGTCGTGCCCGCCGCAACGGAGACGAATGTGCCGGCCAGCGCCGAGCAGCTCGAGACCCAGACGGCGGACGCCAGCACCGCGTCGTCGAGGAGCGGCGCTCTGTCCACCACCGACGCGGAGAAGGACACCTCCTCCGAGGACGACCCCGTCTCCGAGACGTCCCTCTCCGCATCCCAGGAGCCCCTCAAGCTCGGCCTGCAGCGGGTGGCCCCCATATCCTTTGGCCAGTCGCGGTTCTGGTTCCTGAGGTCGTACGTGGAGGACCCGCTCGCCTTCAACATCACGTCGCTCATGCGGATCCGCGGGCCACTGCGCGTCGACGACTTCGCAGCGGCGCTGGAGAAGGTCTGCCAGCAGCACGAGGCCCTGCGCACGTCCTTTGCCGTCGAGGGTCACCTCCCGGTGCAGAAGGTCTGGAGCCAGCCGGCCTTCCAGCTGGAGAGGAGGACCATCTCTGACGAGGCCGAGGTCAGCAAGGCCCACGAGATGATGAAGAACAATGTGTACGACCTCGGGGCCGGCAAGACCATGAGGATGCAGCTCCTGTCCAAATCATCGACAGAACATGTCCTCGTTCTCGGATACCACCATATCAACATGGACGGCATCAGTTTCGAGGTGCTCTTCCGGGACCTGGAGAAGGCGTACAATGGCGAGCCGTTCAACACGTCCGTCATGCAGTATCCCGACTTCTCACTGAGGGAGGCCAAGCAGTACAGGTCCGGCCAGTGGAAGCCAGAGCTTGATTACTGGCGTGGCCAGTTCCGCACGCTGCCTGAGCCGCTGCCCCTGCTGCCCCTATCGAAACAGACATCCCGGCCGAGAAGGATTACCTATGCAACACTCACGGTCAGGCGCAGGGTCAGCGCGGAGCAATCAGCCGCGATCAAGGAAACCTGCCGCAGGTTCAAAGCCACGTCCTTCCACTTCTACCTGGCCGTCTTCAAGGCGGTCCTCGCTCGGTACAGCGGCCAAGAGGACTTCTGCATCGGCATCGCGGATGCGAACAGGAAGGAGAGCGACGTGATGGATGCCATAGGCCTCTACCTAAACCTCCTCCCTCTCCGCGTTGGGGGATCCCCCACCCAGACCTTTGGCGAGGCCCTCAGGGAGATGCGGCAGAAGTCTCAGGAGGCCTTTGCTAACTCCAAGGTGCCCTTCGACATCCTGCTCAACGAGCTGAACGTCCCCCGCTCGTCGGAGCACGCGCCTCTCTTCCAGGCGTTCCTGAACTACCGCCTGGGCATCGCCGAGGAGCGGCCCTTCTGCGGCTGCCGCGGCACTGGCGAGCTCGTCGCCGGCGGGCAGATCGGCTACGACATCAGCATGGACATCGTCGAGAACCCCGGCGGGGACTCCCAGGTCATGCTGGCCGTGCAGGAGGACCTGTATGACCTCGATGCCGCCAGCGCGCTGCTCGACAACTACTTCAACCTCCTCGATGCCTTCGCCAAGAACGCGGCCGCACAGATCAGCCGCCCCGCGATGCACGACGCCGCGGCCGTGGACAGGGCTCTCACGCTGGGACATGGCCCCCTGCATGACTTCGCCTGGCCCGAGACACTCGCCCATCGCATTGAGGAGATGACGGCCAAACACCCGGGCCAGGTCGCTCTCAAGGACGGGCAGGGGTGCAAACTCACCTACGCCGAGATGGCAAGGCGCGTCGACGCCATCGCCGCCCGGCTCGAGAAGACGAAGTCGACGGCGACGTGGTTGGTGTGATGCAGGCCTCTTCCGTGGACTTCATCTGCTCCATCCTTGCCATTTGGAAGACGGGTGCCATCTACGTGGCGCTCGACCCGCGCCTAAGCACCACGGAGCGTCTGGCCCAGATTGTCAGCGAGTGCAAGCCAGCCTGCATCCTGATCGACAACAGCACGAGCGCCGTCTTCGGCGAACTCGGGTCTGCCGGCGTCCCTATTGACGTTTCCGAGTCCTTGGGCTCGACGTCAACGGCATCGCACAACAAGAACACGTCGCCAACCATCAAGGCCAGAGCCGAGAGGCCAGCCGCCGTCTTGTACACGAGCGGGTCGACCGGGAGGCCCAAGGGCGTCTGCCTCAGCCACGCATCGCTGCGGAACAACATCGAGATCGCGACGCAGCGGTTCGGCTTCCGGGAGGGCACCGACGTCATGCTGCAGCAGGCGGCCTTCAGCTTCGACATGTCCATGTCGCAGGCGCTGCTCGCGCTCGCCAACGGCGGCACGCTGGTCGTCGCGCCGAGCCACCTGCGCGGCGACGCGCTCGGCCTCGCCCGGCTGATCGCGGACGAGGGCGTGACCATCACCCAGGCGACCCCGACCGAGTACATGGCCTGGATGCGCTCCGGCGGCGGGTACCTCAGCGGCTCCGCGTGGAGGGTCGCCGGGTGCGGCGGCGAGCCCATGGCGAGGCCGCTCCTGAGGGCGTTCCGGTCGGTCGGGCGGCCGGGGCTCCGCCTCTTCAACGTGTACGGCCCCGCCGAGACCAGCTTCACGTCGCACACCCGCGAGGTTGCGTACCACAGCCCCGACGGGGAGGGCGCCGACGTCTCCCTGGCGACGTGGCCCAACTACTCGGTCTACATCGTCGACCGGGAACTCAAGCCCGTGCCCGTGGGGGTCTCGGGGGAGATATGCATCGGCGGCGGGGGCGTCGGGCTCGGGTACTTCAGGGACGAGGCCCGCACGTCCGAGGCCTTCCTCCACGACAGCCACGCCTCAGCAGAGTTCCAGGCTCGAGGCTGGAGGACGATGCACAGGACCGGAGACCGCGGGCGGCTGGCATCTGACGGAGCCCTTGTCGTGGAAGGCCGGATTGTGGGCGACACCCAGATCAAGCTCAGGGGCATCCGGATGCATCTCCAGGAGATCGAGGCCGCCATCGTCCGGGCCGGGGGCGAGAGGATCACCGACGTGGCAGTCTCGGTCCGCCAGGACAGCGAGTCCAGCCCTCAGTACCTCGTCGCCCACGTGGTAATCGACAACGACCCGTCTGCGGGTGCCGGCGGTGGTGAGGACGAGGCGAGCTTCCTGGCCCAGGTTGCCAGCCGTCTGCCGCTTGCCCAGCACATGAAGCCTTCTGTGCTGGTGCCAGTCGCCAGACTCCCGCTCAACAGCTCCAACAAGCTGGACCGCCGTGCGGTGCAGGCCCTGCCCATCAGGACGGCCAACGGGGAGCGAGAAAACCAAGCGGGCCCGGCGGCCGTGACGGCGCTGCAGGCTGAGGTCCGGGAGCTCTGGAAGGAGGTTATCCCCGCCGACGTCAGCAGCAACTACTCCGTAGGGCCCGACACGGACTTCTTCCACGTGGGCGGGACGTCGCTGCTCCTCGTCAACCTCCAGGGCCTGCTCGAGAAGAAGTACGCAAAGGCGCCCGCCCTGCACAAGATGTTCGAGTTCAGCACCCTCGCCGGCATGGCCAGCCTCTTCGCGGATGACACCTCGGGCCAGACACCGTCCCCGCCCGTCGTCATCGACTGGGAGGAAGAGACCGCCCTCCCGCCCCTATCGCCACCACAATCACTCCCCCCAGCAGCGGCGGCGGCACCACCACCCCCGGCCTCGCCGCCCCGCACCGTCGTGCTCACGGGTGCCACGGGCTTCCTGGGCCAGCACCTCGTGCGCGCGCTCCTCCGCCAGCCGGGCATTTCCCGCATCCACTGCATCGCGACGCGGCCCCGCCGGGCAGGGGCAAAGCCCCTCCCGGCCGTGCTGACCTCGGACCCGCGCGTCGTCCTGCACGCGGGCGACCTCGGCGCCGACGACGGCGGGCTCCTGGGCCTGGCCCCCCAGCTCGCCGCGGCCATCTTCGCCGAGGCCGACGCCGTCGTCCACAACGGCGCCGACGTCTCCTTCCTCAAGACGTACGCGACCCTGCGCCGCACCAACGTCGGCAGCACGCGCGCCCTGGCCGCGCTGGCGGCGCCCCGCGGCATACCCGTGCACTTCGTCAGCAGCGCGAGCGTCGCGCAGCTGGCGGCGGGCGTCGGCGGGGGCGGGGGCGGGGAGGAAGGGGAGGGGGAGCCGTCGTTCGGCGAGGTCAGCGCGGCGGCGTGGCCCCCCGCGTCCGACGCCCGCGACCTCGCGACCGGCGGGTACACGGCGGCCAAGTGGGCGGCGGAGCGGGTCCTCGAGCGGGCGGCCGAGTGCTGGGGGCTCCCCGTCACGGTGCACCGGCCCAGCAGCATCGTCGGCGAGGGCGCGGGCGACCTGGACCTGATGCAGAACCTGTTCCGGTTCGTCGAGGAGATGGAGGCGATGCCCGAGTCGCGCGCCTGGAGGGGCTACGTCGACTTCGTGTCGGTGGAGAACGTGGCCCAGGACATTGTGGCGGCGGCGATGGGGGGTTCGGCTGCCGCGGGTGGTGGTGGTGGTGGTGGTCGGGACGGAGGGGCAAAGGTCCGGTACCTGTACGAGTCGGGCGACATTGTGTATCCGCTGGCTGTCATGAAGGAGTTGCAGGGCAGCGGCGGGGGCGCACCGCTGCCGGTGAGGACGGTGCCGCTCGCCGAGTGGGTCGAGGAGGCCGTCAAGAAGGGGCTGGACCCCATGTTGGCCGAGTACCTGGTCAGTGCCGACCAGAACGGCTCGCCGGTGGCGTTCCCCAAGCTCGTCAAGGGGGGAAGGGCCTGAGGTCATCGCTGCTGCCATCTGATGACCGGCTCCAATGCGCCACAAGGCGGTGCCTAAGTACTCAGTACTAAGTAAATAGACTATAGACTATTCGTATTCTTTGAGTTCGTCTACTAAGCTGGAACGACAATGATTATCCTAGTGGGACCAGAGAAAATGTAGGTTGTAGGCAATTACAGTCAAATTCGCTATGCAAGGCTTTAGACAGTGACTATTCAAACTGCTTCTGTAAACCAGAGTTGTGTCAGAAGCTGCTAATTTGCCCCATAAGTCTTAGTGTCAGGCCGTGCCCATTCGTGCTGGTGCTGCTGACAAGCTGTCAAGCTTGACACCAGGTGTACTAAGTACCTAGGTAAATAGTAATTATTTGAAAATTGATATCGTCCTGCTCTTGAAGATTTACGACTACAGGCTGGGCATGGACGAGGTTGACTTATCTGTTCCCCGTTCTCTGTTGTCTATCTTCTGTCTCCTGAAAAAAATGGCTAAGCTACGTGGTTGTCCCATAGTGTCGGATTTGGAACTTTAAGAAAATTATTAAATTCTCTCTTTTTTGGGGGATACCGAGCTATAATTATGCCACCTGCTACTTGTATCCTTGCCCTACCCTCACACAATTTTGAGCATTATATACTAATGAAACTAATTATATATTGGCTAAGACCGCGGACGTCAGATCTTGCTCCCCGTTGGATGGGCGCCCGGCACGCCCCTGCTCGGTTCTTCCTGCCGCTGGCTCCAAGATATTGGCTACAAGGCCACGTTGAGGTCTCGTCCATGTGCATGGCTTCGATTAGACCCAAGACTATTCTCGAGGTCCCAGATGGGATGTTCCGGGGGTCCCTGCCCGGCGGCTAAGCACGATACGCTTGCCACGGTTGGCTCTCTCTCTGATTGGGCGCACCACGCGGTAGACTCACCTCTTGCAAGTGATATTTTGGTATGTACAGGAGAAGGCCTATAAAGTAGTAGAGCGCCGGATCGGTTCCCTGGTGTAGAAAGAGCGCGGACGTGACAGCGGCGGCGAAGCTCTGGAAGAGACACAGATACATACTTACGGGTGCTCCTAGGGGCCATTCTAACATCCACAGAGCGATGCTGAGAGATAGGTTGAGGGCCTGAGGATACGGCACTGGTCGCACGAGCTGATTCAACCGGTCTGTCCAGATATCGAAGAAGACCTTGGGGCTGAGGAAGCCTATCATGGAGGCGAGGAACTGATCTGTTCTCTTAGTCAGTGCCAGCTCCTTATTCTATCATCAAGGCAGTAGGTCCTGCATCCTGCAGCTGAGAGAACGACTAGCCTAGCCAGGTCGATGAGCTCGCCCATACCTAGGTGGCTTTAAGTTTGCTGTTGGTAGCTGGCCAGTCTCCCTTTTGAGGTGGGAGCCGTGGTCTTATCAATGGTTATGCATAACTCCTATTTTAGATAATCCAGCAAAAGCATACACCCTCAACGAGAATCCGAAGGTTATGCCATGAACTTCCTAGTAGCTACTCCCTCAGGAGGAGAGCCGGTTTGATCGTTTGGTAGAAGAGAGAGAACATAGATCTGTTATTTTTGGATGTTGTTGGGCGTCACGGGTCGTGCCGCTGACCGGAGCCCCAGTTCGGCAGTGTTTCGAATAGCAACGAATGCCAACAGACATCTTGGTGGGTGCTCCGGATACTAAGTGGCCGGCCGACTTCACCAGGAAGGTGGTCTCAAACAAATCTAGTCAGATTAGGCGTGTATGACTGATGCCAGTTCACTTGCATTGAGGCATGCTGGTGACAGAAAATGCAGCATTGAGCGAGGCAGATGGGTACTTCTACCACCAACCGGCTTGCCAATAGCGGCACGGACTGAACCTTACATTCAGTCGGGTTGGAACTGCTAATCCTTGCAGAATGCATCTGGAGGGGAAAGAGTGGGACGGGCTTGAGGCCTGTCCATGTAAGTGGTCTCGTTTTTAATCTGTATACATATGCTTCTTAAGCAGTATGCATGCAGTCCCTTCATACAGTGGTAATCGCTTAGATACCCAGCTTTTTTTTTTTTTTTTTTTTTTTCAAAAGAAAATACAATGCTGATAACAATAGGTTTCAAACATGATTATCTAGGGCTTATAGCCCAGAAAACAGAGACAGCCTTGTGACAGCTGCATAGACAAGGCCAACGATGACCGCTTCTAGCGGTGCCATAAACTAGAACCGTTGACACAAGCAGCCCAAGACTAATATTCAGGCAATCAGTCATACGGCGAAGCCTAAATAGTATCGACGCCATCCCTCCATAAATGAATCCTGCAAATGTAGTCCCAGCCGAAAACTGTCCATGTAAAGGGGCTACACAAGCCCACTTTGGTTTCACATTGCCGCTGCGAATCTACCTCGATACCTTTCTCGTCACTTGTTTCTATACCACAACACCTCGCATCCACTGAAGCCCTTATTCCTTCCTTCCTCTAAGTATATAACATCACACCATGTCAGCCAGCGATTCAGCCGATATGAAGGACGCCACCATAGGCTTCGATTGGGTCCTAAGCCAAGATAAAATCCGGGATGGACAACACGGTCCCGTCTTTTTGGCCCTTAGAGCTGATACGGGGGAGCTCATCACAGCGGATAAATGGGACCTGGAAGGGCCTGGAGATTCATCTCTACGAGAGAGTATTGTGTCACATCTGGGAAAGAAGCAGATGAGCCCAAGTCAGCCTAATATCGTCTCGTACTTGGGATATCAGCTCAAGGAAGGACACATCTTCGTGCTTAGAGAGCACCTGGCCGCCGGCACCCTACAAGACTTTATTCAGAAGCACAGTGTTATCCCGCAGCCTCTCATCCGTGGCATTCTTCGCCAGGTTCTGCTTGGCCTTAAGCAGCTACAAGGGCAGGGATTCGCTGTGGTTTTCCTGGACGCGGGGAACATAATGATGGACAACAAAGCCCGTATCAAAATTGAGGCGCCAATTCTCGACATGACTATCACCGGACACCCACTACCATCTGCTGTCTTGACAGTTCCTGAAATCTTACTGAGCCAGGGAAACATGCGGAAGACGGACGTGTGGCTGTTTGGGATTGTGGCAGCCCAACTGGTATCAGGTGATTGCAGCCTTTCAGCCGCCATCGATATCGCCACGCGAATCCAACAAGCCGACGGATCAGCATGGGAGGTTCCGATCCCTCCAAATGTGAAGAGGAGCGAGCTTGACAAGCAGGCATCAGATCCCATACGTAAATGCTTCACCTCGTGAGTTCTTAATACTATATGGCCAAGCTATTTGTCTGTCTGTCTAATGATTCACACATTATTCACATAGAATTATCGACGAACGGCCAGGCATCTCCGATCTGCTTGGGCACCCCTTGCTGAACCGAGCCAAGTGATCAGTAGTGAACTGCATCTCAAAGGAGCAAGAAGCAATAGATATTTGGTGTAAACTCGCTTTTGGCATGCAACGGGTCTAGCCAACTCTGGATGGCTGTGTTTTTTCCAAGAAGTAGTCAACAAGGTAGAATGTCTTCCCCATATGAACACCACTGCTACATCCTACCTATTTCGGTCCTTCTTCTCTTTGAGCTAGGCGAGTCTGGTCACGTAGGCCACTAATCTGGTCCAAAATTAAGTGACTACTGGCCTTCAGGAGAAGTCCGCGGGTCTCTGGTGCCTAGATAGGGGGTGGTCCTTCAGTCCCACCTTTGACCATACTCTATGTCTCGAGTGTGGGCTCTATTTTCCCAGGGACCACCCAAGCTTTCAAAACTTAGCATACAAGCAGATCTCCAGGATCTTCAAAGTTGGGTCTTGGGGATAAAATCTGTTGCACAGAGTTCATGGGATCACAGCCTGTCTGTTGATGAACGGGCCTGCCATTAAGCCAAGGCGTAACGTCTCAGACCAGTGGCCCGGTGAGTGGACTCATCACCACCTGCAGTCCAAATGAAAGGGGAGATTGGACATTCTGCTCAAACTCGTGTCAGTTTTAAAGTACACATGGGGTCCTTATCTTGGCTTCCGGTCAAGACCACTATCAGCATTCAACTCGGTCGTCAAAACATTCAAATCAGTCTTCACAACGTCCAAACCAGCTCATAAAATACCAGCATCGTCGTCCTTCGGATCGAGTCTTATTGGGTATGAGCAAACTTGAGTAACAGCAGATGATGCGTGGCGAATGTTAATAATGACTCACGAGAGCATCCACACAACCGGCCCTGCCGGGACCGGAGCGAGGGTTGACTTCGGAGGGAATGGAATAAGTCCCAGTGCTAACGAGGGACCCACAGCCCGAGTTGCTGGTCCCGAATTGACGGCGCAGGCTCCCGTCCAAATGTTTTCACCAGTGACTGCCAGGGCGAGAGCGAAAACAGGGCGGAAAATACCCTGCTGCTGCTGCTGAGCCACACGCTCCCGGACACGCCCAAGGATCAGGGATTCTTTGCATCAACTCTGTGTTCTAATTCCATGACTCTTACACGCATTACGAAAAGAGCTGTTTGGTAGTATCGGGTTCTACCAAGCCGTCACAATTGCAAGACTTGACATTACGCATAATGAAGGATCTTGGGAGGTTCTTGGGAAGCGGTACGTTTTGGCCAAAAGACGTTCTCTTGGCTTCGTAACGCAACCAACAACGTGCCCTGATATACAGATGTTTCTGTGTGCGAGTACCTGAACCATTGAAGAAAAGCTAACTTGCACCACTCGCACACCAGAGGACCGGAACGCTTTATCCTATGCGACTTTCGAAGCTCACCCACATACTGGTTGAGGGAAAGGCTCAATACTCTGAAGTGGAAGACAAAAGACGACTCCACCGTAAAGTAAAGTCTCATGAGTGATGATCTCGCCAGCTTGACATAGTTCGAAACCTCTTGTGCCGAATGCTCATAACCAGTTAATGGCATACGTTTGGAGACTGAACACCACCAAATGACGTCTCAAATGGTTCTGAGAACGCTAAAAACGGAATGTCTAGTATAAGATATCAACATATAATTATCCCATGAGATGTTGCTCATATTCTAGTCCGTAACTAATGCCCGGAACAAAATCTCCCGCCCAGCCCACACACACGGCGTGCCTGTCAGAGAAGCAACCTACGTACGTAGGTAATGAGCCCATCTCTCAGGTTCTCACCTTGAAACACACATGAATCCGCTTCTCAATACCCTCGACGAGATCTCCATGGGCCCGAACGAAACATGCCGCGTGACAAAATAGTGCAGTTTGACGTGGCGCTACAAAAGAGCACATTGCACAGCGTCAAGGGTGGTCGGAATGTGCAAGGCCCCGCGGGAACTCCGCCATGTCCGGGGTAATTCTGTGCGACGCTCGCCGTTCGGAACTTAACGAGCCTCGATGACGCTGCTCGAGAAAAGGCCAACTTAGGTGGCAGCTGAGTGGTTCACCGCCACGAGCGAGCGAGGAGAGGCACCGAGGATCGTGCATCTGATGCGACATCAGCGTGCTCCAGAATTTCCATCAAAAGCCCGGAGAACACCACATGGCGACGGAAGCACGATAAAGAGATGTCTCTCTTATATATTGTATTCTGAGACCACGCCTGCACACCACCATGCAGACCCCTCGTGGCCGAGCAGCAGTTGGCCGGCATTAGCCCCAGCCAAGCAGCGGCCAGCACCAAGGAACGCCGTCGTACCAGCGCCAGTGCAGTAAGACAAATAAGAAAGACAAAGAAACGTCTGGCTCACCCGACCCAGCGGCATTGTGGCCCCGGGTTCGGACGCAGGCGCCATCCAGCCTCCGGCCTCGCGTCTGACATCTGACGTCCACTGCGCTGCTGCTCCTCCTCCCCCAAGCCACAGTCCCGCTGACTTGGGTTTCGACCCGGAGGCATGCCGATCAAACAAAGGCGTAAGCACAGAGGCGGGCAAATGGAAAGACAACACGTTCCTGAGGGAAGGACGCCACATCTCCTTTCCTTGGCCCCTTCTGACCACCCTCGGGGACCTTCAAAACCAACACCTTGAACACACACCCCACCCAACCAGCTTTTCTCCCCGTGACTACGCCGTCATGCACGGCGTGCCTGGCCCTGGCCTAGACCTTGACATTAACCCGGAACCGAGTCGAGCCCGAATTGGGTGCATTTAACTAGATGTTGGGGGCCGGAAGTGCCCAACAATAACCGATGATCCGACATGACGGCTCCAGCGATCGCAGCAGGGCTAGGTACTACTAGCTTTGGGTACTGAGGGGCCCTACTGCAGGAGACTGCAGGAGGGGGCAGGTCAGGCGCTCAAAATGTCTTGCATATCTCTGGACGGTCTCCGCACGTTGTCAGATGCAGCTAACAACAACACCAACAGACAGTGGGTGAGTGCGTGAATGACAAGAGAGCGAAATAAGCGCGAGAGATTGCCCGCCCGCTCGCCCGCTCGCCCGCATAACCGGCCGCCGTCCTCCCAGGAATCACTCCCAGCAGAGGACCACAAGGTCAGCGGCTTGCGTGGCAAAGGCCAAAAGAGCGGTGAATATTTGCACGTCCCAGAAGAACAGACCAAATCCACTGCGGGATATGCGACGGAGGCGGGAATTAGACTAATGGTGCGGCACTTGTACCAGACCGGACTACTGCTTGGGCTCGGCAAGCTCCAGCCAGCTCAGAGGGAGAGCCGGGCCGAGCCAGGATGAGCCCGGAGGAGGGGGCTAGGGAATCAATGCAAGGGTCTAGAGCTTGACCTCTTGCAGCTCAGAAGGCTGAAATGTTTGCAGAGATCGATCTCTAGTGCAGAAACGTGGACCACAAGAAAAAGGAAGAGGTGGCTCCAGCCGCCATGGCGCGACAGCGACGCTGGGCACTGCTGCGTGTAGATGGCCGGGCCCGGCTTAGCCCATACGTCGGCAACCTGGGATGCGCATGCCACTCGGCGTGACGAATCTCGTCACCGCGACTAGGCGCCACCCGCAGCGTGTGTGACTGGCCAGAGGTTGAATACCCATGGCCAATAGAGGCGCCTGTCATTTGAACTCGGTCCCAGGCTGCTGGAGCCCAGCCGGCCAGGGCCAGGGTCAGGAGCTGGAACTGGGGCCTGGGGCCTGGGGCCTGGCCCTTATGGTAGACCTTTAGGCGTCGGAGAAGCTCGACCCTCAAACGATTCGACGTCCAGATCCGTGGAGTGCAGCCTGATTCTCGATGTGGGTTGCGCCTGAAGGCCGCGATATCAGACGCAGCGCGCAATGGGGAGGCTGACGTCTTCGGACATGACAAAATCGTGCGAATATGGTGGGATTGGGCTCGAGGCTGAGACGTAATACATATCTGCCGCGCCTCGCGGTCGCTGTCACAGCGTTGGAGGTGAAAAGCCTCCTCGGAGGAACAGGGTTTGAGTCCTGACTGAGACCGGGGATGGTAAACATAGGAGAGTTGAAGTTTCTCTTGCATGGGAAAATATGCTGGCAGGCCACCGCGTCACATTGGATAAGATTCGTGCAAAGACCGCGCCCAAGCTACGGCACCGGAACTCACGGAAGGCTAAACTCCGGAGTTGAGCTGACCACAAGACGCACTGCGTTCCTCGGGTGGCACATTCTGGTGATAACACAGTTTTCCGGTTGCTTTACAGGCCTGTGACTGTCTTGCTGGGTCTCATGAGTGCTGCTCGAGGCATATTGTGCCTAGCCAGCTCGGCCCGAGCAGAGGATGCTGGTTGTCTGGTTGGGAACCCTTTTGCTTCAGAGCCAGATTGGTTGGCGTCGCCCACGAGAAACGCAAGCAATGCCGCTTGTTCAACTATGGAAGCTGCAGGTCCAGTGATTTAAGGTTGCACACGAACCTGCCGAGAGTGAGAAGGTTTGCAGCGGTGGTTGTTCTTGAAGGAAGAAAGTGGACGTCCACAGGTCGTGACACGACCATGACCATGACAAAGCTCTTTGCTGTCCCAACTTGGGATTCGCCGAGTCGCTAGGAGCACAGCACTGGCCGTATGGAATGGAAAAGACCTCAGGTGCCTCCAAAGGGCGGTGCAGCGTGGTCAGTATCTGGCATCATCTCTCTCTAGGTCAGCCGGGTGATGAGGACAAAATCAGATCGCAGCCTGCCACAAGCTGAGGATGCACAGGCATCTTGAGGTCACCATTTGCCACTCGCAGACCGGGCAAGCCACAAGCGGACGTTGGTGTAGGGCTATGCTAAAGGATGCCCATCGAGTGCAACTCATAGGCCGCCCGTGAAGCGGGTTTGAGATATGCGCCGTACTAGCCTCTGGAGATGTAGTCTGGCAGAGCACAGCGAGTGGGCCAATTAGGTAATGACCCAAGGCTAGACAGTGCAATTGTGTGCCTGAAAGAGACCGTCGCCGAGCTAGACAAAGGAGGTGTTGGGTGAAAACGGAGCCGAATCCTCGGCACCGGAAGGAAGTCATCGGCTAGATACTGGGGGCGTCGAGTTTCAGGTCGCAGGAAAAGAAAAGTAGACAAAAGTACCTCTAGATAGTCCACAGCACGGGGCGACTGGCGGTGGACGAGCCCTGGCGAAGTCATCCAAAGCCGGGAGGACGGGGCGTGGGCCCAAAATCGGAACAGCGGCGGTCTCCTGGGGTCAAACTCAGGAACGGCATCGGCAGTCGAGGCCTGGATCTGAGGACGTAACCATCCAATCTATGTTGTCAGGCCAGCTAGGTTTCTGGGCGCCCCGGCGGTCACACGCCAGGAAGATGGTGAATTCAGCCGGGCCCCAATCGTCCTGCATGATGCAAGGCACAGGCCCTACCAAGAAACTCTGATGTTGGGGTTCTGTGGGCAGAGAGAGTGTGTGTGGGTGTGGAGGGTGACATTGTGTGGGTCGAGATAGAGGTCAGGCGACTGACTGGTTGGGTAGTGCCCACTTGTCGCATTGTCTTCGTCTTGACTCTTGAGGGCGTTGTGGATGTCAATTGGCGCAAGCTGCTGGGCCGCGGTTCGACTGTATGTACACTACACACCGCGTACCGGTCAGTAGCACGGCATCGGATTTGCTGGAGAGTGGCCAGGGCCGTGCTGTGTCCATGCTGTGTGTAAGCAAGTGGCAGGCAGATGACTGACTGCCCACGTCGTACCGTAGGATCGGGACTGTTGGAAGCTGAGTCGCATCTCATGCTATGGTGGCGGATTGACCGTTCGGCCAGGGCTCGGTACGAAGAACTGAGCCGGCTATTGGTGATGCCAGAATGCAATCACACGGTAGTTGAGGTTGGTGAACATGTGAACACAGCACGGCGTCTTGTCCAATGGCAACTGGACTTGAGCGTCTTGTAAACTTGGTGATCGCCAGGGCACAGCACTAGAGATGAAAATGCAGTGCAGACAGACCCTCGGGACTACTGTAGATATCACAAGTGTCCACGGCCTGTTGTCGTGTCCTCCAGGAACCCAGATGGCAGATGACGGCCGGCCTGAATGCAAAACAGCAGCGAACCATATTGTGTTTGAACGAACAAGGCCAACGGTGGAGATCAGCCTGTCGAACATGGGGGCCTGACGCCCTGGCACCTGCTGAAGTCTTGACGCGGCGGCGGGGCGCCTTGATGGCTGAGTGTGGACTGGAGGACGTGAGGGCAAGGATGACAGCTGACGACGGGCAATTGTAGTCTATCCCAATCAATGTCAGAACACCAACAACATCCTGCGCAGTATTAGATAAATCATGTCGAGGCGAGGCTATGCAAGGCGGTCGAAGACAGGGACGTCAGGTGTATGCTGTGGAGCTGGGAAGGCGTTTCAGCCGTGGGCGGCCCTATCGATGATGATTTGAGTTTCCTGTTGATAAAAATGGCCGTCTCGTCTTGGGTTGAACGAGTCTTGATTGAGCGTGTGGGCATTGGCGTGGGGCACTGCCATGGGCAATTGTGGAGGCATGTCCCTGCTCTAGCATGACTTGGCTCTAGGCTTGCGACAAGACGGTCCGGTACAGAGAAGAGCAGGACGCGCGTCAGAAGCCAAAGCTAAATTGATGGAAGGATTGGGCGTGAATGGCGGTTCTGCTGACGGGCACGGCAGACAGAGGATGCGTATTTTACAGAGCGCACAGAAAGGAGGGTGGAGAAAGAACGGTCAAGGCCAGCATGCATGAAGTTCGGTTCAGTCCGGTTGAGTCCATGGCCAGAGGAGGGGGAGAGTGCGTGGGTGTGAGAGTGAGAGAGCATGGAGGGGTCTGCTCAGTAGGTGGCCAGCAACAGAGCAGACGACCGCGATCGTTCATGACTCGAATAAATTCAACAAGACGGTCGAGTATGAGGGGAAGAAACGGCCAGAGTTACATGCATACACGTAGTACTGCCAGGTCAGGGCCGTTGGGCAGGCACCCGGGCAATCATGGAAGGAAGTCATAGAGGCACAGGCACGGAAGGAAGGCAGGCAGGCGGGCAGGCAGACATCGTCAGATGAGGAGGATGCGTCCATGCCCAGGTGTGCAGGTGGTTGACAACCATCCGTCTTGACTGCCCCAAGCTTGAGTGGCAATTGCAGTGCCCCCCGGCAGTGCCCACCGCCCACTTGCACCCGACGGGGAGCACAGACCATACCTTATTTCTGGCTCCAGGGCAGGGCAATTGCCATCTGAAAATACCGGCCTGGGTAGGCACCTATCTAGAGGAGACAGGGGCTTTAATGGACCTGACTTCTTTCCTTCCAGGGCCCCTGCACACGCGCTGCCGCCCGTCCCCTGGCACCTGGTAGCCTCCCCTGCTGTGCCTTCCCGTCCAGCCCCGCCAAAACCGGAAGGCCGATCATCAACATGTTTCCTTTTCCCCTCGTTCCGCCCTGTCTGTGCACTCACCCATCCACGTCAAGCATGGATACATGTCTTCATCGTAAGCCACCAGGCAGATAGATACAGGTAAACACCACGAAACCTGCGTCTGGAGACGGGCAACGCCGGGGTAGACGAGAACACGGATGCAGCCATTTCAGTACGAACAGTAGTACCTAGGTACCTATACACCACGTTGACGAGATAGGAACCTACCCTTCCGCACTTTCCATGTCTCTGTCGTGGTCCGGTACCGATGTGCCCTAGTACCTCGTCCCTGCCACCAAACCAAACCACCCCCCTCCTTTGTTGTCAAGCTGCCACCACCTGTCCCCCACAAAGAAACTTAGAAGCAGCGATATCGTCGCCCTCATCAGGGTTGATCCATCTCTCCTTGTGAGCTTCCTGCTCGCCTCCCTCCGTTGTGATTCCGCTGCTGCTTCCCCCGTCTTGCCTCCAGCCAGGACCATTCTCCTTGCTCGCAATCATCCAGCCAGCCAGCCAGCCCACAGCCCACAGCCCAACCTCAGCCAGCCCATGCTGAAGACCAATTCCCGCCAACTCCCACCACGAACAGTCCAACGCCCGCCACCGAGAGCGGACAAGACGCCAGTCTTCCAACCCATCCTATTATTCCGAACAAAGGGACCCCCATCATCATGCACACGAGCTATCAAGTCCACCCCTCACTCCCAATCCGTGGCACTATGCTCCTTGGAGCTTGCCCAAGGGGTGTGTCGAGGCACACCAACGTCTGTGCTGCGCTTCTGGCCCACAGCGCCCGGGCGGTCGTCTCCTCCAAGCTTGTCCAAGGGTTGACCCCGTACGAGGCACACTGAAAGCCGGCCCTTTATTGACAGCCACCCACCACTGAGGAGGGGGTTGGGCCCGCCTTATTGCCAGCAACCGCCGATTCCGATCCATCACGCACGCACGCACGCGCGCATTGCTCGCTCGTTCCGCCGTCCTGTGCCGACCCACGACAGGCACGCACCGCCTGACCGCCTGCCCGTGTTGGTTGTGTACAGTACAGTGCAGTACAGCACAGTACTTGGGTTTACGAGTCGGCATCTTTCATTGACGTCGACATCGACACCGACATCAACGCCAACATCGACATCACGCTATGTCCGTCTACTCGACCCTCGCCGGAACTGCCTGCAGCCACCACTCAAGACTGACACCAGCACTGCATGAGAAGCACCGGGAGCTGGCATTAGGTCATGGGCGGACACATCAGACAGCACAGGCAGACAGGCACACCCGATAGACGAGACAAACAAAACACAGGCACAGCAAAGCCACCACCGGCGTTCCTGCGTCCTGGCTCCTGTCGTTCAGGTCCGGGAGCTGCTGGCCCAGCCAGTTCATCCCACGTCCCGCCGCCTCCCTCGCTCGAGCAGCCGTCTCTGCGCCAATGCGAGGGGCAACCCTTAGAACGTGCGCCCACTTCCGCCAGTACGTCTCTGGCCGTTCGCCCAGGCCTCGTCCTCGCCGACCAGCCTTCCTCAACCATGCTACCCGAGCTGCCGCCGTCGCATCCCGGCAATCGCCTTGTGCTGTACTGCCCAACCTCCGCATCTCAAAGACCATGCCGGACCAAGGAACACGAATCACGAATCAGACAACCGGCATACCTGCCCTGCCCTGCCCCAGGTACAATCCTTAGATTACTACTAGACTACCGTGGCGCTGTGGTACACATCCGCACATCAACTCGCCAACCTTATCTCGCTTCGCTGACAAGACGCCGCAAGCAGCGCGCAGCAGCGCCTCGCTCGATCTTGAGCTCCGTTGCCCACTGTTCATCAGTGTCCCGCTGTGCATCACGATTCCTGCTCGTCACTCGCATCACCGTCCATGCACCACCAGACAAAGTCGAGGCGGCCGTGACAGCTTCCCCTCACTCGTGCAGCCCCCGATGGGCACGCTTTGACGATATCTCAACAGCCATATATGTAATGTAGCCGGCGACAAGTACGGAGTATCACCTTCCTCTTGTCCACGTCGAGCCGGGTCACGGCAGATAACGGCATCACCCTGCACACTGCTCCTTGCCCCGGTAGACCACGTCGAGTGCAAATATCACATCGCATCTGTCTGCTAGCCATTGCTTTTCGGTGTTTCCGGTACGGCCAGCCTCTTAGTTGGTATGGCCTCCACCCGCTGTGTGTACAACTCACCCATTGGAGCATTGGGAAACACCGGGTACCCATTGTAACCTGCATTGGCTCTCATGTGCCTGGCCGGGGATCGCTAGCTAGCCTGCAAACTCACAGGGGGGTTTCCGTTCTCTTCCTTTCTCTCGCTGCAAGCCGACATGGTTGGCCGGTTGGAACAGCGCCCACACAATAGTACCTGAGCCGAAGTGGAGAGATGGAGCACTGGAGGCTGCACCCGCGGCTGCACTGTTGCAGAGCAAAAAGAGACGACACACACGCAGCAGACTTCGGACCGCAGTCGCGACTCCTAGACTTGTCCGGCTTGCATGCTTAAGTACAGCAGACCTGAGAGACCAAGGTGTCAGGCCAAATGTACATGTGGTCTGGTGTAGGTACTGCACTGCACCGTAGTGACAAGCGGCGTCAGGGACGGACCTGGGACGTTCCATCACATCAACCGCTTTCGCAGGCCCTGGACCGGCACCAGCAAGCTTCCTCTAAGCCTAGGGGATTTTCATGCAGGGAACTGGCGGCTTTGGTCGGTGCAACATTGCCACAGGGTCGGTTCCCCTGCCACCTTTTCTGCTCCTCCTTGCCCCAATCCGGACTGCGCAACGTCAGTTTCTCTTCCTCCTCAATCCACTCCATCGCTTTTTTTGCCTTCTCGACCCTGCCCTGCCCTGTCACCGGCGCGCCGCAGCCTCCCTCTACTCGCCATTGTATTATTGTCGGCTCCGAAATATCACCACCTGCTTCTCCATCTCTCCGGCCACCACCACCAATCCAGCCTGCAAGGCGCTCCACATCCGACGACAGCTCTCCTCTTCGCCATTTTCACTCCCCAGCGGCACGCACATGCAGTCTGTTGTGTTGTCGTGCTGGCCAACCTGAGCGCATCGCGATCCCCCACTTGGACAATCCGGAGACCGCAGAGTCAGCAACAGGGGCGGCACCGTTGTGGACCTCGATCGCCATTTTTTTGGTTTTGAGCAGCGCCGTGAGCGTGCACAGGATCCGCTCCTGTCACCCCTCTCCCCCCTCTCTCGCTTCCTCTCAAACAGGGCAACCCATCGTCACAAAAAAAAAGGGCAAAAAAATCCACCGTCCCAGGTTGACAGCTCGACTCGAATGAAACATCAACATCAATAATCCTTGGGCGCTGTCTTGCTCTCCTCACCCTGTCCCTATCTCTGCCCGGCCTCCCTGCCTCTCCTCTTCTCTAGTCAGATTTCCGTCTAGGCACTAGGCTTAACAATCAGTCTCAAACATCATCCCGCCGCAGGGCCCCGCATCACCCCTGTCTCCCCCTTCCCTGCTGGACCAGGACGCACCGACTGTTGGCGGCGTTCCAACTCAGCCTCACCATAGGCTACTGGTTTCTTAAGCGCCGCATTACCCTCCCTTGGGATCCTTCGGCTCTCCCTTTGACTCCCCTCAGCTGCACCACTCCTCCACACACCCCCTCCCCACGACTACAAAGATGGCGGCGACTTTTCGCTCCGTCAACTCATCACAACCACCGCCTCCCGACATGGCCGAGGCGGAATCCAAAGTGACGTCTCCGACGACGCCCCGACCCAGCACAGCCCCGCAGTACCTGCCGCCCCCGAAGCAGACCGCCATGGACGATGCGACGACCCCAACGAGAGCCACGTTTGGTGCCGGCACGATGGCCCAACAAAAACCACTCCCGTCGTCGCCATTTCCCGAGGGCATCCAGGTGCCAGAGGATACCGCTGAGAGCAAGCCATCATCCAGGGAGGCCTCGCACCAACCAAAGAGATCACGGGATTCTGCCGAGATGGACCTCGACGAGTCGGAGGACAAGGACACGCCGGGTGGTGACGACGATGCGGAGTCGGATGACGAGGACAGCGTGAATGCTGACGGGACCCGGTCGAGCAAGAAGAAGAAATCCCAACGCTTTTACTGCACCGACTATCCTCCATGCAACCTGAGTTTCACGAGAAGCGAACATTTGGCGAGACACATCAGGTAAGACGCATACCCGTGAAAACCAGCAACCTGGGCCGTTCTTCGGCGAGTGCTAACTCTCGTACCAGAAAACACACTGGCGAACGCCCATTTCAATGTCACTGCTCGAGGCGTTTCTCCCGCCTCGACAATCTCCGACAGCACGCCCAGACTGTACACGTGAACGAGGACATCCCCATGGACTCGTTGGCCGCAACTGGGACGAGGTTCCAGAGACAGATTCGGACTGACCGGGTGCGTCAGGGTACCGGAAGAGCAAGGGCCTCGACGGCTGGGAGCATAGGCGCACCGGCTCGGGGGCATTCAAAGTCACTCTCAACGTCCAGCATCACAAGTATCAGCTCCATCGGCTCGAATTACAGCTCGAGGGACGACGTTCGAAGGCGGCCGCCTCCTCTCGTCATGGCTACTGATCCTCAGGCCCGGCTCTCCATCGAGTCCTACCGCAGCGCTGGCTCTAGCCATTTTCCTTTCCGTCAGCCGTCGCCGAGTGAGTTTGGCACCCCGACGTCGTCAACCTTCTCTACAGGCCAGAACAGCCCGAGATGGGGCTCTGTGGTCGGCTCACCTGCCACATCATACTCTCGCAGCCATGCCATGTACCCGTCTGGCTCTCGCACCCCTGGCCGGCGGCTCAGTGTACCATCGGGTGTGAACCCTTTTCAGTCTCCTCATGGGTCTGGTAATCTTGGCCGGCCGCTCTTTGTGCCTGGATCTCAGAATGCTTCGAATTCCGCGGCGCTTGGTTCTCCGAGTGCGAGCTTGCTTGCCTCGCCCACGACCTCGACCTCTGGGTGGTCGCGACGCGACTCGACCAACAGCATTGCTGACGAGGCTTGGCGCAGGAGGACCTGGCACCCCGACAGCAGCAACTTCGCCACCCCGGGAAGCCGACTCAGCCAAGTCATCACGTCGTCGCAACTCGACCCTCCTCCCGAGCCTTTGCCTGCTGTTGTCAACAACGGTCCTCAACAGCAGAACATCCGTCTTCCCGGAATCGAGTCTTTTGATCCCATCCCCCGTCGACCGTCCTCGCCTGCGAGGAGGGCTCCTTCTCCCATGATGGTCGATTCTGAGGGCGCGAACCCGCCCTCTCTTCTGCCGTCTGCCAACATCTCTACCGAGAGACAAGGCCTGCCGCAGTGGGAGATGGGTCTCCACCGTGGACTGAATCGACTGGAGATCAACAACACGACCCCTCCACGAGACGGGGCTGGCGCCTGGGCGAGCGAGGTCCAGCAGGCCATGCAGTCCCGGGCTGAGGGCCCTCGACCATACCAACCCACCGTGCGTTTCGAGACTCAACCACAGGTTGTGCACCCGCCACCTGTTCCGTCTGCTGCTGGGCACCCGAGGGGCCATCAGCATACGATGTCGGCTCCTTTGATCTCCGCCAACCGAGAGGCTAAGCGCCATGGCTGGTACAATGGACCGGTCACGGTCCATGAAGACAGGGTTCTGGAGGGACGACCGCATGTCGATCGCATCGCGCACCCCAACCTGCATGCCTTCCCCGGCTTCCCTGCCCGGGATCAACAGCCACCGCAATACAGCTCTCAGGCGACGAACCCGGACTCCCTGAGGCGGCTCGAGGCTCTCGTTGCGGTCGCCACGAGCGAGTCATCTACTGCGACGGCATGTTAGGACGATGGCGATTGCCCTGACCAGCGGCGCGCCACATTTGAGCCAGTTCCTTTTCCACGATGTCGATATTGCGCCGAGGATATCTCGGTACCACATATCATACCATGCTCATGACTTGACGACACAATTTCGAACACTACAACGACAGTCACGACCACCTTAAACTTGCATTGAGGGAGGCTTGCATTGCCCCCTGGATACGACAAAGCAGCACACTCGCTCACTCACCATCTGTGTCTTTTTATTTTCAGGCGGTTTTGACGAAACAGTGATACCAGGTCGGCGGTTTTGAATTAGTTTGGCGCTGTGGGATACCTGTTTTGTTTACTTTGGACTTGTTTACCAGCGTTGCAATTTTTTCGAACTCTTGTGCTATGGTTACTCTCGGCGTCCTTTATTTTCCTCTCGTTCTTCGCTACATGGCCATCTCCTTACCCTCCATCGATCATCCACTTACTTGCGTCCGGCTCGACCTCTGCTTTCCGGTTGCGCCTACGCTCCTACTACCTACTAGCCACGGGGAAAAGCAACAGTCACCCGATCCGACTTAGATAAGACCTTCCTTGGAATTCCACTTGATCCATCAACATTTTTCAACCACAATTTCTCGACGTGATGTGAGGAGCGAGGGCGGTGCTCTGCATTCATTCTCCCCAGGGTGGATGTGGGAGGGAGGTTAATGTGACACGGCGGGCCACGGGGATGGGAAGTAATCTGTTTCTATGATACCCCCACCATCTTTGGATGACGGAAGGCTTTTGCATTATTATTGGAGGCTTTGTGTAGAAGCCGTTGGTCGCTGCTTGGACACATGGACGGGACTTTCAACAGGGGGAACAAGCATTGTGGGGCGAGTCTGCACGATGTCGCCGCCGTTGGAAAGGGGCATTGGGGAGGCTAGATTGAACCACTTTTGTTTTTGCCTATTTTTCTTTTTCACGCCTCCGGGCTGGGGTTGGGCGCTCCAGTTACTCAACGTTTCTGGCCGTGGTGCCCTGCCTGCTGCCACATCAACAGCTGGAATTGGGCTTAGCGATGAGTGCTTTCCACTCTCGTATTTCCTCATCCCTCTCGCCACCCCCTCTCGCCGGGCTCTCCTGATCTCTATCTGTTTATTGTGGCTGCCCCTGCTGAGAGCGGGACGTTGCGAACCGGGGGCGGGATTGATGATACCCTGAGGGATACATTTACTGCCGGCATGGAAGGGGCGGTTTTTCCTCCAGCGGTCTTGGTCTTCTCTCACTCATCCTTCTTTCTTTACTACATAGCGGTCAATGGGATTTGATATTTTTATCCAAATATTTTTGATGACTTGGGGCCGGGGAACGGAAGGGGGGGGGGTGTTTATGCAATATGAGGGGACGAGGTCCTCCCGACCTGACACGTGAAACAGAGGGTGAGTGCCTGGTCCTAGCCTTTTGAATACCCGCTTGCTTGCCGCGCGTGCGTGTATGTGCGGGTGTGTAGCACGAGACAGGTAGCCGTGGCGGGGGTGCCGTGATATCCGCGGTGCTACCGCCCGCCCGTCTGCCTTTCTTCCCGCTCAGGAGCTACTGTGGCACTCGAGATGCGTGGGTTTTGGCTGACAGGGGCAGCAAGCTCTCTGGGTTGTTCCGTTGCGTTGTTCCGTCTTCTTTGCTCTCCCTGCCTTCTTCCCTGCGCGCGTCGTGCGTTGTGTGCATGGGACGCTGGTGTAACGTTGACGATGTGTTTTCTAGGGTGGGCGTCTGGGGCTGTCGTCCCCCCTCCCCCCTCTTCTTGCGGCTGCGCGCCCGCCTGGGCAGGTGTGTGGGCTTGGGGAGGGGACGTTGCCGGATGGATGCTACTCTGCCTGTCTGCTTACTGTACTGTTCTGTACGTATCTACATGCAATGGCACGGAGTCAATGATAGAGAGGAGGCCGATCGCGGACGTAGCAGTAGCAGCAGCTTTCATGCATTGCATGCGTAGACGCATGCGTGTAACTGTAATCTGGTCTACTACCGTACTGCTCGCATGTGTGGGAAAGGGAGGGTCAGCTGGGATGGGATGGATGGCTCGCTGCGATGCTGCTGCTGCTGCTGCTTGTCTGGAGCATGGGTGTTTCGCGGCGGGTGTAACGTTCGGGGAGATGGGCTCGAGATGGGGGGGACGTTGATGGGAGGAGTGGGCAGGCGGGTGCATATTATGGCGGCGTGGGGAAATGGGCTCTCGCGTGGGTTGTGGGTGTTGGTTGGTTAGTGGTCGGTGATTGATGTCTTCCCCGGTTGTTGCAGTCGAGGAGATGTTTGTAGTCTAATGCACTCGTGTACTGCCTGCACGTTGTGTATGTGGGTGGACTAAATGTATGCAGGCCTGTGTATGTGTGTGGTGTGGTGATGGATGTGGAAGCTGCCAAGATCTGGAGATTGGCGGTTCTCCCCCTCTCTCTCTCTCTCTCACTACTTGCATACTGTATGTATGTTTCACCTCTGTCTGCCCCTGTCTACTCTATTTGTATGGTGGGTTCCGCGATACGGGTCCATGGGTCCCCGTGTGTGTGTTCGTGTCTGCAGCTGGCCTGTCGGAACCGTTGCTGACATCTGGACAGTGTTCGAGATGTTCCAGATTTTGGGATGATGATTCTGCCTGTTCATGAATCACTCTCCCTCCCCTTTCCCCGGCTCTGTGGTCATCAGGCCCCGTTCTTGATGTATTCATATATTTTGTACACACCCGCCCGTATCGAGTCTCGAGTCTGTGCTATGTATATCTCGAAGCCCTCAGCAGAGGTGAGACTCACAACCATCACATGCGAGCTGGAGGAGGGGGGAGGTCAGACAGAATGTCGTCACTTCGACCAGGGGGGAGGAGCTCCACTGGGCAGGGGTTCTCTCCATACGGAGGGAGTCGACAGTGGCCAGAGTGGGCTACATATCTGTAGTGCTGCAGCCTGTCTTTCTCCGTCAACCCTCAGCTGATCTCATCGCAGAAAGGGCACATGAAACGGAGACACGTACCCAGCCTCTCGGGAGAAATGCGTCGACGGACAGAGTTCACCTAGCGAGTCGTGGCGCCTCATGCCATTCATCCATCCATCCACCCACGCATTTCATCCTGCCGTTTATCCTGCCATCTCGATTCAATGAAGATGGCTGGGGCTGGGCCAGGTCTGGGCCAGGCGGGAAGACGGAAAGCCCACCCTGAACCAAGTGTGGCGTCCAGGACAGGGATCATAGGCGATGACCACAAATGAGGGGTATGACGTAGCCAGGTGTGGCTGATGCACCAATGACCGAGACGGGTCGCCGCGCTGGCCAGACATCACACACATCACCGCTGGGCGTGCTGGCAGGGCCGCAAATCAAGGCAGGTGAGCTTGCGGGCGTGCGTGATGCTTGTGCTGTTTTGTATTGTGGCCTAGGCCCTGTGGACTGATATCATATCATACGCGCACAGCAGGCATGGGGGCTAGCGGTGCTGCTAGCTAGGCAGGTGGTGCAGGTTGGGAGTGGAAGCTGCGTGTCTGGACGATGATGCATGTCTGCTGTCAGTCAGTCAGGTTCAGTCTTATAAGGCCTAGCTGGGGACCCTAAGATCTGCTTTGGTCCTTCTCTCTTTTGACACTCCATTACTGTGTATCCAACCTCTGTTACTGTAAGCATGTGAAGTCCATCTCTCCCCTGAGCCACAAGAAGTCGGGCCAGCGCTGACCGTCTCCAGAGAAAGCTCAGGATATCTTGACCTACTCTTCGACTCCCTGCAGATCATCACACCAAGAACCGTGCTGTACCTAATTATCTCGACCAACAAATCCAAAATGGCCAACATCCAGAACCCGACAGCCCCTCAGCTCTCCGAGGAGGACAGGAAGAAGCAGACCTGGGGCGAGTACGGGAAGCAGGTCTACAACGAGCAATACGAGCGGTGGATGCCCTGGATCGAGGACTTTTACCTGCGCTGGTTCACCCGCGACAACAAGACCAGCTACGCCGCCAAGGGTAAGTTGACCACCCGATATCCTCTCCCTTTTACAAGACTAGCTTTCGGTCTAACACAGCCTCCTACCCACAGACACCCTCGACAAGTCCAAGGTGACCGGCGTCAAGCAGGTCGACCAGCTGCAGGACGGCGTCAATAACCTCGTCGCCGGCCAGCTCGGCCAGGACGGCCTGCTGAAGCCCGTCGGCGACGCCGTCTCCAAGGAGGGCGTCAACCGCGCCGAGCGCCAGGGCAAGGACGACAGCGGCAGCTACGCGCCGGGACCCGCGGGCAGTGTTGTCAACCCGATCGCCCAGGGAGGCCAGAAGGTCGGCGGTGGACTTGTCGACGGCGGCAAGGCGGCTGGGGGATACGTCGGGGGGCTGTTTGGTGGCGGGAAGAAGTAAAGGAGCCTGCCTTACTCCCCCTTTCCTTCACTTATTCGTCTTGGCTCAGGGATTTTGTCCTTCTTTCTTCCTTCCTCGTTGGCATCATGGCCTGTTCGTATACCCCCGTCTAGCGACTTTTCATTATTAATCCTACGTTATCCCAAAGATTAGAATATTTCACCGTGCCTTCAGCTTCTGTCTGGCCTCTTCCACCATCTTGTCGGTGTCATGGTGCCAGATCTCGTGAAACCGCCATGTGATCTCCCTGCCAAAATCGTCGGGGCTCCTCGCCAAGTCCCGGTCCCGCCACTGGAACAGGTCGACCGCGTCCCTTGTGTGCTTGACCAGCCACTGCGTGCGCTCGTACCGCACATCGCTGTACACCTCAAACGCCGCAGCCAGCCTCGCCCAGACCGTCTTCCCGCCCCCGCCGCCTTCTTCTCCCGCGGCTGCCACCACCCCGTCCTCATCCCGCACGGCCTGGATCAGCTCCGCCAGCACCAGCGCGTCCTCGATGCCGAACCCGGCCCCGGCGCCGAGATGCGGCCCGCACGCGTGAGCGGCGTCGCCCGCGAGGCAAACGATGTTCCCACCACCCACGGCGGCCTCGATTCCATGTGCCCCGCGGCCCCAGTATATCGCCACGGGATGCTCCAGCATGTCGAAGATGGCCCACTTGTCCATCTCGGCCGGCAGCAGTCCCACGATGGCCTGTATATCCGGGTGCCACCCCTCGAACGCAGCCGCAGCTTCTTCCAACGTGGCGCTCCCGACGTGCGGGTTCCTCTTGCTGCCCTGTGGCGGTGGCTCCCAGGGCTCCGGGTCCGAGACCACGGCGAGCGTGTTGAGCATCGTGTTGTTGGCCACCGGGTAGGTGATGACGTGGGCGCCGGGACCGTTGTACATGTACCTGGTCGAGATCATGTGCTCCGGCAGGGAGGCGCGGGCCTGGGGCATGGGGATCAGGGCGCGGAAGGAGTATTTTTGGCTGTATGTTGCTGCTGAGGAGGGGCCGAAGAGGAGCTCTCGCACCCGCGAGCGGATGCCGTCGCAGCCGATGACTGGAGATGTGTGAGTGAGAGTGTCTTTGCAACCATCTCGTCTGTCCCACCAAAAGTAAAAAGGAGGGAATCACCCACCTGCATCAGCAACCTCCTCCGTCCCGTCCTCAAACAAGAGCCTCACCCCCTCGCCGCCCTCCCCTTCAACCACACCCCGCAGCGCCATCCCAAACCTCACCCTCCCCTCAGGAACACACCCCATCAGCCCGTCCACGAGGTCCCCCCTCCGACACCCGCGGAAGCACCCCTCGCCCACGAAAAGCCTGAACACGAGCTCCCTGCTCAGCCCGTCCACCCACTGGAAGTAGTCCTCCCCGTTGGGGTTCGCCACCCTCTCATACGCGGCGAGCACCCCGGGCGACAGCCGCGCCATCGCCCGCTCCGCGTTGGGGCTCAGCCCGATGCCCGCGCCGCCTGAGCCGTTGGAGCCGCGGGTGGCGCGCTCGTAGACGGTGAAGGGGATCCCGCGGGCCTCGAGGCCTGCTGCTAGGGTTAGGCCTGTTATGCCGGCGCCTATGATGGCGATGTGGGGTGGGCGAGGGGAGGACATCGTTGCGGCGTCAGGTTGTGGGCTGTGTTCTCGTCGCTTTCTGCTGGGAAGGGGACTTGTTCAACTGTTTTGGGGTCGGCTAGCGAGCGTTGAGCTGGCAGACAGCCCACAAGACATTGTGCCCGTGAGCTTTTGTGCCTGAGGGGCACGGACATGCGCCGTGCCTGTCCAGGCCGTGATTTTATTGGTCTGGTGCATGAACCATTGGCTGCGTGCAGATGTGTGGCTTGCTCCCCGGGTTCCGTCCCCCCCCTTCGGAGTCCGATCGCCGTGCTTGGCGGCGGAGGTCCGGGGCAGAGAGCACCTGAGGCTGCTGACAGGTGGGCTGTCCCGGACCGCGCCGGGGATATGACGGCTCCCTGCTGCGTCTTTCCAATTGATCCTGATGCTGCTTTCACCAGCTGGGTTCGTTGTACAAACAGAACAAACATCGTCAAAGGTCTCCGGAGATGGCCGGCACGCCCAAGGAAAGGGTCCTCCTGACGGGTATGTCAACCTGACCGCTGCGTTGAAGCATTGGCTGATATTTCATGCATCCATCAGGAGGCAGTGGCTTCATCGCCTCTCACGTCCTCGATACACTGCTTGCCCATGGGTATGCCTATTACTCAACATGAACCCCAAGCACCGCCTGTCCCACGCGACAACGCCACCACGGCTCCGGGTTTGAATTTCGCTTGCTAACTCATGTGGAATTGGCAACAGCTTCTCGGTGGTTGTAACAGCAAGGTCGCCCGAAAAAGGCCAAGCTATCGTCGGCTCCATCGACGAGTCTCTGCGGCCTGATGTCTCTTACGCTGTGGTTCAGGACATCGCCCAGGACGGAGCATTTGACCATGTGTGTTTTCTCCGCTTGGACATGCTTGCACACAGTCCTTGAAAGGCTCATCACTCTAACCTGAAATTCCACCAGGTCTTCCAATCCGGGACGAAATTCGACCATGTCGTCCACACCGCTTCTCCCTACAGCTTCAAGGTTGACGACCCGGTCAATGACTTTCTCAATCCCGCCATCAAAGGCACCACCGGCATCCTCAAGTCGATCAGGGCACACGGCCCGTCTGTGAAGCGGGTCGTCATCACATCATCTTCAGCAGCCATCATCAACCCGCTAAAGCACGAGAAGGTCTATGACGAGACCAAATGGGCCCCGTTCACTTGGGACGACGCCATCTCCAACCCCCAATTCGGCTACCCAGGGAGCAAGGTGAGCTTCCAGGCAGCAGTCCCTTCGAAATGTCCCCTCAAGTTGAACACTGACCACCTCACACACAGAAACTGGCCGAGCAGGCCGCCTGGGCCTTCGTCACAGACGAGAACCCCAACTTCGACCTCGCCACCATCTGCAACACATACACCTTTGGCCCCGTCCAGCGGCAGCTGCCAGCCCTGGGCGCCATCAACACCTCCAACCAGCGCATCCGCGACCTCGTCCTCGGCGGGATGCGCGGCGGGCTCGAGCCCACCGCGCCCGTGTTCACGTGGGCCGACGTCCGCGACGTGGCGCTGGCGCACGTCAGGGCCGTCACGAGGCCCGAGGCTGGGGGCAAGCGGTTCTATGTTGTTGCTGGGCACTTCTCCAACAAGAGGCTTGCGGATCTCATTCGGGACCGCCATCCTGAGCTGGTCGAGAAGTTGCCGCCGGAGGGGGCTGGGGATGATTTCCCTGCGGATGTGTATGGGTTCGATAATTCGCGGTCGAGGGAGGTGTTGGGGATTGAGTACCGGGGGCTGGAGGAGAGCGTGGAGGATACGGTGAAGTCGATTCTGGAGTGGCAGTCGAGGCACTGAAACGATCTCGAGAATCCTTTCACGGCACTTATTGTTCCAGGGGTTGGCTGTGCTTGCTGTGTCCATTTGAGCCATCCTTGAGAGTCCCCCCGGATATTACCTGTTGTGCAAACCTTCTTTGAATAATCCTCGGAAATGTCACACCAGTTGCGCGAGCCGATGACGAGCGAGGCCACATGCTCTTCCGCAGCCCACATGTATTGTGAATATTTTGGTATGAGTTGTTCTCGCCATGCTTTGTCTACTAGAATTACTTACGGTGGGGCAACCCCACGATGACTCTCACGGCAACTACCTTGCAGCTTCAGTGAATAGTCACCCCAGGTTCCAAGTTTTCATCACTTCGGACAATTCTATGCAGGTCCCAAGCAAACATCCGGGATATCCACAGCCTGTAATTTCAGATCTTCTTCTGTGTCCTTATGAGTGTATACAAGTCTTTGACTGAAGCTCCAAATTAGCTACAAGCCCTAGGAGATTGAAAAGAAGTTGAATGCCACCGTCTTTCATGAACAGTACGACCATGGTTTATTTTCTAAGTTGCAGTCATGTGAGACCACCTAGAATCATCTACACACCATTTACATGTGTAGCATCTTAAGCAGACTTTAATTAGATGTTATCACAACTGATGTCCATCATAGATAGGACAAAGCCAGCCACGGTTAAAACGATGACCACAATCAACATTCCAAACAAGTAACTGTACTTTTCTCTGCCCAGATGAGCTCTTGAAGACTTGAGAGCCGCAAGGATCAGTAGGCAGCATTCCAGTCCCTCTTTCGATTGATAGAATGCCTGGGCACCTCTGATCGTGGTTAGTCTTCACACGCCATCAGCCAGAAGCTGTCAATGTCGAAGAAGTCTGGGTTTGTGCTTCTTACTGATGGAGACCTCCTCTCGCACATATCGCACAGCGGCGTGGTGCATACTTCATCCTGAAGACCTCTTATCGCAATATCAGGTCCATAGGACCCCGCCCCTGGAACCAGCCTTGGCCCGTACTTTGGGGGACGACCTCTTATCCCTCTTATCGTACAGATCAGACAGCGCCATGGTACGTACCGCTTGGTGGTGGCCTCTCCCTGTGCATTTCAGATGGCGCCTTGTGGGCCCATGCTTCTGGGGATGGCCTCTTATCGCCCATATCGGACAGCCTTGTGGGCTGCCTTTCCTTGCGGGTGGTTGACTGGGCTCGACGGCCCCGCTCAGCTTGTTATTGAATCGACCAAGTCCCAGGTCAGAAGTGCAAACGGTCGCGCCACCCAGCAGACACGCGACTGGTCTTCGTTGGCACACATCCACACCATTCGCGTCGATATCCAGTCCCTTTGGCGTCGTCAACGATCAGTCAGTGCCAGCAAGCACTTCAGAATCCATCGCCATTGCAGAGTATGGCATAGACCTTCCTCCAGGAGCAGAAATCAACCCCTCCAACGCGGCAATGCTTCTCGACATGAACAACGGAGCCACCAATGCCTCCGTCGCGCCCTTCAGCCAGCCCAATGGCGTGGCATATCCTGTGTCTGGCACCTTTCTGGTAAGGAGACTATCAATTCCGTTTACGAAAAGACTTGTGGCTAACAGATCGAAGGCGAGCAGTAACCAGGACGCTGAGATGGGAGTAGTGTCCGGAGTTGCCGACAACTACCTCGGAGACAGTCACGACCCGATCGGCGCAGGAGACGGTGTTCTCTTCCGTCCCTTCAAGCACTTGCCTGGTGAGGTCAGAACCATGATCTGGAAGGCTGCCGCTGCGTCTGCCAAGCCCCGAGGAGTCTACCAATTCAAGGTCAAGCACATCAAGCTGGGGCTCGCGTCAAACCATTACCCGCTGGCTCAGTCCATGTTCACCAACATACGCCGGCTCGACGACAACAGCCCCCTCGTCCGTGAGATCCGTGATCTGATGCAGAGCGTCTACACCGGCGACTCGGTCTCGACCTTCACCCCCCTGCCCGAGGTCGGCAGGTTCACCCTCGAGATCCGGAACCTGCTCCGGAGCTGCCCGGAGGCCCGGTCCGAGCTGGTGCGCACCCCCGCCTTCGGCTCGAGCTTCAGCTTCCACTGGTTTGAGGGCGGGAAGTGCGACCTGGGCGTCGTCCGGCCGTTCTGTTACGATACAGACTGGATCAGCCTCACCGAGGTGGCTCAGCACCTCACGATACGGCCCTCTGCCCCCGGTGTGCTTTGCACGCCTGACATCGCCGCCATCGAGCACCTCGCCATCCCGCATCTGGAGTGCTTCTGTACCGGAGACTGGTCACGTCTGCAAGCCCAGCTGCGCACGCTCGCCGTGTTCCCCAGCCTCAGATCACTCGGCATCTACGACTCCTGCCTCTCGGTCAAGCGGGTGTCCCACTGGGACCGCCTGATCACGGAGGACCAGAGGTACTTCCTCAAGGGCGTCTCGACCTCGGCCTCGGGCGCGCGGCCGGGGCGGCGGCTGACGGGCGCGAGGTTCTCCGGCGCCATGGGGAGCCTCAAGAGGCTGATCCTCGAGGTGGCGGTGAAGGAAATCATGAACAAGCTCCAGAGTCCGCGCCCGGCGAGTCTTGCCGGCTTGAACTTCTGCCTCCTGCTCCACGCCAGCAGCCAGGCGGGACTGGACCTCATGAAGTTCAGGGAGGATGGCTCCCATCTTGACGACGTCGCTCGGATCCAGGACTTGGGAGTCATTGGACAGGAGGTGAAGGCCTTGCGGATCAACGGGGCCCGACCTTGAGACGATTTCGGACCAAATGATGAAAGTGGACGCCACAGCCAGTATCCCACCAAATAAGAGCCTTACGTGTGGCATAATGTGGAAATGGAGCAGGTGTCTCGTGTAGGGGTTGAGCACCGATACGTGCTCCCACCACGAAGAATGCGGCGGCCTAGTCTGGCCTGGTCCTCATGTGCGCTGGCTTAGACCACTTTTGATGAGGAAATGTGTCTTGCGGAATTGTGACCCGTGATGATTGGAGGACAGACGTTTGTTTTTACACTTTTCGGTGGTTGCTGTACGCCGAGTACCGGCCTCGTGAGAAGTTGAGCTCTCTCTGGGGTCAACTGTTAGGGATCAGTGGTTGACCGGTCATTTGTGACTTGTTCCAAGCTAAGCTACCGTGATGAGTTGCACACAGGGAGACACCAAAAAAGGGACGTTCAGTGGACAGTTTTGTGAGCCGGATAAGCCGATGGATACGGAATAATGTACAACAGTTTCGACATGATCACAGGCCGTACAGGTCCTGAAGCAGTGATGACATCACCAAATTGATAAAAGTGAATTGTGAATTGGAAAATTGTGAGCACGAGGGTGATGAAACTACGGAGCAATGACAGGACGTGACACAGGACAGAGCAATTCCGGCAAGACTCTCAGCCGTAGACCATCACTTGGTTTGACGAGAGCAACAAGTAGATTGCGCGGTCTAGGCTACCTCGAGGCTACCTACGTAAGCATGCGCGAGCCCTGCAAAGTCCAGGTCACATCGTCCTACTGTTGCCCCGTCTGCCCGCATTCCGCATCCCGTGTTCCGCATTCCTCGCCCCTTGGCCCGCCAGGGGGTCTGGGGAACGAGCAGTCTCGCCTCTGTCAAGCCGTTATTACACATGCATGTCGGCACCCACACCGGTGTGTTGTCGCACAAAGGGGGCAACGGCTTGTGACAGTCTTGGCCATTGGCTGACGGCCCGGGCCAACCGGCTCATAGTTCCAAGGGGTCCAGAGGGGGGGTTGATCGATCCATTTAGCGCCCGCTGCGGGCTTTTCCCAGGCAGCTGGGAACTTGCTGGCTTCTCCTCACGACCGTCACCCAACATGCATGTTGCGGCCGACTCGCAACACCAACTCATGCCCCTCCAACCGCACAACTACCTTGCCTAGGTAGTAGACAGACAGTTGGCTACTCAGGCTTGCTCCTGCATAAGTCTTGTGTGCCTGGTGCGCCATGGCTTCTGTCGACAATTACCATGGCGCTGGCAGCAGCAGCAGACAGGACTGGGAGGCCCGGGCAAGCATCCCCTTCAATGTGGGCGGCGGATCGTCGTCGCCATCAGCTCCGCCGCCGTCAGACGTGTCTCGGGCCACAGCGACACAGGCAGAGCTCCCATCCCCTGCATCCACGCACGCAGGGCAGGGCAGGACAGTCGATGACCACGATTCTGATGAGAACACCAGCCCCAAGACATCCTCCGGCGGCAGGTGTCCCAGCAGATATGACTGGAGTAAGCACATGCCCACTATCAAGCATCTCTACATCGAGGAGGACAAGACCCTGAAGGAGGTGATGGGGATAATGGAGAAGGAGCACAATTTCATCGCAACGTGAGTGCCAGTCCCAGCTCCTACCCAGTCTTTACAACATGCACGCACACGAGCACGCAAGCAAGCGAGAGTGGACGCCCCGGCTGCATCCGCACAAGGGGAGCCACCCCCAAAATCCCTTGCCCCTTGCTGTGTGTGTGTGCTTACGGGGTCGATGACGCCCTTCTGCTTACGCCCAATCTGCGCCGCAGGGCCCGCATGTACAAGATCCGCCTGAAGAAGTGGGGCTACACCAAGAACGTCAGCGTCAAGTCCGAGGAGATCGAGCCGCTGCTGAGGCTGCTCGACGAGGCAGAGCACAAGGGCGACGCCCGCGCGGCGTCGAGCGAGGTCCAGCTCGCCACGGGCCGCGTCGTCGGCCTCGACCGCCTCGCTGCACACCTGCGGCGCAAGGCCCAGAGGCAGCACCAGTCCCTGGCCGTGGACACGCGCCTCGCCTCGGCCCATGCCGCTGCTGCTGCCGCCGCCTCATCGTCCACGTCGCTGGCGCGGTACCGACGCGGAGGTAGTGGCAGTCTCAGTGCTGGGAGCCCGTCTCCCACGTCGCTGGCCATCAACTCGCCCGACATGTACCGCATCTCCGAGATCGTCTTCGCCGACGTGCACGCCTACGTGTGCGGGCGCATCCTCGAGCCCAAGGGCCTCAAGCTGGTGCAGAGGTCCGACTACGACATGACCTCGCCCGTCTTCTCCATGGTCCACGCCGCCAGCGAGTTCCTCAAGCAAGGGCGGCTCGACGAGGCCCTCGCCCTGCTGAGGGTCGCGCCCGCCCGCCTCAGGAACGTCATCATGTACGAGCCGCCCAACATCCTGCACTGCCTGTTCATGGTCATCGTCCACCTCCTCAGCACCTCGGGCTCGGAGCAGCTCGTCAGCAGCATCAAGGCGCTCCTCGCCTACGCCGCCGCGACGGCCGACGAGAACTCGCGCCACTGGTCGCCGCAGTACCCCGTGCGGCGCATCCTCCGCAGCCTCGCCGACCTCAGCGCCTCCAAGGACTTTGCCCTGCGCGACATGACGGTGCACGCGTGGCGGTGCCTGCTGCGCTCGCACGACCTGACGCTCGGCTCCCCGGACTGCGCCCAGACCTTCCCCAACTGGCTGGACCTGGGCGAGTCAGCCGGGTTCGACGTCCTCCCCCTCGGACCTGCTCGAGAAGATGCACTGGGAGGTCTACCGCAAGCGCGTGGCCGAGCTGGGCGAGGGCGACATGCAGTCGTGGTCGCAGCTCTTCTACCTCGCCGAGCTGGAGCGGCAGAAGGTCAAGGCGCGGGGCACCCCGACGCACAGGCTGCAGCGGTGCCTCGAGATGACCCTCGCGGGGATCGAGGGCGCCGAGCCGGGAAAGGGGCTGGTGGCCAAGTATAACTGCCAGCGCAGCCTCGCCGAGATCTACAACGACCAGGGCCGCCGCGGGCTGTCCGAGGATTTCCTCCGCGCCGCCATCGATACTGCTGCGGTGAGGCACGGCCGCAACGACGAGCGCGTCCTGCAGATGCTGTTTGAGCTCGAGAACCGCCTGGCCGAGTGGGGCGAGGGCGACGACAAGCTCGCCGAGCCGAGGGCGAGGTCGGCTGGGATCATCGTGGCGCTGAATAATGAGCCGAGTGGGTAGTGCTGGGGCGGGTTGGTGAATCAGACCGAAGAAGATGGGGACCACTGGAGCACCCCGGCACGAACGTGTGGGTACCCAAGCCTGGCACTTCACCGAACCTGTCGAGCCGCTCGGGGGTTCGGAATACCCAGGCTCTTGACAGTCAGCAGTTCTCTCGCCATGTCCGCGTCCACGATCAGAGTACAAGGGCGCTCAAGTGCACAGCCGACGCTCGACAGCGCAGTCATTCCCATTGCCGGCAGAGTTCAGAGGCAACCGCGGGGTATCGAACTGACCATGTCCTCGCTGGTCTGCGCATGCTGCACATTTAGAAGGAGGCAAGGATTGCTGCGCTGGTGTGCGTCCGAACTGCAGGCCCGTTCCGCCGTCGTGCTCAAGGGCTGTATGCGCGATGGCGCGAGTGTGCGCCTCTGCACAACAATGCCCAGCCCCAATCATATCTCCAGATCTATTTCTTGGCGGCCGCGACAGTCGTATTTCGGCAGATGGATGCCGATGGGGTTCTCCTGAAACCTCGGCCGACGTGCCACTGCCTCACTGGCCATGTCTCTTGCCTGGGTAGGCAGAATTGCGGCCCCAATCGGCGCAGTGCCCTGGCTCCCAACATCCTCGACCGTATGTCACTCACTCACGCGTGCATACCAACACCCCCAGGCGGTTCAACGGACGATGAATCACATGGACTTCGAAATCCTCCAGCCAACATCGGAGGCTGTGGGGTGGGTTTCTTGCGGGAAAACCCCACACCGGTCAACCACAAGGGCCGGGAATAACTGTTCTGTTGGTGGCTCATTACACGTCGACCTGCTCCGTTTGGCTTGAACCGCTTGGGTACTTACTTCCCTTGTCGGATTAAGGCGATGCAGAACTCAGGGGGGTATTTGGGCTTGGAAAGCGGGAGGGGACGGAACAGGGATTGGATTTCCTTGTAAAGTTCTGGGACAGGATGGAAGAGTCATCACACCGTAATGCGAGGCCTCAGCGTGCAGGGTTTATACACTCGCTGCTACTGGCCCTGGAAGGCTTAAGAGGCGGTTTAAATCGGTTTAGTCTTGTTGCATTGGAGCCCCAGCAAGTGGCAGGTGGAATGCGTCGCCCAGACCTTCTTGTTGTGGTGCTTGGCGCCATATTGTGTGGATAGAATGCCACCATATCCGTGCCGCAGTGAGACAGCAGCCTAATAATTGGTACCTGTCAAATTGATTCCCAGGCAGCATTTTCTGCACCAGTTCGGGGAAATTGCCCTCGCGTATACCTTTGTCAGCCTGGCAAGACTGCCTAAATTTGGCTGAAAATAAATAGTGTCAACCCTTATCCCATGACCAGCCGTCAAATAAACTTTCGGGACGTCGGGAGTGGTGGGTCTTGCCGATCCTCCTCCGCCTCCCTTGAAAGTTACCGGCGTGTTGGTTCTTTCCGTCGCCCCTGTAACGCATCAACCGAGACGCCACTCTTTGCCATGTAATCTACATACTAATACCTGCGTGCAAACTTTGTCTGGAACTCGAAATTCCAGGCATCGAAAAAAAAAAAAAAAAAAAAAAAAAGGAAAAAAAGGAAAAAGAAAATATTAAAAAAGTTCCGAGCAAGTCAATCCAGGAGGCACACCCGTAACTCCCTGTTCTCACAAGCACCACGTGTTCGAGTCGTACTTGAACGCAGGTCCGACGGAGCGTTACGCACACGTCAAAAACGGCCCAGTAACCAATTGCCCCGAGACACACACGCCCAATGGCAGTGGGTTGTGCTGATCCTTCTAGCGGCCGCCTCGTGTTACATGGGAGCCGTCGACGGGCAACCTGATAAGCGGGCTGCGGCGCCGAGGGAGGATCTAAGTTGGCACTTGCAGCTGACACTTTCCAGAAATGCGGTGAAGACTCATATCGAGATTGGCTCGCCGGTCGCTGCTCGGTCTCTCCTCCAGGGGACTACCTTCCTGGTCCCTGCCCCCTCGTGGTTCTGTCCCTCGTGGCTCTGTGTGATGAGGTTCCGGGTTTGTGGTGGGTGTCTATATTAGTATGCTTGATCGCGATCTTGAGCAGGGTCACGAACAAGAATCTATTTCAGTCTTTCAAAGACTAGTATTTACTACTAGGCTGCAATACAATTCTATTGGCTTCGAAAGAATTTTCCCATTCCCTTTTTATTCTTGTACGACGCCTACACAAAGGTTCAGGCCAGCCTGCATCGGAGGCGGGATCCTTCAAAACATCCAAGAATTCGACACTTGGCACCCAAGACGCGAGAAACCGCAGGGGGCGCCGTCCCTGCCTGGTACCACGTGGGACGGGAACTTGGGCCCGCGAGGACAGGACCCTCAGCCCATTAATTCCACCGATTTGCAGAAACGAAAGTCTGTCAACGCCCCGTAGGGCTGAGCCATGCGCGCCACGAGGAAGGATGTGGGGTCCAGAGGAACCTTGGAAGGCAGCCAGCCACCGCCGGATAGAACAGGGTTGTCATCCTCAATAGTATGCAGGCCCGGGGTTTTCGCCCACCCCTGCTTTTTTTTCTTTCCCCCTTCCCCTCCTCACGCCCGCATCCTGCCCTGTCAGGGGCCGGCGATTCAGGGCAGTGTGTGATCCTTTTCGTGCACCTCTCCTTGCCCAGGCACCCAAGACACGAGCACTGCCATTGGGAATGCGGCTCTGTCGGCCGGGCCGTCCGTGGTGGCTGCCAAGCCTGTCAAGCCTGTCATCATCTTCGGGCTGGGTTGAGTCATCACCCGTCTTGGTTCTCACGTGTATGAAATTGAGATGAACCATTTTTTGACCGCCACGCCACGAGAAACCTGAGATGAGCCGAGTCGAGATGACGTCTGCAAGAAATTATGCATCCAGGAACTCGAAACTGGAGAGACGGAAATCAACAGAACAATAGGCCATCAAGGCGACTCAATAATCTGTATCAATTGGGCTTTGTTGCATCTATCGCGGTCGGATATGCTAATATTTGGGGGCATGCTTGGATGCAGGAGGAATCTGTAGGAGAGATTTTCGATCTAGACCGTACCAATGGAATGTTTTGGGGGACTGAAGAGAATATGGGCAGATTCCATGGATAGAAGGACTCGAAATAGACCCTTCGTCTTGAGTTGCAGCTTGGTGGATTCGGAGTAGACCGAATTGGCCCCTAATTTCTAAATTTCTACTTGCCAAGCCGTTCCGAAGCATTGCAGATGTGCTCGAGTCCTTTCAATAAAAATTCTCGGCATCACTCGTACAGCATTGGAAATATCACGGGACATTCCATGGTTTACGAGTTATTACTCATCTAAAACTAAGTTAGTTGTCAGATGTCAGATAGGTACGAAATAAGACCTCGGGAACACCTGGACTTAGTCAGTACAGAAGAGCCTCATGCCGAACAGGGAAAGTCAGTGGCGGTGAGAATACCTGACCGAAATCGAAAAATCCATTTCTCAGGCATCACAATAAGGGAGGAAGTATGTAATATGCCTTGGGGCTCTTTTATCAGACAATAGGGATCCGAGGGCTAGCTCTGTGCAAGAAATGAAACCTAGCCGAGCCACTGCAGGTTGTCGGGTCAAGAATAGGTGCCTGGGGAAGACCACACAAAATCTTGACTCATCCTTCTATAGCCAGCAGAAAATAGTCGCCCGAAGTGTCACAAGGCGCTCCCGTCCGCCTGGAGCCGCGAAGTTGGGGGCCGTAAGCACCGTTTTTGGATGTGTGGTAGCAGAGGGCTCGGTGTGTGATGCGGTCAGATGGAATCGCACAGCCGCCCCCAGCCCTACGAGTAGTACTTCGCTTTGGGGAGGTAAGACGAACACCAAGAACTATTCTAAAGTATGACCTCGTGATTGAGTATATAATACGGGATGAGTCCTCAGTCTTCTGGCATCGATTCTGGCATCATCAACATCATCAGCATCAAGCACTCTAAACAGTCTCACAACAATCTATCTGACAGCTTACTTCTTCGCGGTAATCCAACCAATCATCACACGCAATTCAAACCCTGTCCTAAGACCTCCTACCCAACCGTCACAATGAACGCTTCTACTTTCATCTCTGCCATCGTCGTGGCCCTGGCTTCTTTTGCCGCCGCCGCACCCGTCCCTACAGAGACCCCAACTCCCGTAAGTATTCAATTTCACGTCTGACGTGTATCTCTCCTGTCCCTTGCGGCCATTCAACAAACCAACCATATTATTCCCTGTAAGTTTCAATGAAACCTTTTGTGCTGACATTCCTCTACAGGACTGCGTTGGAGGTTGCGGTGTTAACTAGAATCGCACCCGAAATGGTCCATTGACGACCCATGTATCAACTATAAGACTGTATTATCTATGGGAGGGTGGATTTCTTGTCGGGTTCAACCCAGTGTTACAATAAGCGATCTCTTCGATAAAGGATGTGGCAACACATGGATTGGGATAGATAATAGACAGCAATGTCTCGGGTTACAACAGTGACAATAAATCAAGAAGTTTAATGTATTGTAATTGCAGGATTCAATATGTTGGAGTTGCATCGCAAAAATTTCGATTGGCGTCAATGCTATAGCATTACATCCAACAGTTTCATTTCGTGTCCTATGCTGCTTGAAGTACGACCCAGATGAGAGGGACAGTACCGACAGAAAGGTCTAACCGTTGACATGCACGCTTCTTGACATGCTCCACTAAGTCTGGAGGCTTCCATCTGGCTCGTGGAATATCTAGCTTCCTAGCATAATTTTCAAAAAACTGGGCGCGGCACAAATTATTATGTCCAAGCAGTGAACTCCACCGAATGGCTTCAAGCCTTGTGAATATCACGTGCCAACGGCAAAACGAATTGCATCAGTCAGCTCAAGTCGTTAGGTGCTGCCGTTTGAGAAATACTTAAGTATGCTGTTACTTATGTTCATGAATCACACGGCGTCGACTCGACTCGGCCGACTCCAGGCCAGCAGTTCCTGGCAGCTATGGCTTTGAGACTCTGTAGCGTACTGCTTATGGTTCGCTGTATTGACACAGAAATCGGAGGACCGGATGACGCTTGCAGGACACGCGCAACACGACCAGTCTTCTTATGCACGGATCTGGGTCCACAAATATCCGGTACTTGATAATTCTAGAAACACCGGGCAGTTGATGTCCCCGAGAATCATTCCTCCAAGTTATACCTGGAGGGTATGGGTGCATCTTTTTCCATGTGTGATCCAGCTGAGGCGATGCATGGGTCCTGTGCCAAACCGTCAAGGTCGCATTCGCAAGTAGTTTCTAGACTTTGAAGGATGCTCCAAAACCCGTCCACAATCTGCTTGGCATAAAAAATTTCCCCCGGTGCTCTTGTTGTCGCGGTCTTTGCCTGAATCTCGTCTCGCATGTGGACAGATATCTGGTTGGTCGTTCGGTGAAGAGCAACACCAACGGCCAAGTCCGTCACACGTGAGGCAAGGGGTCATTTCCAGAGTCCATGTTCCTTGTACTACTCACCGCTGATTTCTGAAAATGAGGCTTCCAGCGAGGTCGTTGACTCGACGTCTAGGGCTATCCATGTCGAACAAAACGTGTTAATTTGCCACAGCAAACCAAGAGAAAAGGCCGATGGCGTCTTCGACACTCACGCCTGAGGCTTCTGCATCTTGATCCTTTATATATTAGATCAATCCTGGACCACAATACATGTCACTCTTGAATTTCATGCCGGCAGATCGGATACCTCCGAGCGACGTGTTTTTTGCGGATCTGTGATCCTTCGCCGCGGTAATCGCCCGCTCGCTCAAAATCCATGCCGACATTCCAGGATCCTTAGCGTGTCTCATCTGGAATTCGATGTGGGTAAGAATTTCGAGGGCACCCGGTGGCCTGGGCTCAGCTGAGCACGGGCGAGCACCTGAGTCAGACAGTCAGACAGGACATGGGCTTATTAAGATATGGCCGAGATTCCTCGGTGAGCTGCCGCCGGCCTGTCTGGCCTGTATGTGTGGCATCCGAAGTGGACTCCAGCGAGCAGCGGGAGGGCCCATATTCAAATGAGGGAGATCATTTGCCAGCAAACGTGCGTTCCACCCGGGTGGATTCCTTGACAGACGTTCGACCGGCATTCCGTCATCCTCGGCTTCTTATTAGTGGAAGTCGTCAGTCCGCGGCCCACGCAGGTACACAAAACCCCCTGACGCCACGGTGGATTGGCCCTGGTCGGCTGGAGGCCAGAAGGCACACCGCATCTGGTATGCCGGCTCAACGGTGGGCGGACCTGGGCCTGTTTCCCAGACCACCGCTTTGCCATGTGGAGTTCAGCAGGCGGCGGATCAGGCACGGCCAGGGATGATGCAAACTAAGTTGCATGAAGGTTAAATTACGTGAGCTCTTTTCTGTGGATCTCCAAGGGGCAAGCCACCAACCGCCGCTGTCTTGCTGATGGCTTCCAGTTAGTCCACCAATGCTTGATCTGTCTGTTTACACTACTGTACGTGCACAACTGACACAATGCTTTGCGCGTGGCGATCTGCATGCTCCACCAAATACAGTCTGCTTGAGCCTCGTTATGTGGATTTTGCAACTGCCGTTGCATGAAAATCGGCATTCACATTGGGCCACACTGCAAGAGGCGGACTTACCAGCACAAAATACAGAGTGCGAACTGAGATCCATCATGCAACCTTCAACATTGAACCAAACTGGTCCGGCATCTCAGGGGCAGCCTCACGTAGCCACGGCCTACGGCACAGCCACTAGTATTCTTCGTGGGGAACTCATTAAGCCAGGCAACGCTACTGGTGCGCACCACATGGCGGCTCACAAGTCGCATCTCCAGGGTCCCACCAGAAACAAGTGCAAGAGTGGTTCGCACGCCATACAGTTAGGCACAGCAAGGCACAAGGCACAACTCGAAAAGTACCGCTCAACAGCCGCAACTAGGCCGCTCTCGGCCTGGATGCCGAAATATAGCTTCTAGAAGACGCCCCTTAATGTGTCAGGGGGCAGCAGCTGTCATTTGATGCAGAACCCTGCGTGGGGTCAATCTGACAGCTGTGCAGTGCCGGCTGCGCGATAACGCTCTCCTCCTCGTACGATCATTGGAAGCCACCAGGTAGACCCTGGAGATAGTCTGTGGACCAGGCTGGATCAACAAGCGTGAAGCCTCGGACGGTCCTGCCGTTTGTGCCCAAAGAGCGTGTATATGCTTCCACGATTGTTTTGACAGGCCCACTTCCTTAAGTCTTTCAATAAGCTTAAAAGGAAGACGATCACCAGCCTCTCGACGATCTCTTATGCTGATCACCAACACTCACTCACACTCTCTTTCAGCCCTCGCTCCAAACGATCGTCACTCCTTTTCGATCGACCAACACACTCTTTCATCATGCTTTCACCACGCGTGATTCTCACGGCGCTGGCCGCCTTCGCCAACACCGTTGCTGCCGCTGGTGTCACCGGCGCCGCTGAGGGTTTCGCCAAGGGAGTTACTGGAGGTGGCTCTGCCGCCCCCGTCTACCCCAAGGACAACGCTGAACTTGTTTCGTACCTCACGGACAGCTCCGCCCGTACCATCATCCTGACCAAGACCTTCGACTTCACCAACACCGAGGGAACCACGACGGAGGCTGGATGTGCGCCTTACGGCACCGCTTCCGGTTGCCAGCTGGCCATCAACAAGGATAACGTGAGTGGACACCTTTTTGTGGCTATTACTCTTGGCTCAACAGATCGCTAATGCTTGTCTCAACCTCAGTGGTGCAAGAACTACCAGGCCAGCTCCCCAACTGTCAGCTCCATCACCTATGACAAGGCTGCCTGGAACGCGATCAAGGTCCAGTCCAACAAGTCCCTGGTCGGCCAGGGCTCCGCCGGTGTCATCAAGGGCAAGGGCGTGTACATGGCCAACGGTGTCAAGAACATCATCATCCAGAACGTTCACTTCACCGAGATCAACCCCCAGTACGTGTGGGGCGGTGATGCTATCTCCATCGCTGGTGCCGACATGATCTGGATCGACCATGTCAAGGTAAGACGGACCCAGAAACCACACACGACATATTCTCCATGACAGCAGGCTGACGAAACTGCATAGACCTCCCGCATTGGTCGCCAGCACCTTGTCCTCGGCAACGCCGCCTCCAACCGTGTCACCATCTCCAACTCTGAGTTCGATGGCTCCACTAACTGGTCTGCCACCTGCGACGCCCACGTAAGCACTCCTCGTCCAAGGCATAGTATTGAGAAAAGTGCTAACTAGATACCACAGCACTACTTCCTCATCTACTTCACCGGGAGCAACGACATGATCACCTTCAAGGGTAACTACGTCCACCACTCTTCCGGACGTAGCCCCAAGGTCGCCGGCAACACCCTGCTCCACGCCGTCAACAACTACTTCTACGCCAACAGCAAGCACGTAAGTATATAAACCATCCAACCCCCCCTCCCCCTCCCACACCCCCTCGCAATGACTAAGTGACTAACCCGCATCCTTTCACCAGGCCTTCGAGACCTCCCCGGGCGCCTACGTCCTCCTCGAGGGCAACACCTTCCAGAACGTCAAGGACATCATCGACCCCTCGGCCAAGGACGGCAAGATGTTCACCTCGCCCGACGCCAACAGCAACGCCAACTGCAAGGCCGCCCTCGGCCGCGCCTGCGTGCTCAACGCCTACGGCAGCTCCGGCACCTACACCAGCTCCGACACGAGCTTCCTCGGCAACTTCAAGGGCAAGAACATCGCCCCGGCCGCCGCCGCCTCGGCCAACGTCGCCCAGACTGCCGGTGTTGGCAAGATCTAATAAACGGGCTGGGGAGATTTTGCTCGCTCGGTTGTTGAGAGGGGGTTTACCGGCCATTGATGGCTCGATCACCGTTTCAGGTCTAGCCTGTGGCTTGCTCCTGGCGGCAGCCCGCTGTGAAAGCTGGGCTTAATATTCTTGTATATACATATTTTTTAGAGAGGTGTCGAATTGTAAATACTATGGCTCGATATAAGAGGCCTAAAATCTTGTGCTCCACTGCCTGAAAAAAAAAGAACGTGAAAATCTCTCAAACCGATATGACAGCGCCAGTTCCTCAGCAATATATTGCAAACATCATTTCACATTCTAAGTAACCTGTTGCGAATCTACATCTACTCGCAGGTTGTCAATAGAAGTACAGCGTCTCAGGCTGAGAACGGCGCCCTCTAGCCCTATTAAAAAACGGACTTATTTTAAGGGTTCCCATCGAAAGAAGCTGATGCTTTTTGCTGTTGTGGAATGGGCGACGAAGAGGACTCGAACATAAGATGCGTGTCTTTTGGAGACGACTTTAGAATTGCTCACAAGCTAGACTTGCAAGTGGGCTCGTTGTTTGGCACCTGGGGAATCGTGGTATTTATCTAGACAGGGAGAGTACGGTGCTCCGTCTCGCTTTGATATAGCAGAATTTCAATTGTGAATCCCAGCCCATCACGCGTCATCTCAAGCTAATGCAATCTGCTGAATTGCGTTTCCGGTGCCGGAATCCCGTGCTCTCCATCTGCTGGACGCGTCTCCTGTGCCGAACTCCGTGGCTGCATGGCTGTGATGTTACCCAGTGCCGAACTACCGTGGTAGCGATGCTCTAGCCTTTGCACAGCCTCCCCCATGATTCCCACTTTGATGCAGATCAGGATAGTCAACAGAAGTGCAAAAACTAGTGACAAATTCGGCATGTGCCGATCTAAACATTGATCACTTTTGATTCTGAGTTCAGCCTTACCCCGGGTTCTTAAAGCCATTAGTGTTGTGTTGTGGGGAATATAAAGTGAGGCTCTGCATATTTTGTTTAACGTCAGTTCTTGACTCCCATATTGACCACTGCCCACTGCGGCCCTCAAATTAGAACCACCGTGAACCCAGACACACGAAAGAAGAGTTTTCATCACTTTCTAATACCCAGACGAATTGCAGCCATCTAATTGCATCATTATATACTTTTCGCGGTCGGGAATCGACTCAACGTCCACGTCCTTCGTCGCGGCCAATGACGGCGATTAATGCCCGCAACCCCGATCAGTAATCATTTCAGCTTGGCTCACGACTCAAGTTTGAGACTAGAACAGGGCTATAAATCTCACAACGAGGCTATAAATCTTACGAGTAATATAGTACTGACTGCTGCCCGAGTAGTAAAGCAACATTCGTAATTGGCGAGCGGAAGCCTGTCCAGTTCAAATCACGTCGATAGCTCCCATGTGGTCATAGAAGTGGTGCAAATATCATGCTTTATTCAAAACATGATGCTATGTACTTGTGTATATATGTATATGCCTCTAGCAAATGTACAGTGAAAGGAAGCGATGCAACACGCTCAGGTCAAAAGAGTCAACTCTCGGGGCCCTCAGAATCTCTCCCACGGTTCCCCTCGTGATGTGCCGCGGCCCTGCTGCGAGCTGCTTAGCAGACACAGTAGGTGCCGTCACAGCCGTCTCCGTTGTCGTCGTTCTTCTCGGGCTCCTCGTCGTTGTTGTCGGTACCGGTGTAGGTGACGCAGACGTCCTTGACACCGTCGGTGGTGGTGTCGGTGATGGTGCAAGAGTCACCGTAGTTGGAGTTGATGCCTGTTGAGGGTTTTGTCAGCTATTCTTTTTTTCTTGGGAGCCGGTGTAGGATCTTGGACGATTACTTACCGCAGACGGACTTTCCATCGGTGACGGTGGAGCCGGTGATGGTGAAGTGACGCTCGTACATGGTCTTGCAGTTGCCGCAGGAGCGGTAAAGCTTGCCGAAGTCCTCGACGGTGAAGTCGGAGACCTCGAGGGAGCCACCGCCGTTGTGCTGCAGGACCTTGTCCTCGGCGCCGTAGGCACCGCCGCCCTTGATGTAGGTGGTGTCGCCGGCGTCCTGGTTCTTGATGGTGAAGGCGTCCTCGCAGACGGCGGACCACCAGACGTTCTCGAGGGTGCAGCCGCCCTGGCAGTGGACACCCTCGATCTGGTTGGGGCCGATGATGACGTTGCTCAGGGTGCCGCCCTCCTCGATCTGGAAGACGGCGTCCGAGTCGCCACCCTCGGACTGGCCGGTGCAGTCGACGCCGCGGTCGTAGACGAACATGCCTCCGTCGAAGGACTCGCCGGCGGCGATGGTCTTGACGTCGGACAGGGCGGAGGAGCCCGAGGAGGCGGGGACATCGAGGCGCTTCTGGATGTCGCGGGCCTTGGGGGCCGGGGTGACCTCAGGCTGGGGGGCGGCGATGGCACCAATGGCCATGGAGGCGATGAGAACGGCGAACTGCATTTTGATGGTTGGTGGTTGGTACGAAGTGAGTGTACGGGCAGTGAGTTGGATGTAAAAGACGAGGGACAAGCACTGCTTGTTGTATTGGTTGGAAAAGAAGGTGAGGGAGAGAAGACTCTTTGACTTGGTTGGATGATGATGAGGAAAGGGAAAACGAGAAACACAAATGCTTCGCGGCCATGCAGTTATATAGAAGTTCTCGATGGAGCTTCCTCGCGTGTGTTGGCTGCCCTCAGGCGACCGGTCCACAGTCTCTCCTGTTGAGTTTCTCCATCACGAGAGCACATAGTACACGTATAGAGGCCCCCGTATACCAGCATCAAATCGGAGATATCGGCAGTCGCTTACGACAACCTGTCGCTTGCCTGTTGTGGACGGTTTGCAGTCTCGGAGTCAATCATTGGATTGTCTAGACCCTACAGGGCGGAAGGTTGTGGAACCACACGATGATCTGTACCCTGTTTTGAAAACATACGGGGACCGCGTTGGTGGTGTCTCCTCCGTTGTTTCATCCCGATATTGCAGTATCGATATTAAAACTGGGGGCATGGCAGGGGGAGGGCTTCCACGCGAGGTGTGGTTCAGTCTGGCGGTGATCTTTTCTGTCGTCCGAACCTCAACAGCGACCAACCATGACGATCTGCTGCGATCTCCCTTGGCGCTAACTTGGCTTCCCTTCCCTTGTCCGGTGGATCTTGCCAAGACCAGCGTGACGAGTCGTCTCGACTGCCGCCTTGGCGGTTACGTTGTCCTGTGGGGTGAATTGGCGCTTGATCAGGAGCCTCTGCCTGGTGAAATAGGAGCTCCCCTGGCGTGGTTTGCGCACTTTTGATGGGCTCGACTTCGTGTTCTCGCCATCATCTCCGACACCCTTGATCCATCCGAATGGCCCGATGAGGACCTCTTCCGGGCTCGTGGGTCTCCCGTATTGTGCCCATTGGCCGTTGATCGACATGTTTACCTCAGGTCTCGACTGTGAACGGTGGAGAAATCGGATCCTCCATGTTTGACCTTAAACAACATGCAGGTAATATTTTCAAGCTGACAATCTTCTCAGGACTATGCCAAGAGCCTTGGCGATGGGGGTACCGGCGATCTTTGCCTTACTGCAGGCGGATTTGGCTCCTGAATATTCTCCCGATTATTCCATCGTCTCTCCGTCGGTTTATTCCCGTCGGACACTTTGGGGGTAGCGAGTCCGACATCCGAAAAGGAACAAGACGAGGGGGTTGCAAGCACCAGGATTGTAATTCATGCAGCAGGTACGGCCGGCGGCCGAATGCTTGAGAGTCGCGATCAGCACTGTCGAATTGGTGTCAAGGTTCGCCAAGCAGGTTGACAGCTGTGCCACGCGACGCTCTCCCGTGCTCGCGACTCATTAAAAGCCGAAGGGTACAAGCACCAGGGTTGTATGTGGCTGACGCCGCCCGTTTAGCAAATCTGATATTTCAAACTGGGAACATTTAACAAGTTTATCTGAGTCCGCAAATAGAAGACGAACCTAATGTCTGCTTTATTTGTCGATATAGAACGACCTTTCTTGCTTGTGTTCCCCAACCAAACGCTAAGCATCATTAAGGGTGGTCCCGTCATGGTTGGCGCTCGACAAGGGCAACTTCATCGGAGGTAATAGGAGGTGTGATCGAACTCAAACAAATGTGACCAAATTCAGAGGCCAGTATTCTGCCGATTAGATGGGCTTAAGCTTCTAAGTGAGTTGGAACATAACCCTCTTTGCAAGAAGAAGACGTAGCACCACCAGCCGTGAGCTATGTACACGTCGGCCAAAGACAAGTGAATCGCGCAGTGAAACGAATATGAGCAGATAATGGCACCCGGGGCGTAGTCGATCTCCTGAGACCCCGACAAAAATTGTGCCACATCATTGGTATCTCACCCATAGCCTCGCTCACTGAACAGGCATACCTCCAGGAAGCGAGTCCATCCCTATTCACGATGTCAGCCCTCGAGCTTGAGTTTGAAATGTGCAATCAAAGTTTCCAGCGAAGAGGGTAAACTTACATCCATCGACATCTTCGTCGATAAATTGCGGCTTGGTGCACTTGATCGCATCGGCAGCAGGCTGTCGCTTGAGCTCGCTGCAGGTGTCTCCTGTGCAACGCTTGTCAAGGGCTCGTTGGAGTGCGTCACCCTTCCATCCAAAAAGATAGTCTCCATGCTGGGAATGTCCAGTCCTGTATCGATACCAAGAGGGTATTACTCAGCTAGGTATTCATACCAGGGTAGTATGTGGGGTAGTTGCAACTCACGGATCGCCAGTAGAGTATACGAAGGGCTGACTGCCGTCTTCAGGCCAGATGTTTGGGTCATTAAACGGCGTCGTGTCCCACATGACTTCGTACATGAGCTGCGGCAGGCGCACGGGGTGTGTTGACGGACAGGGCCCAGTCGACTCGAAAGACCCTGAGCTTGGGTACGCCACGTGGGCCTTGTGATCCGGGCTGTCGACGTTCTTCCCGTCCCAGCACCTGCGCAATGGGTAAGATATTGAAAATGATGTAAATCATATGGATCATTAACGTACGTAGGGAATGTAATTGTTGTCCTGATTCCACCACCACACGTACCCGTGGGCAACGAGGTGGTGTCGCCGCCAGTGCAAGGCGCGCCGCCGAACGGGTTCTGCTGCATGTTGCTGAAGCAGCGATGGCAGATCTGCTTCTGCTGGCCCTGGGGCTCCCTCAGGCCAGCGTCACCCACGAGCATGCGGAACCCCTAATTTACCTCCGTCAATTATGTTCCATCTTCCTCAACAGACTTGCAAGGCGACGGCGCCGGGGCACTCACAGGTTTGAAGGCAGTGACTGTCGTCTTGCCATCATAAGGTGGGATATAGTACACTGTGATACCGCCGTCTCCACCCTCCAGACCCAAATTCAGCATCTGAGGCACCCTCTTGAATGTGCCGTTCCTTGCCCTAAAGTATAGGTTCGCCGTCCAGTAGTTGGAGAAGTCTTCGCTAAACGTGCAAGACGTACACGTAGACTCTACCGAGGGATCGAAATCAACGGGCGTCATGGTGGCATTGAATGAATTGCCACCCACGATCTGGTGGTTGTGACTGGATTGTATCCTTCCGGGCTCGACCAAAGGGTCGGTTCTCTGAATGACGAGCCGAGAGCATTCGAATCTCATCATGGCCGCGGTGGCACAACAGCCATCGGGCGGCGCGAATTGAGCTGCAACATGGTGTTGGACGAGGAGCGCGGATGCTAAGCCGAGGAACTTCATATTTGTTCGCGATGTACGACCGGGTCGATAAATTGCTTCTAGGTGGATATTATGTCGAGAGAGCTTAAGAGCATGTCGGTAAGGGACGGCGCGCTGCCTTTTTAATACAGTTCCCCAGGGATATAATGTCGCCGCCACGCTGGCTGGGGTCCGCAGCATCCACTGGTTCAAGCCAAATTACCATCATCAATTTCTTGACCACTCGTAACTGCCGTTCGACAGATCACCGCCGCGCCCTGGATTATATCGACGGGTAAAAGGGTTGAGTCGCCTGAAGCGGAGAGGATGCAACCTGATTGGCCATCCAATATATGCAAGGCGACCTCATTGAGAAACAGAGTGCACAGATTCGGGCTCACTCGCAGACTATCACGGCAGGTGTAATAATGGCCATTCATACATAGACAGTCTTGGCTGGGACCTGTTCTGGTAACGGTCCTGAGTGGCTCGTGATTGTGGCTTGGTAATACCAAACGGTAACAGGGGCTGCTCCTGGAGTCCAGCATTCTCACGTGTCAAGCTGCACGTGTGACGATACAGTCGAATAGTCTTAGCATAGATATTGCAGCTTTTAATTTAGTCCAAGCATCAATAGAATAAATACCAGCCTTGCTGATCCAATTCTGTCAGCCCCATTGTAGATTTGGGCGCCCGCTTTGACACAGGGATCGAAAGTTGACTCACCATCCGCTGCTGCGCCGCAGACTCACATTGCGGCCAAGTCAAATGAGTACCAATTTACTGACGTGGACCGAGTTTTGTCCCACAATTGGACTAAACTCCTTATGAGACCCATGTGCCGCACAAGAAGAGGAAGACTTCTGTGTACCTTTTGCAAATGGCTCCGATGTCGCCAAGTTATGACTCCTCTGTGGGCGATGACTGTTTCTATTTCCGTGGATGTCCGGCAGTAACTAATGGCAATAACAAATTCACTCGCCTGAGTGCCTGAGTGTAAACAACCAGTTGAGTCTTATACTGTGCACCTGTTTCCCATTTTCTCTGTTGACTTGCGAGAATGCTGCGTTCTATTTCTGCGTCACGGGCCCTGAGGGAGGCAGTGAGCCTTCCCAAGTCGATCAATCTACATCAATGCGTCCCTATCCCTGCGACAACAAAATACCGGGCGTTTAACCAAAAGTCATCAAGTGTCAGACACCAGTCTGCGTTGGCAAAGGCGCATGTCAAAATAGTCTCAAGCCCCAGATGCCGAGCAGATCCACTAAGAGAATCAAGCAGCGAGATAGCAGTGACGTCTCGTCAGGCCCAGAACCCGATTCTTCCCGGACAAGAAAGCCATGTTCAACCCTTCGCAAACCAATTTCATGGATATATGGACGGCTCGTAAGTTTGAAGCCGTCTTCGCCATCCGCCTGCAGCAGCCATGACACGACTAACCACAGGGTATGCCTGGCCTAGGTTCGTTGGCACGACTGGAGGCCAGATATTCCATGAAATGATTATCAGAAAAGGAGTGAAACACATCTGTACGTATCCTGCCGTCTCATAATAGACTCTCACCTAACCAGACCCCGTGTCTTTAAGTCGGCAACCGACCCAACAAGCTGATCTTGATCAGTACGACGAATTCTCAAAGCGACAAGCTCTTCCCGTGTAAGAATAAATGACCAAATCGACAGTAGGTAGCAACCTGGGATAGTGGCTTGAGCCTCTCTTGGGTGACGGTATGGGTTTTCGAGATGGGCTCCCCGTTGATGGGGACGGCGGGATTTGTGTCAACATACCCACCCGCAAGGCTGCTATGGAGCCAAGATGACCGCCACTTCTGGCACATCTTGCTATCTCCAACGACATAGACTAGCTGCTTCGGAGAGCTCTTCGCAAACTCTTCTCTATATATCTTTTTAACCAATCTGTCGAACATCACCCAATCGGGATCGAGCTCGGTCTTGGTGTATTTTGGATGCTTCCACTTGACAGCAAAGGAGGAAAGCACTGAATCCGTCGTCGAAGTTCCTGCCACAGTCGGACGGGGCCTAATCACTGCAGCAGCAGCTTTGAGCGGGGTTCTGACGATGTTGCAAGTCCCTGCAAGTGATCAATTAGTTGATCGATAATGATATTCGATAACTTTGAAGTTTGGTGAGAATTCCCAACCACAGCGTGGAGACGAAAATGTCAGGACAACGCACAGGCTTCTCCCAGCTTGTCAATGCCTTTCTCTTCCGCAATTGTTGTTGGCGTTAGGGTGGGCGTATTTACGGCTTTGAAATCTGGAGGAGCCTGATTCAGGACATCACCATAAGCAAGCTCGATAGCATCATAGTTGAAGTCAGTCCGCTCATCGTGCAAGTGGTCAGCAGTCGAAATTATGTTTGTAGCCGTCTATCCACAACCATGGTAAATGAGATGAAGTGAAGCAGTGAAGGTAGAGTTGCGTCAGCGTGTAACTCGCGCATTTGTGCTAGATGACAGAGTGGACAGCTATTCGCAAGTTTAGTGCCTGGGAGTGTAAGGCAACGCTTCATACATTCCTGAATGGTGAAAGGGTGTACTTTCGTGAAGACCACCTCATCGTAAGCATCCTTGGACGATTCCGTGTTTCCAAAGCTGCGACCGTTCCATGCGTCTGTAATAGCAGGGTTCGGCTTGGTGAGGATATCGCGAGACACAGGCATTTTATCAGTATTTATATGAGAATATAAGGCTGAGATGACGGTAAGGGAGTCGTTTGGAGGGAACTGTGATTCGAAGTATCAAAATAAGAGCAGACCGGCTGCAGGCTTCAGGTGCAATGTTGATAGAACTCTCTTGTCACTTGAAGGGTCGGGGATGATGACACTTTCCAACAACTCATCAGTTTTACGGCCGGGTATAGTACTCATTTATAACTGAATACATCATGATATTTGTCCAATGTGGATCGTCTGTTGGGCGGCGAAGTTGCATACGCCGCAGGGCCATGTAGGTCGCGTTTGGTGTATTTTCAACCAGGACTCTGCAACATTGTGATTTATGACGATTCAACATCATATATGTTATGTAAAGCTTCTAAGAATAGAGATTTCATCGGTGGAACTCTCGACGTGTTCAATGTTGCTGCACATGTGGAATGTTTGAGTGTCTGAAAGATCTCTCCACTGTGCAGAGACACAAGTACCTGTAGAAGCTACGTTCGCACCCTCAGTCTTAATGACCTCTTGTATAGTAGGACGAACCGGCTTCTCGCCTCTGTGGTATCTTGGCAATCACTAAAGCCATCTAGTTGAGCTGAACCTGTTGTGCAATATTCAGTGCAGCATTTGCAAACGTGACACCCCCCAAGATGTCAAAAGTAGGCAAGTCGGCACTGAAAACCTCATCCACCCAATTGCGAATTTCGACAGCAGACAGCGAGTCGATCCCGAATGAGTACATCGGCCGTTGAGGGTCCAGCCGGTCCTGAGCCGTGTTCAGTTGAATTGCGACCTGCCGCGCCAAGGCGTCGCTGACGATATCAGCTGCATCTGCCAGAGAAGATGCATGTGCGACTCTGACTGCAGGATCAACCCTGACCTGATGCCCGTCTGCGTGCTCCATCGTCGCATCAGAACTATTCAGTACTGGGAGATAATGCATATGTCCCCAGTACGGCTGCTCCATTGTGATAGGGACCTTGCCGACATCCTTCCAACGAGATGGAGGACGAATTCCAATGGCGGCATGACAGCCCGAGGCATCGAGTGATGACGGGGTCTTTGGATCGCAGAATACATCCAAAAGAGCGCAGACCTCTCGTAGGGGGTTCAAGACGTAGAGATCATCACGGGAATCCTTCATACGGCCGCCGGCGTGCTCATTCAAGTATCCGGCATCCGGAACGGCGCCCAGGTTCAGCGAGGCAGCACGCTCGCCCTTTGACACGCGATGCCGAGCCAGGGAATCTTGGTACGTGTTTCCCGCGTTGTATGCGGCAAGGGACGCACGGCCGAGGATACCAGTGATGGACGATGTCATGATAAAGAAGTCTAGATCGCGAGGGAGCTCGCAATGGAGATTCCATGAGGCTTGGACCTTGGAGTTGATGGTAGCCTTCCATTCGGAGAGCTGCAATTTCTGGAAAACGGACTCCTATGTCATGCATCAGCTGTCTATTTTACCGTGTCAAATCACTAGGCAGCTTACCGTCATGACCATCGATGCCTGGATACATCCTTTGATCGGGGGGCAGCTTTGCAAGCGGCCACTCAGCAACGTGTTGAGGAGTGACCTGTCAGTGATATCACAACAGGGAGCCTCGACCGTGATGCCTTGGCCTTCCAGATCAAGCAGGAGATTTCGGGCTTCTGGACTACTCGCGCCAGACCGAGACAGCAACATCAGATGACGGGCACCGCGTCGCGCAAGCCATCTAGTAATTCCACGCCCAAGGCCGCCCAGGCCCCCAACAACCACGTAAGTTGCTTGAGGGTCCAACATGAAATTAGATACCCTTCGAACTCTAGCCTGTAGCAGATGTTAGTCTTCTGCTTGCATGCGTCATTGGAGGGGTTAAACTTGCGTAAATCAAATCAGTCTGGCGGTCCAGGGTGACAACTACCACGTCTCCTTGATCCATGCGGCGCAGACTCTCGAAGCTCTGTACTAGGTCTGTGGCTGGGAAATGAGACATCCTGTGCCTCATGCTCTCGTAGACGGTGTCCTGTGCTAAAGAAGCGGCGTAATGCAGAGACTCCTGCGTGATGCGGCTCACGCCATGTAGGCTCCCAGCTGATTCCTCCGGCGAGCGAACAAAGACAAGAGACACGTCGTGACGCGACCCATGAATCTGTCGGGGATTCGAAATCCCACTTCCAGTTTCAAGCACGATGTATCGGCCTCCAGGAGCCACATAATCCAAGGATAGCAGAGTCGCTTGAGGGCTTTCTGCGATCGGCTGGAACACCGCGTCGAATTTCTTTGTATATGACGCCAGTGAGATACTCTGGTTCTCAAACCATCCTATCGGGAGGATCCGCCCCAATGGTAACCCGAGATTTTGTTGTATCCAATTTCTATCTTCTTCTTTCGAGACAGTCGTCCAGAGTCCGACGACGCCCCGTTCTGCGAGCAGCCTTAGCGCAACTTCTCCGATTGCGCTGGTTCCATTATGGACAAGGACTGATTGGCCGGTGTGGACATGACCTCTCTCAACCAGGGCATGATAAGCTGTCACGTAGAGTGGCAGAGCTCGGCACGCGTAGGTCAGGGAGACCTCCGGGGGTAGTCTGACGACGGCTGCTGTTGGAACTCGCACGTGGGAACGGAAAGAACCAAGACAGGCGGCGAAGACGCGGTCTCCAGGCCGGACGCCTGCGAGGTCTTCTGAATCGACTTCAGGCCCACGAACCACTGTCCCTGCGCAGTAGCTGCCATACTTGGCACTCGCGACCAGTTCCAATGCACTGTCGCGATCTCGGGACAGGAGAGACACGGCTTTGACCTCGATATCGACAGTATCTGGTTCCCTGTCCTCATCCGAAAGACGAGGGCACTCGACATAGAATGGAGTTCCGCCATCCTGCTCTGAAGAATCCACGGTAGATACCTCGAACGCAAGGTCTTCTCTCGATCGCACGTCCACAGTATCGTATTCCACGAGTCTTTCGTACACGTCACTCCGCAAGTATTCTGCGTCAACAAGCCGCCGCGTGTGTAATTTAGTGTCGATCTCGATGAAGTCTTGCTCGTATGCTTGGCCAGCAGGTCTAGTGACCATCGTCTTGATGATCTGGGACAGGTGCTTGACACTTTGCGCGTTTGTGTTGTAAGGCTCAAGGGCGACCGTCACGAGATGAAGTCTGGAGTCTTCAGAACGCAAGGTTCGAGCTAGTCCATCCAGCACGGCGTGTTCTGGAGAGGCGTTGCAACCACCACCAGCGGTCACCCACAAGAATCGACGCGAGTTGCCGACAAGCTGTTTTAAACGAGTCCAATCACGCTCGTTCACTGAGTTTAGCCATGATGGACCGTAATCGGTGAGCAGCACGACAAGTGAATCATGTTCGGTCCTTGCCGTGGCTTCGTTCACCGAGTCAATGCTCAGAATCCGTGGCTGAATTTGGAACAGATCTTGAAGACGAGAGAGCAGTGTCTCCGCCAGGTATGTTTGCTCTGTGGACTCTGGCTTTATGAAGACCAGGGCTTCCCAAGTAATTTGCTGCCCCTGGGTGTGTGGTATGCTTCGCTGCCCCGCTGCTGCTGTCGAGATCATCCAACCAGAATGATGTGCCGTATCGTTCTCGAAGTCTCGAAAGGCGTGATCCACACCAGAAAAGCCGTTTTCTCTGAGGACAGCATCCCATTGATCCTTGTGGAGGCTGGGCGAGAGACGACTGTTGCTCCCTGAGCCCTGCCACCATCCAGGGAAAAGTCCAAACACGAAGCCATATGGCCACCCGTCCGGTTTGGACGCCTCGTGGATGATGAGTTTGCCACCGGGCTTTAGAACATGGCGCACTTGTCTTATGGTCTCAGCGACATCATAGGACACGTGAAGCACATTGTCGGCCACAACGACGTCGTAGGCCCCGATCCCGAAACCTTGCTTTTCTAGGTCTCCATTCACATCGAGCGTACTGAAGGACATCTGTGCCTCAAAATGGGAGAATTCCTTACGCGCCCCATCTAGGAAGGAAGATGATACGTCCGTGAAATGATATCGCCTGCACCGAAGAGAGCCTGGTCGATCCGTGCGATTGGAATGAAGGACCCGGATGAAGTTACGAGTTGCTGATGCAGTCCCCCCGCCAACCTCGAGTATCTCCATCCCGGGTCTTTGATGAGCTAACAGATCCAAGTAACTAGCCGCTTGTTTTGCGCCTCGGTGATTCGAAATTTGCTCATAGTAGTTGGCCAGTAGCCCGCTCTGCATCAAGAGCTCCAGCGGCTTTAGCTTTCCACTGAGCAGCGCCGATAGATTTCGAGCCACTTCTACATATAGCCTTCCAACGTGGCTTTTATCCTGCAGATTGTGGCAAAGGCTTTGAAACCGTAATTCAAGGTCTTCGCCCTGCCATTGAGGCCGTGTTGAGAGGTGGTGACGAGCCCAGCTTAAGTAACGATCTGCCCAAGACTCCAGGCCATCAACAGTGCCGGAAAACGTGGTCGGGTCCAGCCGTCTTAATGAGAGCTCCACTAGGAGATCCAAAGATTCGTGAAACTCTGAAGGCTCGCACCCTTGAGGATGTATGCTGTTTAACCACGAAGTGGTCTCGTCTAGTCCCATCATGTCGAGTGCTACCTTGCACTCAACATTCATGCAAAACTGTTCCGGGTTTGGCAGGTGAAAGACATGCGGGTCTTTGGCCACCGTTCGCATTTCGAAATCTCGGTACCAAAGTCTCAGTTCAGCAGGATCGCCGGTATCCAGGGCGGCACCTTCACAAATGCAACCCCGGTTCGTGATCCGGGTGATGGCTGTAAAGGCTTCCACGGTCTCGGATTCCGGCCAGCTCAGATTTCTGTTGGAGAGCCACAAACTCCCGATACGATATGGCACATTCAAGTTGGTAGATTTCGAGCCTCCCGAGGTAAGTGCTGTCAGGAATATATGCAGTATAGCATCCAGGGAGACGGGGTGGATAATGTGAGGCTCGTTCGCGGAACGGAACAATGCAACCTGAGCGGCCGCTCGATTTTCGTTTGAATCGCACCGCTGATGTGTAGCAGCTCGAAAGTCGCTGCCGTAGTCGAACCCATACTTTTGCAACAAGCCGTACATTCTCTGCGAGTCCACAGCTGTTTCGAAAGAGGATGAGAGTTGTACAATATCTTTGGACATGGACTGTCTTCGCGACTGGGACAATCTGTCCTCCCAATTCGCAGTTTTCCGGGCAAATTGAACAGAGACGTAGCCGCGGCAGTTGACAAGCCATTCGTCGGTGGCGATGGAACGTATGGTGAACTCAAAGGTCTGTCCGTCGGTACTCTTCGTTGTTTGCCTAAGAGAAGTCTCGGCTTCCAAGTTTGAGTTGTTGGTGAGGTCCATGGGTGCCTCAATATGGACATCCCGGAGCGTGTAGCCCTCAATTGTGCCCATCGCACTAGTCAGTTGTTTCACTGCCTCAAGCGCCATAACGAGCATGCCTGCGGCGGGGTATAGAATTCTTCCTTGAACGACATGATGCTCAACCCAAGGCATCTCAGTCCGCCGAATGAAGTGGCGCCATCGAGGCTCGGCAGGGTTCCAGTCCCTGGAGCGAACTCCCAAGAGTTCGGAGGGAGCATGGCTCCGGAGACGATAGTTTCGGCTGAGTCGGCTCTCGTACCAGTAGCGCTGGGAGTGATCGAATGGATACTCTGGCAAATCCACCAATAGGTGCTGTTTTGCCGAATGTCCTTCCGGATGGTTGGCTTCCCCAAAGTTGATATTGACTCCCGAGCTATGCAGCTCACCCACTGCTCGAAGAATCGTCTCCATGGCGGATTGTTCCCTTTTCAAGACAGAGGTGTATCCGATAGATGCACCCCGCGGTATAGACCGGAGAATGGCTTGGATTGGCCCTTGAAGGGCAGCATGTGGCCCAATTTCTAAGAGGTGGTCAACAACTGAGACATTGAGATGACTTCTATCAATTTCTTAACCAGCGCGGCACGAGACTGCGCGCACATCGTGCTTAGCGCCTGAGAAAATTTCACCGGGGATTCCATGTTGAGAGCCCAGTAGTTCGTACCAAGAAGGCGTTTCGCGTCGACCCTTTCTCCGGAAACAGTAGATATCATGGGAATCGAACCGCGCGTGTCATCAGGTGGTCCTGTTAGTGCCTCGACCAACGATGTGTATTTGATAGAGATGGCTCTCATCTGACGGGAATGGTATGCCAACGAGACGCGGAGCTTGCGAGCGAAGACGTTCTGGGCCTCCAATTGCGTTTTGAGCTGGTCGACCAAGCGCTCCTCGCCGGAGACGGTGACATTGTCCGGACTATTGATACAGGCAATATTTATGCCGAACGAAGTAGCCTTGGCTTCAACTGTGGCGATGGATTTGGCTGTAGCTTCTTCAGACAAACCCACAGCCATCATAGCCCCTTGGACGGGGCAAGACATAGAAGCTGCAGATAACTCGGCCGAGCAGAGACCTCTGAAGTAAGCCAGCTTCCAGGCTGATTCGGATGACAGATAGCCACCGGCGTAGCTGTTATGGACAACCATCAGTCACAGAGTTGATACTAGAAGTCAGCCAGATGGCACACTTACGCCGCTGCAATCTCTCCAGAAGAATGTCCCACAACAGCAGAAGGCACGATACCGAATCGGCGGAGCAGGTTTACGACAGCCATTTGCAGGATGGTGCAAAGTGGTTGGCTGAACTCGGCCTCGTTGACCTTTGAGGTCTGCTTTGGCTTCAAAAGCTCCTCTGCAAAAAGTCAGTGTATGCTCTTGCCACGATGTGAAGCCGGAGTGGGGAGGGGGTGCACTGAGCAGACAAACGGGCATCGTGTAGACATGCCTGTGACACACCAACGACATCCTAAAACGTTGAGATAAGATCCTGCATTTACAAGCTCGCTTTTGAATGATGGGTAGACCATCAATTCTCTACCCATGGCAAACCATTGGGCGCCTTGTCCGGTAAAGACGAACCCTAGACGGGGGGGATTTCCATCGGCCCGCACCGGAAAGGAAACCTTGCCCTCTAGGTCCTGGAGCTCTGTCATAGACTGTAGCACCGCGAATGATCTCCATTGTAGATACGTACGATGACTGCCCAAAGTGAAGGCTAGGTTTGCAAGCTGGGTCGGGTCATTGGTCGTGCGCATTCGCCCTACAGATTCATACCATTCTCGGTATGACTTGAGACTTCTGGCAATTCCATCCTTGTCTGCTGCTGACCAGACGAGCAACTTTGGATCGCTTCCCACAGTCTCCAGTGTACCGGGGCCGTCTTCCGAGGGCCCTGAAGAGTTCGGGTCGATCTGCGGCGGACTAAACGAAGAGCAATGTTTGCCCGGGAGAGAACGGATGCGAAGGTAATTGTAAGCATCATCTAGAATAATATGAGAATTGGATCCTCCGTAGCCAAACGAGTTTACCGAAGCTCGTCGCAACCCCGGAGTTGGCCAAGGGCGGACGCTTTCTGGGAACTAAGATGTGATGTTCAGCATATGAGTTCAGAAGCAAGATCGTGCTTGAAGGGCCCCAGATGCTGGCATTGTGTGACTCCCTTGGGCAACGAAAAATGCGTGTCAAGAGAGTTCGGCACCTACAGAGAGTCTCAGAAACTCTGCATCAATCTTGGAGTTGAGCTTCTCGAAATTCGCGTTCGGAGGAATGAGGCCCTTCTCGAGAACAAGCACCGCCTTGATCACGCCGGCAAGTCCGCTTGCCCCTTCCAAGTGTCCAATGTTGGACTTCAGGGCGCCCCTTGGTCAACGTCAGTGTCTAATAAATACGGTTACGCAATTTTTGCCAAAGCAGAGACTAACACGTAAAGTGGGTCGTCGCCGGTGCGATGATGTCGAAACGCACGCCCGATGGCCAGGGCCTCGCGAGGATCGCCAATGGGTGTACCAGTTCCGTGGGCCTCAAAGAATCTCGTATGAGCCATTGATAGGCGCGCTTTCTGGTATGTGTTGCGGATTAATTGCTCCTGAGCCCTGGAACTGGGCTGAGTGATGCCTGGTGTTCTGCCATCTTCGTTTGAGCCCGTTGCGCGGATCACCGCTCTCACACGGTTCCCATCCCGAACAGCATCTTCCACACGCTTTAGTACAATGACTGCGATTCCTTCCCCCCTGGCGTATCCATTGGCACGTTTGTCGAAAGAGTAGCATTTACTGTCGGGTGACAAGAAATTGAGGTTTGACATCCAGACATACGGCTCGGGGGCGCTGGACAAGTTGCTGCCCGCTACCAGGGCCTACACACACAAAGATGCCTGATTAGTTGGTCGAACAGCCAGAAGCATAAAGATAACTCACCATGTCACAGGCTCCGCTCTTCAGTGCCTGGCAAGCTATGTCTATGGCCATAGCTGTGCTTGAGCAAGCCGAGTCCAGTCCGATACTCGGTCCTCGGAGGTCGAAGAACCAGGAGAGCCTGTTGGCAAGCATGCTGAGGCCTGAACCAACAGAGTTGTAGACGGGACTATCCTCACTGTCCCGACTGTTGTGTACCGTATTGTCCAGATTAAAAGACCCAGTGTACACGGCGGTGGATGACCCAGCAACAGCCTGCAGTGGCATACCGGCTGCCATCCAAATCTCAGTATAATTATAATTGTGTGCGTTCAACATCAGTCTGATATGAATTACTGACCATTCTCCAATGCTCTATATGCTGCTTCAAGTAGCCATCGTTGCATAGGGTCCATTGCCGCTGCTTCAGCCGGAGAAATCGAGAAGAAATCTGCATCAAACTCGGCCAGATCACCTCTGATAAAATGCCCGCCCCTCATTGGCATCTACTTCCAAGTTAGTCAAGATTGCTGGTTATATGGAACACCATGGAACTGACCGTGTTGATTCGATTTGTCTTCTGGTAGAAGCCATCCGTATTGACACGATCCCTTGGGAACTCGGACATTGCACAGCGCTTCTCTGCCATCATATTCCACAGACCTTCCCCAGATGTGGCGTCCTGCGGAAACTTGAACGAAAATCCACAAATAGCTACATCAGTGGCGCCATCGCCGTCCGCTTCGTCGCCGTCCACGTCAGAATCTAGGTAGCTAGCTCCAGTTCCGTTGACGTGCAAGGAACATGCAGGAACTGGGGGAAATCCCAGGGCCTTGGAGGACGTTTCCTCTCCATTTGGGACAGTTGGTTCGCTGTTGCCCATGATCGGTCAAACATCTAGTGAGAAGTCTCAAAGAGTTGGTCAACGGCAGATTCTCAGCCAAAGAGTACGTCTGTCTGGTCTCCCCGATGTGCCTACGATAAATTCAGGCTAGCACTCGGGAATCATTGTCACGCGGAGACTCTCACTAAAACACAAGGATTTATTGAACTCGTTACGGAATTAGGTCATGTGACGAATTTTGGGCTCCTAATACTTTAGCCATGATTTCAACTCTCATGGAAGGTACTGAGGGACCTTCATACCCGAGTAATTCGATGCTGCCTGTCACAGTGCGCCATGTACTGTGATCGCACTTGGCGATCCCGTGCTGGCCCCCAATGGCCAGATGTCGATAGCATGCATGATGTGAGCCTGCAATGCAACGACGGCACGACGGACCAACAGGCGGGCTGTGCACCCTCACTACACAACATGGGCGGCTGCAGGCTGAGTGCGACACGCAGTGCAACACAACATTTGCTGTTCATCAAATGCCTCGCTCACGCTAAGTCGGTATTCTCCGGATACACATGCTCAAGTATTGGAATTGTCAGCCAAGAGTCAGGCTGGGGGCCAAGAAAGAATCCGAAGTGCCTCGGACAGAGGCAATTGCAAAGGAAAGATCGCTGGCCGAGCAGGGGCTTAGCGCCGAGTGAACGTTGAGAAAGTTGAGCCCGTTGACCTGACCCTTGCACTGCGCAGCTCGGTCGCTGCAATGAGAGACCTGCCGAGATGTCCACCAATGATCTGGGTCTCATGGTCAATGCTGATAAATTGGGCATGCAAGTCGCAATGTTTCCGACATTGCTGGTGTGGTCGCCCGACTCTGAAATCTGCAACTGTGGTGATGGCTGGCCCGCAGCAGCGGAGGGTTTGCCGCGTAAGCCAATTTCCATACGTCGGTGCAATACACTACCAAAATGGATTTGCAAGGTGCGAATATACGCCCACAGCAAGTAATGGAAACACCGCTCGCCCTGTCCTGGGAATTCTCCTACACTCTTACAGAGTACTTCCCCCATGACCATCCACAATTTGCTCGCCCGATGCATCTGGGAATTGCCCCAACCCCGGGGCATGTCAGAAACAGTGATCAATTCAAATTTGCACTTTGTGAATCATGGAAACTGCACGACATGTAATGGGTTATCATGTTTGTGATCCCGCGAGCGACGGCCGGGAAAATGGAATACAGACACAATTTAATGAGGGTATCATTTGCGAGTTGAATAATGTAGAAACCTAACGTTACCGACCAACAATAGACGGCTCCAGACTGCCCAGATAGTTATCAGCCAGTCCCAACTGCACGAATGTAGCGTAGCATACATGCAATAATCTCCTGTCGACGACGAACCGAATTTCGAAAGTTGATATGGGAGGTGTGCAATGAATCTTCGCTCTTCTGCGGCCCACTGTCCGGCTTATCGTCGGCGCTGTCTTTAGTGGTAAGGTTGATGATGACTGACTGTGAAGTTGCGGTCTACGCGGATGGAGTGTTCTGGCACAGCGAGAGGAGCACTAGCAGTGTTGTCGTAACTTCTAACCGGAGTCCCGTAGTGGGTTTCATGGGAGTGGCTTTGAGGCTGCATCAGCTGCGGCGACTCGCTGCGAGTATTTGCAAAGCCGGTGGTGTTGTGCATGCTTTCCAACTCTCGTTCGGACGGATGAAGCTTCGTCGTCGAATGTTGTGCTTGCCCTAATCCCGCACCTTGATAGACTGAGTGCGTGCCACCTGAGTGTTGACCTCTCTTGCTCCTGGATGTATTGCGAGAACTCCCGTATTTCCAGCGAGCTTGCGATATCGAGCTTGCCATAGGCGACAGGTAGTTGGCCCTGATGTGGTGGCCAAGATTCAACATTGGGGGAAGGCATACACCCAGCAGGATGCATGGCCCCTCCGTAGTAACCCAGTACACGTCTGCCATGCCCTCATCTGCGTATTTCAAGCATTAGAACCAGCTGCGAAGATTGAGAGGTAGTGATGTGCCCTACAGCTAAAGTCATTGTTGATTGCGTCGACGGACTTCAGTACTGTGATCATACGGCCAACGGAGATGACAACAGCACTAGCAACAGCAAACGCGAGGATTCAGTGTAGTTCTCAGCAGCTTTTTATCTTTTTTGCGGGGAACACTCACAGGTAACCGAGAACAAACACAACTGTGAGTCCAACTTTCCGCGAATGGCTCGTTTTGATAGTCCAGATCCTCGGTAAAGGGAGGACGAGAATGAGCAAGTCAATGAACACGCTAGGCACCACGCTCGCGATCCAGATCGAGCTCGTTGGACCACATTTCCCGGGCATAACCCCCGTGACATCCCAGTTCTTCGCGACGGGGTTGCAATTGAATGCTGTCCCAAAAATCATACCAACAAGCCATGCGACATTTAGAAAGTGAGCGACGTCCACTCCGACGTTGAACCAAGTCGGATTTCCAGTGCGAGGGAAAACGCGACTGAGGAAGAACAACGCGGAGGCCTTCGCAAGGGCGAGGCCGCTATAAACAATGAAGTATGTCGCAAATAAGAGCTTCAGGAAGGGCTCGAGATTCTGACTTGGCAGCATCCACATGTGGTGACCAAAGCCCAAGCCCAGCAGCGCGAAAGACACGCCAAACTGACCGAGAATGACACACTAAAAGAAAATATCAGAAATCTCTAAAGGTTGAGAGCGTGCACAGTGAATATTGACAGCCACATCGCCGATCCCAATACCCAGCCGTAGGACGAGATGGAAAGGGGAGGGGGGGGGACACATACCGCCGAGGCCAAGGCGGCCCAATCATCCCACATCAAGCGCGGCTGGTGCCTTGACGGCATCCCTAGACTACGCGACCAAAAGCGCAGGCAGACTGCGATCACGACAATCACGGTCATGAAGATAAGAAATGCCCTGAGTGGAGGGCCGCGGTCCGGGTCCGGATCCGCGGAAGTGGCAGATCTGGGCACAGAGGACATCTTGCGTGTGGATTTGAGCGACAGTTTGGTCGTGAGATCTGAATTGGCATAGATGGTTGAGTAAGGTATTCGTAAACAAAGGACAGAATGGAAAACCGAAGTCGAGAATGTCCAACCTGGGGTTCCGGTCGAGGATTGCCTCCGAAGCTGTTATCCGGGACCTCAACTACTAGCACCATGTGCCCTTTGTACCACATCCTTGATGTCAAGCGGAGCCAAGTACGAAAATAGATATGACTGCATGTGGTTTGGGGCCATGTTTAACCCGGCTTGAGCCCAGCCTTGTAAATCGTTTCCTGAAAGATTCATTGGGGCACGCAATGTAGTGTAACAGACATTGAGTCACGAACAGCTGCATGCCAAGTCCGGAGGCACACGACGAATGGATAGATTCACACCGGGCCCTAATTTTGTCCCGGCCCCTCGCGTAACTTGCCAGGCTTGTGCAACAGCAACTGTGAATGCCGGGCCGTCAGCCCGTCTGGAGACGAGTACTCAGGTAGACTGTACTGGTAAGTCGGGAGTGTCCCGTTCTGGGCTTTGCGGGATACGATTTTCGATGGGGAAACAAGGGAGACTTTCAAGTCAGTGCGAAACGCAAACAATTTTGGCCGGCTATAAGGGACGGGCATGTTGTCTCCAGTGCCCACAAAGACAAGAGAAATCGCATATCACAAGGCTCCATCTGAAGAGAGCCGCTTCCATCCTGACATAGCCCATCGTTTCCGTCATCACATTGTTTCGGTCATTTGTGAAGATGAGGGTCCTGTGTCTCCATGGAAATGGAACCAACAGTAATGTGAGCTTATTATATCTTCTGGCAGTGCCGCAAGATTAGCTAGACAGCTCCTCGATTAACCGATTGAATTGAGCAGATTATGCAAGTACAAACGGGTACGATATCCCTTACAGGTCGCCATTCCCGTTCTGCTGACAGGCATCTTCAATCAGCACCGCTGAGACACGAGATGGAGGATGACGGACATGATTTCGAATTCGTGGAGGGCTTCTTGCAATGTCCCATGTCTCCTGGTAGTCCCCCTTTCCCGGCTCCCTATCTGTAATTGCGTTCTGACAACTGATGCGGCGTATGCTCCAGGTGTTGAAGCACTGTCTCTACCGAACCAGTCCTTCTACGCATTCTACGACCCTGACAGCCTCGTGACCCTCCATGATGCCATCAGCAGGCTTCATGAGTATGTATTGATGGAGGGACCATTTGACGCGGTCATGGGCTTCTCTAGCGGCGCTGTCCTTGCTGCCCTGTACATTGCCGAGCTGCAACAGCAGGGCAAGGAAGTGCCGTTCAAATGCGGCATCTTCCTCGCAAGCGCTGACAGCGCAGCCGAGATGAGACACCTCGGACTGGAATCCCAGACCGAGATGATCCGCATCCCAACCGCCCACATTTGGGGCTCGAATGATGTCACGGCCCCCATGGGCGGCAAAGAGCTCAGCCAGATATGCAAGGTGGAGACACGTCACACGCTCGTACACGATGGGGTACATGAAATACCCCGTAAGCATAATCTAACCGAGACGGTTCACGCAATCCGCAGAACACTTGGTCTGGTTGGCTGATGAGATCGTGGGACGGCAACCAACTTACTATTGCTGGACGCGATGTACCTAGGCCACCGCATTAATTACCTCAGCTGAATGCGAGATACTAGTCGAATGTAGCATGCCTGCAGCTTCATTGTACGCTTCTCTGGCCCCGGTTTGATGAAGGATAACCAGGGGTATTAGATTAACAAAGCATTGCTGGAAGAATGGCGCGGTCGCATTAGGAGCCAACCCCTTGCAAACAAAGTTCTGAATTGGGTACGGTACCCACGTGGGTAGTTATGTACCTTATCATATGGGCATTAATCAACCCTCAAACCTGCTATGGTATTCACGGCCATGCGTGACAGGAGAAAGCATTTGTGGCTTGAGGGGTTGTTGGTAGACGGTAATTGGTATAGGTAGTGTGGTCCTAGACAAGTGGGGCAGTCACTACCTGGCAAGAAAGTCGCTATTTCGACCTCCCGCTGAATTTCTAGGGTTCCAATGATTGCAGCGGCTGTACGACGCAATAGACACTCACCCGAGGTGGTAACTAGGGACCGGGGCGACGGATGCTCTTCCGTCTGCCGTGATAAGAAATCTTTCCGCTCGGTGACAGTGGGAAGACGAATTGCAATCAGCCTCTGCTCCTGAGGCCAATATGTCCTCTGTCACTGGACCATCATATCTCATGGGCATGCAATATCTTGTTGCATGTTATATAACGGTAATATGTACTACCGGGGGTTCACAGGAAATGATTCCTCCTTATCCCCCCAACCTTGGTGAGTGCATGAAGAACCAAATCCAGAACGTAACCTTTCCCCTCTTCGTTTGCCGGTCTTCAGTGACGAGAAGCTTTAGCAGAAGAAGCCGGCCAGATGATAAGATGGCAGCCAATGGGAACTTCGAACGTGTAGGACATTTATTGAATGTTGTCATTGTAAGTCTCCGCGTGGCCGCCAGCATAATTTACCAGAGCAATTCCACTCACTTCAGATACCCAGGTCGGCGGCTCCTTGTCCGGTCTTCTCTGCGGCGTTGCCGTCAAACATGCAGGCCACGCGGTCACCATACTCGAGAGGGAGAACGACGAGCGCAACTCTCATATGGCGGGGGTGTGCCTTGGGCTAGACGCTGCAATGTGGCTTGAACGTCATGACCGTCAGACCAAGACCTTCTCACACAGAAGCACCCGAGTCCAGCTTCTCAAGAAAGACCAGACTATCCAAATATTTTCGAACGTACGAAGGGAGATAACAAGCTGGGATACCTGGTACTATCGGCTCCGCTCTCTTTTCGATGGGTACATCAGCTCGTATTACCCATCACCACCGCAGACTACCAAGGCAGATGGCGTGGCCAGATATGAAAGCGGCAAGGAAGTTTTGGATCTCAAAAGGGCCGCTGATGGTGAAGATGGTATTCTTATAACCTTTTCGGACGGCAATGATCACTCTGTCTCCACCATGAAAGCCGATCTTGTGATCGCCGCCGACGGCCCTGACTCTGTGGTCAGGGCTAAGTATCTTCCCTCGGAGCGGCGTGAGTATGTGGGCTACATTGCCTGGCGCGGCACCGTTCGCGCCTGTGATGTCTCGCCGGAAACGCGCAATGTTTTCAGGCGCAGTGTGACGGTGCACATGATGCCCAGACACCACTGCGTCGTCTATACCATACCTGGGGCGGACGGGTCCTTAGATGACGGAAACAAACTCCTAAACTTCCTCTGGTACACTAACGAGACACTAGAGGCAATCGATGGCATTCTCAAAGATAGAATCGACGGGCATCGCCACCATAACATTGTCCCTGCGGGCCACGTTCGTCAAGACGTCTGGGAATCATATCTCGAGCGTGCGACAAGGGCGCCTTTTCCCCCACCGTTGCTCGAGATCATCACAAAGATCCAACGACCCTTCATTCAGGTCATCACGGACCAGTGCTCTGCGTCTGCAGCCTTTGAGGGAGGCAAGGTCCTTCTAGTTGGTGACGCCCTGTCCTTGTTCAGGCCACACACAGCTTTTAGCAGCACTCAGGCTGCGTTTCATGCGCTCATGGTCGAGGACTATCTCAGTGGCAAGATCTCATTAGGGGACTGGGAGGAGAAGGTGTTGCGATATTCACATCTGCACTGGTTACAAAGCATTTGGTGGGGCAAGTTCTATCAAAGTCGGCTGGCGGTAGCGTTGATGTTTGGCCTCAGATATTGGTTTTACTGTGGGATAGACAGAGTCAAGTCATGGTGGAACGGTGAGCAGCCACTGTTGAGGACTTCGTCCAACGTTGTAGAAGAATACGGGTCAGGGTAATTACACACCGACCTTCTGCATACTGCACACAACACACAGACCCAAAGTCTCAATCACAATTGAACGCTGTTGACAATCGTGTCTCTTCACTCGGTGCTAGGTATTCGTTTCGCGAGATACTAAGTGGCGGGCAGGCTATCTCGGTCTTGAGTGCGCACATAAAATGTGGCGTGTTGCCTGCGTCATAATTCAACGATCTCAGGAAAGAGCCCACGGGCTCGGATGCATTTGAAGCTTCACGGATCGCATAACCAGAGATATGTACCTACCGATTTAGATAGGTCTTGTAGGAAGGTATTTGCGATCTAGGGCCCCATTTGTGTCTCGAGTGCGATGCGGATCACCTGCAATAAGAACCCGTATATGCACGATAACCAAATATGATAAGTGCAGTGCATATGTACTACAACGCAGTTTCTTGTAAGATACCCTGACCAGGGTGAGTAGCACGGCCCCCAACCGATATGTACATGTAACTCTGGACGGAGGTAATCGGCTGGGGCCCGTTTGTGTAACAGATCATGATAGGCACAACACGCCCAGGCGTACGTATTGAAAATCCTGGTCGATGTTCAATGCGGCTAACAGCCACCCTTTCTGGGCCTCGGTTGCCAGGGCTTTGACCGGGTTGCTAGTGCTTAGGTAGCACGAATCTATACCATGCGAAGGTACAGGGCTTCGCCAGCGAAACCAGGGAGGACAATTTTCATGCAAGTGGCCTTACTGGAGTTCATATATACTTGCACGGCTTGAGATGCCAGCATTGCTGGATTTCATGCCAAGCCATTCGGCGCCGGCTTCCAGGAACCACCATGTCAGTAACACAGCAACAATCCATCCCTTTGGAAGCCTTTTCTCGTCCCGTCACTGAATCCACTATTTCTCACTTTGCTCAATTGCCTCAACCAAACATTAGCATATCCAGGAACGGAATCCATCATGACCGGGGGTACCAAGGAGTCTCGCATTGTCCTCATCACCGGCTGTTCAGATGGCGGCATGGGTGCAGCTCTCGCGGAGGCCCTACACAAAGCCGGCCTTACTGTCTACGCAACAGCACGAGACCCTGCTAAGATGAAGAGTTTGTCATCTCTGGAAATCGTAACTTTGCAGCTCGACGTGGAGTCGGAGACGTCTATAGCTGCTTGTGTGAAGCAGGTCCCAGAACTCGACATCCTGATCAACAACGCAGGCCAGAACTTTCTCATGCCTGTGGCAGATATCAGCATTGCTGAGGCCAAGAAGATCTATGATATCAACGTCTGGGCGCACATAGCAGTCACACAGGCATTTCTGCCCCTTCTCCTGAAGAGCAAGGGCCCAGGCATGATCGTCAATCAGACATCGATCGGCGGCGTATCGACGATACCTTTCCGAGCAGTCTATCACTCGGCCAAGGCTGCATTCATCATGATCTCGGACACAATGCGGCTGGAGCTTCAGCCATTCGGCATCAAGGTTATCGACCTTCGTACGGGACTCATCAAGACCAACCTCATTGGCAACATACAACAAACGAAACGGACTGAGCTCCCGAAAGGATCCATCTTCGAGCCGGCAAGGGATCTAGTAGAGAGAGAGCTAACACAAAAGGACCATGAGGAGGAGGGGACAGACCCGTCGGAATGGGCCCAGTCCGTTGTGGGAGAGCTGCTAAAGCCCAACCCTTCTCCTGTCATTTGGAAAGGAGAGAAGGCGTTGCTATCACGCATTGCGGCTGTCGCTCCATTTGGGACATTTGATGGCTTTGTCCGGAAATTGAGTGGATTTGACAAGGTCGAACAGCGTCTGAGAGAGCAAGAGACAGGTTGACGTCAAGAACGGGGTGGTAGCACTGGGCCTGTTCGTGAACCGGTGCGAAGCATGACTGGAACAACTTGAGGTTGCACCCTGTACCTTGGTGCGGTGCGAAAGGCGATGATGACTCATTAATTAGATGCAAGTGCAGCCCGCAGCCTGCTTTGGAAAATCTCGATTACTGTTACTATGATTGGTTGAGATATAAATGCGACCTTATAGGCTACACTCTTGAGCTTTGACGAAAGAAGGCGAGACGCATGAAAGGTTTGGCTCATCTGAAGAGTGCAATGCTGTACTGGGATCGGGTTGAGTCTGGGTCTATCGACTTGGCACGGCCCCTAATTCTACGCAAATAACGATCTGTAAAAGCATCATGTCAGAGTTGGTTACAAATGGGCAAAATGTGCATTCGTTGCACTACACATGCAGTGAAGCCTCGTGCAGCATGGCGAGGCTGCGCTTCAACGTTCCTAAGTACCACACCACAAACCGCGAGGTATCGGGCGGGGTAATGCGAGGGTATATCTCGGACAAAGACCGCCATTCAAATTTCTTTCAGCTGATTGGAAAGCTTTCTGCTGACCGGTCAGCCGATCAGGACTTGCAGGAGTTTGGGTTTCCGATCTCTTGCTTTTGCAGGGGTTAGAATCCGTCCAAAGGCAGCGCCCGACTCCGAGGTGTTGTTACACGGGACGTAATTGCCGCACTTAATTAGGGTCAGCACTAGATACACACCTCTCTGAACGAATCATGACAACTTTGTGAAACCCGAGAAATCAAATGTTGCGTAGGTAGTGGGCGAGACGACTCACGCAAATGTGGTTGGTGACATGCCTAAGCAACACGCATCTCTCCCTTGCTTGTACTACATGAATGACTCCCAGTAGGCAGAGTGCCACCAGCCCGCACAGTGCCCAAATGGCAACTGCCTTCATCAAATATTCATGCAGACATAGACCGCTGAGTACCCACCAGCGGGTACGTATAATAAGGCTCCCGAAGATATACTACTACATGTATTGTCGTAATTCTTGCATAATTGGGTATGTTCATCTGAGACCAGAGCAGGTATCATTTCAGCCCCCAATAGCTTCAGGACCCTAAGGAGATTGCATGCCTCCGCACATCATCAGACCCAGCGTGCGATGCGTGGGTGTCGCTCTGCCAAACTCGTCGTGACTGGATCCAATGCGCGGAAGGCCATTGAGATGAAGGAAAACGAGAATATTTACGAGCAAAAAAGTTGTCCCTTTTTGCTCTTCTTCCTTTTTTTTTTTTTTTTTCGTGGTGCGTTTGGTGGCAAGAATACAAACTCGTACCAGTGGAAGTCAATATATAAACAGAAAATGTTGGACGAATCGACAATGATGGACTAAAGGGCTTGCTTAACTAGTCGATCTTGTACAGGACTTCAGCAACATTGAACCACCCTTCATACTCCACTGTATCCATCGTTTCATCCAGATCAAAGTGGTAGTGACCGCCTCTGCGATTTTCCTCAGCATCGTCGGCTCCAAAGCAGTGGGTATGTTCCTTTCTGAGTCCGAGGTCTTTGTCGTCGCCGGAATGCAGGACGGCCAAACAGACCATCGGCGTGTCCATATCAAAGAAGTGAAGCCATTGTTCGACCTCGTCCCGACTCTGGAAAGGTTTATCAGGAAAGTCCGGCATCACGTGCATCTTCAGCTTCCCCGAGCGAGCGACGAATACGCCGCCCAAGCTGATCAGCCGGTCGCCGTAGACATCTGCAAGGCCCTTCTGGATAGCCTCCGTGAAATTCAGTTGTCCTCTCCTGCCCTTCACCTTGATGTGCAGCAACGGTCCCGTCTCCCCGTCGCAGCCAAACAGGTTACACATCATCGCGCAACTTGTCGAGGCGCCGATTCCCTCGCATAGAGCGCTGCCGTCGTCCAGAACCTTGGCATAGCGGGTGTAGTTCGTCAGCTCCCTGTCCGAGGCAGGGCCGAACGCAATGTTTGGCATCAGCTCTATATTCTGCCCCAGGTCGAAGAACGGCCCGGCACCTGCTCCGATCAGGACACCACTCCTCATATCCATGAGCTCGGAAATGCTGAGCAGGTCATACCGCTTGTCCAGATTAGGAGAGGGGAAGAGATTGGCCTGGCCGCCTATGTCTGCGATGCGTGTATTTCCGGAGAGACCCGGGCCAGCGAGGTGGAACGGGGGTTGGCGGAGGTCGGGCGGGACAGAAATCGAAGCACTTGATGCGTTGAAATTCGACTGAAGTTCATTGTGTACCGCGGCAGCCACCTCATCAAGAGGAGGAGGATCAAGAAGCACTATTCGAACCGGCCAATTGCTCTGGGACACCATCCTGACGGTACAGCAAGGTGAACCGAGCTGATTGCTGGTATCGATTCACAAAGTCGTGATTCGTAGGCTTTTCAGCCCTTCCTGAATGGTAAGGCGTTGAACGTCTGGTACTGCAACGGGAGCTTTAGCTCGAAGTGGCAGAAGTGGCGTACAGAGGTGCATGTGGTTTTTGAATCCGGGGCCCAGGCAATAGACTATATAGTTCAACAGGCCCCAATTGAACAGGCACTGCCCAAGATGCGGCCTGCTTACGGAAGCGACTGACTAAGCCTCCACCACCCGCCATCCGGGCCTCTTGTACCGCGTCTATGGGTCCTCTGAATGCCCTCCCGTTTTACTTAGAGACAGCGCCCACTCAACTTGAATTGACGTACCTAAGGCCAGCTACTGCTATGTCCCTGGACCCTTTTCTCTTGTGACAGTGCCGAACAGGCAAGGAGGCACACTACTATCAAAACGTAAATAGTCTTTATACAATAGATTTCTGTACCGGGGATGTGGGGTCCTTCTAAATGGTTGTTAAGCGGTGCAGCCACCGCTTAGGGGGTCTAAACCGTGGGGGTTTGGGAGGGGAAGTTGGATTGTTTATTCTTCTAAGCGGTTTAAAATCTTTAAGCGGTTTAAATCATAATTAATAATTTAACCATATATAAGCAAATTTAATATAATTTAATTTATATATATAAGTAAGAAAAGGAAATTGCTCCTTTTATATAAAACTTAAATATTATTAACTTTATTAATAAGTAGTGGGATAAAAGAAGAAAAGAAAAGAAAAGAAAAAGCCCTTTAAAAGAAGACATCTTTAAAAGGAATTTCTAAAATTTATTTTTTTCTCGGGCAAAATTAATGCCAAAGGGTCTCTGCCCTCCTACCCTCCTGCCATCTATTAACCACTCCTTCCTTTAAACCGTTTAAGCAGGTTTAAACCGCTCAGGGATTTTAAACCGCTTAAATATTTTAAACCGCTCAGAAGAATAAACGGTCCAACTTCCCCTCCCAATTTTAAACCGCTTACTCGCCCCCCATATAGCCGGTATACTAGTTCTCTCTTATCCCTTCTTCTGTCCCCACTAAATGACCCTGGCAGTCAATCGATCTCCACGAGTAGGCTGCAATCATAATTCAACCTCTAAACTCATATGTTGGCAGATCGGTCTTCGTTTGTCCAATTCCTGTGGCGCTTGTAGGCATAACTTGAAGGGCAGCCGCTAAATGAATTCCACAGAGACCAATTTCCTGGAGATGAAGTAATGTAGCCACAGTATTGAACTCGCATGTCTCAACCTAGAAGACGCTTGGTGATAGCATGGTCTACCTCACTTGGAAGAAAAATGCGCGACTTAATGTCGACAGAAGTGGACGCCGAGGCTGCCAGCTTGAAACACCAGGTCTGGACCTCCCTCAGAACATGGATTATTGTAGCCACCAGACTTCCCGGGTCTGCGCGGAAAGTATCCCGGACTTCCTTGATCCAATTGACTAGATACGATCGATGAAAGCCAGTGTGAACAACCGCACGTTGGAACTTGCGTCGAAGAAAGTCGTCTTCAGAGACACGGCGCTGAGTTAGAGCCTCGAGGGCACCAAGGAACATCCAGCTCTGAACCATTGCGAGAGACTCCGTCAAAAGTTGTTGATTGGCGGCCCGATCTCTCAGTGCTTGGATTTGAGCAAGTTTCCAGCCGCGGACGAGGGGACAATGCTCCAAAGCACAAGTGCTGTGGTCTCCATGGTCAAAGCCGAGCCAGTCTGCAGGTCTCAAGGGCTCGCTGTTCAATCTGTAATTCAAACGTTTTGTGTGACATCGCAATCTTCCACCCACTCTCTGCAAGCTGATGCGGTTGCAAATTTATAAATGCTGGTCTCTTCTATGAGACACAAGCTCTCCAACCCACATCTCCCAATTCTTGCCACGATATTGCTTGGGCCAGATACCCGAGCGACCAGGCTGCAAGATACCGTTAGGGTCCAACGCGTCCTTGATCTTGTTGTTAAGGCGCATAGCAGCACCATTGTTCCAATCATAAGTAGCAGCGACTTGATCCTGCAGGGCCAAGTGCGTCCGATACTCCCCAATACCTCGGGCAGCTGCGTCGTCAACCAAGGCGCGGATACAAGCAAGAGCCCGGCGCTTATCTTCCTGGTTGGTTCTGTCGTACATGAAGGAAATGACGTGGTGCATTTCACGGTGGCCGATGAAGAAGGTGCCCAGATAGTCAAAGCCAAATTGCTCCACGCTCTTGCGGCACATGTCTGCCTGGGTCATGGCGTCTTTTCCGCTGGTGGCGGAGATGGGAGCAAAGAACAAGTGCGAGGCGTTGGGGATGTATTGCATGCGGTCCAGTTCTCGCCAGGCAGGGATGCCGGCGGTGAATTTGGCATAGTCGTGCAAGTACGATGTTGGCGCGACATCCTTGCGCTCGTAAAATTTGGCGCCGGGGACGGCTTCCGTCGGCTTGCGCTTGATGTAGTCAAACTTGGGCTGGGTGATTTCGTCGGGGCCTTAAAGCGCAGCGTAGAAGACCCAAGCTCCTGTTCCGAGCTTGTCGATGATCTTTTGTGATGCTATCCGGTCTTGGAGGCCAATGGATCGTAGTGGGAACTCGGTCTTTTTGTGGTATATGATGGCGTCTTGCAGACCAAGACGTAGGCAGGGCACGTTGCCAATAATCTTTTGCACCATCAAAGGTCGCAGGGCGTCAACGGCGTTGCTCAGGTCATTCTCACTAGGAAAGGTAGCCATGAATGGTCGTAAACCACCGGGGTTAGGCATGAGCCAAACGCCCATCTTGGTAACGATACCATAGTTGGATTGAGAAAATATGCCGTCGTGGTAAGGGCCGAAACCGTAGGGGAATAATTGCCAGCAATCGGAGCCGGGCATAGCTCCCATGCCAGTTCGAACAATGTCGCCGTCAGGCAAGACAACTTCCAAACCACAGTGTTGGGCCCAGTGGTCACCGTGAGGAGTGTATCCAATACCACGGTCAAGAGCATTGCCCATGACTGAGCCACCAGGCAAATCAGGGACATCAATCCAGAGCTTGTCACCAACGCCAATGCTCTGGAGGTGCTCATAGAGAGAGGTACTGAACACCAGGCTCCACAAGACAGGCAGAATTGTCAACCGAGACATCAAGCACTCGGTTCATGCGCCTGCCCAAATCGAGGACGACAGATCCACGGACTCGAGGAGCGGAACCTCCATATCCCAAGTTTCGACCTGTAGAAATTGGCCAAATGGGAATCTTGTGCTTGTTGGCCCACTTTACCACCGTGGAGACTTGTTGAGTATTGCCAGGCCAGCAGACAGCAGAGGGGACCATATCATCAGGGTCCAGAATGTGATATGAGTCGTGTGAGAGGGGTACTGCGTGGTAATCACCGTCGACCAGCTCAATGTCATTGACCTTGACGAAGTCAGGACCGAGAAGCCCTCTCAAATCGTCCAGAGCGGCATCAAAGGCGGTGCCAGGAACCACAATACCATGACGCCGCCTACCCAGTATTATGACTTCAGTTGCCACCCAATTACGGAGGACGCTACGCTTGCGCAGCGGGGAAGCCGCGGAGGCGCGGAATTGTCTAGAAGGGAGAACTCTTCAACGGGGAAAGGAGGAGGAGGGGGAGGCTAACTTCAGTTGTACTTTACTCTACGAATCTACTGCCAGTGCTCCCGCGCTACTTATACGCAGCGTGTACACTACGTATCCCTAGTCACTCTGCTTGTATTCAACAACCCTTACTGGCGGGCTGGGAGAACTCAGGTGGTAAGACGACCTCTCGCTTCTCAGGACCATTTTTTGTGGGCAGAAAGGGCGACTCTGGGTGCTGCTCGAGAACAGTACCGTGCCAAACGGGGCGGTCGATACGCTTGGGTCGTTCCGCTGGGTCAGCAGTCGACACAACTTGATTAGAGATTGTGTTGCTAGAGATAATGTGAATACGTTCTCAGTAGTACAATACTGTTAGAATAGTAGGAGAATCAAAGGAGAATGAATCGATAAAGAGAGGTTTGTCGATCGGAGGCAACAATCCGCACGACATGAAGAATGAAGAGGAATATTCTCGTCCCTTATTTATAGACCTATAGGTAGCTATAAGAAAAAAGCGTTTGCTACAAAAGTTACACATTGTCCCACTCTAGGCTGTGGTAGGAGCAAGGGATCTATCTCAAAGCTCCGTCTTCCCCAGCCGGCGGTTAGAGCCGTTGCGGGGCCCCGCACGGCTTGGATCCGTGCCCCACAATTTCAGGTTGCAGAATCCGAAGCGGCACTACGTAACCTCTAACCTCCCGTTCTCTCCCTCCCAATACCCGATCTAGCAGCTTGGCTTTTTTCTTTGCCGTTGACACCCTCCGGGCCGTCTCACTTTACATGCCTAAAGCGGTAACTCGGGGTTCGCGACGCGAGAAACTGTTTTACAGTTAGCTACTTAAACAAGCTTCTTCTGCGATACGCGCCGATAGATTATAGCACAAGAATAAAAGGTAAGAAGACCTCACACCCACGCATGATCAAATCAGAAACCTTGACATACACCTGTGACTGTTCCGTTTTGCTCGCTATTTTGAACGACCGATTCAAGACGCGAGCTTCTTCTCTTGCAGGGTTCTTCAGTCTTTCTCTCCTTTTGCTCACTCACGGAGTATCATCATTTTAACTCGCCAGCGAAACCTTGGAACTAGCCCATTTCACACCGTCCGAACTTAGCACCATCCTTTTTCCCTTGGGTCGTTCGATCTGGAGACGCGACCACCATGAGTGCTCATCATGCCAAGCTGAGAGGCCCCAAGGGCGAGGACATCCAAATTCCCGTTGGTCTATGGATTGATGGACAGCTGGTGTCTTCATCACAGAACCGCACCTTTGAGACTACATCAGCAGTCAGTGGGAAAACCCTAGCAACACTCCAGGAGGGCAGTGAGGCGGATGCCAACAAGGCAGTGGTTGCTGCACAGAAAGTGAGTGGTGAAAAACTCAAATATCATTATTCAGTACATGTAAAACTCCAGTTAAAAGCAAGAGGTTAACAACATCTGCAGGCTTTCCCAAAGTGGCGAGACACCCTCGGCTCAGAAAGAGGCCGCTTATTGAACAAGCTGGCCGATCTCATTGAGGAGCGTCTACCCCAACTCGCCATCGTTTCTTCCTTGGACACGGGCATGTTGGTATCGGCTGCTCAGGGATTTGACTTGACCAGCCTTGTTGAGCTGCTGCGGTACTACGCCGGTGCCGCGGATAAGATTCAAGGAAAGACCACCCCAGGCAAAAAGACACTCAACTACACCCTGCGCGAGCCTCACGGCGTCTGTGGTCTGATTCTGCCTTGGAACTTCCCCAACCTGATCTTGGGTTGGAAACTCGCTCCAGCTTTGGCAGCGGGCAACACTGTTGTCATCAAACCCTCCGAAATAACCCCCCTCACAGCACTATATGTGGCGGAACTCTCCAAGGAAGCTGGTTTCCCCGACGGTGTCATCAATGTCGTGACTGGTTCCGGCGCCGTAGGAGCTGCGCTGGCTTCACACCCCATCGTGCGCAAAATCAGCTTCACTGGATCAGGTGTGACCGGACGCGCTATTTCCGTCGCAGCAGCCAAGTCCAACTTGAAGCACGTCTCCTTGGAACTGGGCGGCAAAGGAGCTGTTATAGTGGCTAAAGATGCCGACGTGGAAAAAGCCGCATTTTGGTCGTCGTTGGGAATCTATTTCCACCAGGGACAAGTATGCGCTGCCGGATCGCGCATTTTTGTTCATGAAGATATCAAGGAGAAGTTCCTTGAAGCTTTCCAGCGTAACATCGACGAGGCTAAATACGGCGATCCATTGCAGGGTCAGGATTCTGCTGACATTGTGGGTCCGCTGGCCTCGTCGCAGCAGCGCGAGAAGGTGGCGTCAATGGTGCAAGCTGGCAAAGACGCTGGATTCGAGTGGTGGGAAGGACAAAAGGGCACGAAGCCGCCTCACGAGAACTATTTGCCCCGAGGATACTTTTTCAACGCGCACCCCGAGCACGATGTGGCCTCCAAGGAAATCTTTGGACCTGTGGCCTGCATCAGCACCTTTTCTTCCTTGGCACAGGCCGTTGAGTTGGCCAATGCCACCGAGTACGGTCTGAGTGCCAATGTCTTTTCGCGAAACATCGACAACGCTTTGAATCTAGCTGCACAGATTGAGGCGGGTACGATTTGGGTCAACTGCGCGGCCATGTTGGACGCTTCGACTCCGTTTGGCGGTGTCAAGCAGTCAGGGAATGGAAGAGATGGAGGTGATGAGGCCCTAGACTTGTATCTGTCTACCAAGACGGTGAAGATCATGCTCGAGCCTTTGCCTGCAAAGATGTAAATAACGTGAACAGGCGATGTTTATCCACAGAACTGGTACAAACTTGGACAACAAGAATTTGAAAAGCAAACTTGAGTTAGATTTTTAACGCTATGCTCTATCATTCCTCGCACTGTGGTCGCCTCCTCTGAATAGGACGACGCCACGACGGAAAGTCGCCCTAGCTTTATTCCAGTACTGTGTCCTGAAGTATAGGTTTACTACGCCATGGCCGAGAACGTCTCTCTAGCCGTATCCACGGCGTTCTACTACATCCGGCTTCCCCTCCTCCTCCTCTATTTTATATCCCATCTATCTTCGTGAGATCATCTCTCAAACAATTTATATGACGGTATGGCACTTATGTACTGCTGGATATTTCTGATTGTAATCGTCGAGGCTAGGAAAGTGGTCCATTTGAGTACCCAATCTCTAGGTCGTATACGGAGGTAAACATGCGCGAGCTAAGGATGCATGCCACTGAGTCAGAGAAAGCTCGAGAGCAAGAGCAATTCAAACGAGTCTCGGAATATCGGATGCTGACCTGCGTGGCTGAGTATGCTAGGCTTACGACCCTCTTCTATCGAAAACCCTTGCAGTTAGTGCAGCATTTACTCGTGAACACGTGCTTAGCGTATTGGCAGAGATGCCTACAATATTGGCACATGCATGCAGCGTGGTCTCCGCTCCCGGCCGAATGTCAAGAAGACTATTGCTTAATTGATGCTCGCCTACTGCAATCCCTCATCGGCATGCAGAACTATCTCTTATTTCGTCTTAGGTGGATCTGCAGGCTCTGCACGGCAGCCTTGATTGCGCCTTGCGCCTGCGCCACCCTTCCCAGCACCCACCACATTCGTCACCCCACAACATCCTGTACACCGACTAATTAAAATCTCGTATGTGTTGGCAGGCGCGCGATCCGTTTACTAACTTGTCACTCCCTTCATGCAAGATTGAGTCTTCTGATCTCAGAAATTCTATCTCTGCTGTACTGCAACACTTTGAAGAAAACTGAAGAATTACCATGTCTCTATGCATACCGTGTAAAGATTTCATCAGCAAGCATTTACATTGGGACGTCGTTTCAGACAGCAGGGGATGTTGCTTCACTTCACATGCCTGGTCTACCGACGAACGTTGACCTGAAATCTTCCTTTGCTCTGCCGACCATGGGTGCTATATTTGCACGCGACTCTTCGGCAAACTATCAGAACACCTCCAATCACAGCTAAGAGGACTCAAAGGGCCGCTTCCTCGAAACAAGAGGCACGGGAGCTGCCACGGAATCCCACAGCCGTGCGAATCTCGTGATGGTCCTCCGGTGGTATTCATGGGCTACAGAGGTTCTGGGCCCTCTTTCGGCATATGTTTCTGGTTTGGGGATGAGTTTCATCCATGTGCTCATTCCGAAGGCCGCATCATGAATCTCACTGATCAAGCATTGTCGGAGTTAAGCTGGAGGATCACCTCGAGCTCAACAGGTTCCGAAGAGACGTTAACAAGAATCGATGAATGGCTAGGACGTTGCAACTCCTGGCACAAGCAATGCCTCCACCATCGAGAGCAACAGGCGAAGGGCTGGCATCCGACTCGACTGCTTCATTTCAGCTCTTTCAACGGCCAAGAGGGACAGGATCTCAGGTTACGAATCGTACACAGGACCCATGTGTCTGCGGGCAGTCAGTATGCTACTCTGAGCCACCGTTGGGGAAACGTAAATATGGCGAAGCTCACCGTCGACAATTTATCACCGTGGACACTGGACGTGCCGATAGAAATGCTTCCTCGGACTTTTCTAGATGCCGCTCAAGTAGCTAAGCGTCTTGGAATCAATTACCTCTGGGTCGATTGTCTTTGCATCATCCAAGAGGGCGACAAGCTTGAGGATTGGAAGAAAGAGGCTCCAACGATGCAGGATGTATATTCAAATGCATGTTTCAACATTTGTGCTTCGTGGGGACTTGAAATAGGCGGGTTATTTGCGACAAGAGACCCAGCCAAAGTGGAACGTGTGTCTTTCGAGATATGGTCCAAAGCTGGGCAGAAGAAGGACTTTCTTCTGGTGTCGACTGAAGAGGGCGATAGGACCTGGGAGGAGCTGGTTGAGCATTCTCCCTTGGCTAGCCGCGGTTGGGTATTTCAAGAGCGGTTGCTCACTCCTAGGAACATCTTCTTCTGCAAGGGAACTGTTCTATACGAGTGTTATGAGCAACGCTGGAGCGAATCCAGGGGGAAAGGCGCCATACATTTGAACCCAAGTTTGCACCGCGATTCCGCCATTGACAATATTACCTCATTACCCAACATTAAGACATTGCTGCCGACCAGTAGGCTCGCCAGCGGTGGAGATATGTACCAGACCTGGTACACCTTGGTGGAGAAGTCCTCGGGCACAGAGCTTACCTTCACCGAGGACAGGCTTGCAGCCGTAGCAGGCATCGCTCAGCGGTTCAGCACGCTTCTCAAAAACGATTTATACGTAGCAGGATTATGGCTCAGTCGCCTATTTCTCGATATGCTTTGGAAACACGTGGAAATCACGCCTGATCCTGAGCTGCATAATGCCTCCCCAAGGCCAACGCAGCTGACGTTCTCATGGATCTCCGGCTACCAGGTTAGAATAAGGGAAAATGACCTGGAAGGGGAGGAGCCGGACGAGAAGTTTATCTTGCCACAGATCACGTATGTCAAATGGCGTACTAGTAAGGACACGGGCGCTAAAGAGCATTTATTCAGTGAAGATATCATCATGCTTCCATCAACGCCGATCATCGAGATCATGGTTCGGGGTGTTTTGAAGCGGATGATACTTCGAAGAGGTCCCCAAATGTTTCATGTGTTTCCTGTTGGTCCTATTGGGGTTGCTAAGCCGAGAAAGAACCTGAAGGCTCTGAAGAGACGTGAAGAAGACTCGGAAGCTCGGCAAAGCCTATTTGTCTCGGCCGGGCTCGATTTTGCAGCGACCGAAGCAGACATCTCAGCCCTGAACGACTCAGGAAAACTGTTCTATATGCCTTGGTACGACAATGTTGACCGAGACGAGACAGCTATGGTCTTTCTAACACTTACTGTTTGCTACTCGAACTTGTGTGTGGCAAGATGGGGAGATTCCGGCGGATAGGCTTGCTAAACTTTGGGCAAAAGTTCCGCGATCTGTACTTCGCGTCACAAGTCGGTGAGCAAGATGACCCAAGTTGGGAATATGACCAGAATACTGGGGAGCGTACCATCTTTATAGTGTAGCTCACTGTACGTGTCAACTTGATGAGGGCGCACAATCACGGCAGACGTGTGAAACGATGCTGCTCGCGGGCGGTTGAAGTTCAGCATCCTGCGTCGAGATGGGACAAGTCTCAGTGTCTAAAGGGTTGAGGGGTTGAAGATTGCCGATCTCAGAATCGTTCCGCGGAACGTCGTGGCCAAGACTAACAAACTTGGAACGCTCTGGCGGTTGGCGAGAGGGCGGCGGATATTTTTATCAAGGAACTGGGGCATGGCTCTGTCTAATTTTCTGGATCTGAGGATCATTTCTTCTTTCCTATATGCACTTGATACAATGCAGACCATATAGAACCATTGAGTGATGCAGCAGATACATTTACCAAGATGTCCGTCAGCGACTGTGAGTAATTTGAAACAACACAAACTGACCAGTCCAACGAGTGTACAAGAAGATCTATTCTTCTGACCCCCTGTGACCATTAATCCAACGTCTTGACTTGTGTCAAAATTCTTTGAGTCGCAATGTCTTTGCCTGATCGCAGGCGTCTACACAGTGTATCGGAAAAACGGCGCGTTGTCAGCCAGCTCCTGTTCAAGTGCCTTCTGCTCCTCCGTCAACTCCTGACCCGCTACCTCGCCCGAAACCCGGTCCCGGCGAGCATTCTCAATTCGATACCAGATGGTCATGGATAGGGTCAGCAGAAATGCAAGGCTGGGGCACGTATGTGGTCAGTAATGTAGTAGACACACCAGGGACGTGATCACGCCGAGGGCAGATACTCACCAGATGATGCCGATCAAAATACTGTGTCCCGTGATGTATCGAGGCCCATCCCTGGTCAGGTACACATATGACGCTATGATACCACCACAGTTGCCACCCATCACCTGCATGGCGATACCTGTCCCTCGCTTCAGGGACCCACCAATGTTGCCGCTATTCCACGCCATAGCGAGAGGAACCGTGGGATAGACTCCGATAGCAGCCAGGACCAGTCCGCCGTATTGGGCCGAGTGGTTGCTTGTGCCCGCCAGAAGGGCGAAGCCAGCAATACCGGTGAGCTGGAACCCGAGCAGGAAGATGCCGCGCTGCTTGACGCGGTCCGCCGCGTAGCTGGCCGCGATCGTGAAAGCACAGGCACAGACATAGGGCGGCACACTCATGAGCTGTGCATTGTTGGCGGTGTACCCCATGCCCTTGATAATGGTCGGCGAGAACAGGGCGATGGAGTAAATTGGGCAAAACCCAGCGAGGAAGATGCCGCAGTGCATGTAGATCTTCCAGTCGCCGATGGCCTGCCACACATACTTCATGTGGAATACCTCGGAGAGGTGCCCATCGTCGACGCGCAGGCGTCTCACCACCTCCGTCCGCTCGCTTTCGCTCAGAAACGTGGCCGTCGAGGGGTAGTCGTTGATGGCCCAGTACGCAGTGAACGAGACCAAGATGCTCAGCAGGCCCTCGAGGATGAAGATCCACGACCAGGCCGACAGGCCGCCGATGCCGCTCATCTCGGCGATGCCCCTGGCCAGGATACCGCCAAAGGCGCCGGCCAGCGTGGCGGCGGAGAAGAAGAGGGCCATGCGGAAGCCGCACTCGTGCCGGCAGTACCACTGCGTGATGTAGTAGTTGACTCCCGGGAACAGGCCGCCCTCGAAGGCGCCGAGGAAGACCCGCGTGGCCATAAGGCCTGAGTAGTTCTTGACGAAGCCCTGGCCGATCATGCTGGCTGACCAGCCGACCATGATGAAGGTAAGCCAGATGGACGGGCGGGTGCGTTTCATCATCATGTTGGATGGGATTTCGGCGGCACTGGCAGAATGGCGATTGTCAGTACAGATGCGTTGAGTCACTCAGATTGTGAGTTGCTGTTTAACTTACATGTAAAACGGGAAGAGAATGGCAAGGCAGTCATTGTATTGCAGTCCTTTCAGATTGAGATCTTGCTCGAGGTGGTCAAGGCGGGCATTTCCAATGTTAGTGCGATCCAGGAAACAGAGTCTACCTCTTATGGTTAATAATCCACTTCGACAGACAGTGACTTAGAGTACAATGAGTTACTAACAAATAAATGAGTGACATGAACGGAATGATGTGCCAGTCCAACTTTCGCAAGAGCTTTCTGGTGGCGCTGCGGTCGTATGCGACGGCCTCGTTGATTTCGACAACAGAAGCAGTGGCCGAAATATCGGTAGGCTCAAAGGCCGCCTTTTCCTTTATTGAAGGTACCATGCTTGCTCGTTAAATACAGCTCGGGGTGCCGACAGGGTAGGTCCTTCCTCGGTTCCAAGGGAAATATGTGTAGAGAACAAGTCGCAGAGAAGCAAGAAGGGTCGCGCTCGAGTTGTACAGCGGGGTGACAAGATTTAAATAAACCGTTGAAATTTTATCGCAAGCCTGTGAGTAAGCCCCTGGTCATGTATTTATGAGTATTCCACCCAACCTTGTCGGCGATGGCATCCAGTAATCCTTCGCGCCCCTTCCCCGTCCTGCCGTAGCTCATATTCCAGCGCCACTTGGCAACTGGGCGCTTCGCATCGTGGCCATACAAAGCGCAGCTTATCGGTCAGGTCGCTGTCGCTGGAATGCAGGTCAGATTCTAGACTTCCCTGCCGCGGGTCGCACAACAGGCACAATCGCTCAATACGTCTTAGACAAGGGCTCACTTTCAGCAAGCCACAGCGCCATGCTAGACCTAGCGGCCGAATCCTCCCCGCCCCTTGGCGAGGAATGAGCTGTCCCAGTTGAACCAGTTTCCGGGGAAGCCAAGCTGACGGTAGTTGGTGTTGGTGTGCCGCCAACAAGCTCCTGTTGGGCTCTCGGGCGTGGCGGACGGCTTATCTGCTGCCAATAGCTCCCGTGGCCAAGATATCCCCACAATGCTTAGTCGATGTCAAGACTTCCCAAGACACTAGAGTTCGAAGCCGGATCCTTCGCCCAACGACAGCGCATTAATGGCTCCGATGTATGCTATTCTCAAGTGAGGAGATTCATTGAATGTTTTGAAATGACGTGTGCTATTTGTAACGGGCATCTGTTATGGAGTCTGTGTTGGTGTATTGCTCTTGGCTGAAAGAAAAATCAATTATTTGCGCAGACTTTAGCTGCACGGGCAGATATCACTGGCAGGTAGCACGCCAAGGTTGCAGCACACTTGCATTGGTCACCTACTAAATGGGATTTGGAAGCGACACTAGCGACGCAAGTAATCCAACACTATGGCTCGACAGGATTTCCAGCCGTACAGGTGAGCCAGGCTGACAAGATGGACTAAATAGACCATATTTTGTTCCAGGAGATGGCTCTAGACTAGGACAGCTTTGCAGCAGTCGGTCCAAATACTCATTCCCTGGATAGCTACAGCAGCTCACGCTCATATTCCAACATACCACATTTGACGGGCCTTGGATATCAAGCATCTCACTATGCTCATCAGCCAGGAACCAGCTGTGCTGGCTACTTCAAAATTCGCACGATTATGACAGTCCAATCTCTCAGCTCCATAACTGATTCGAATTCTCAAAAAGGTGGGAGGGGGCTCTAGCCTCTTGCCATGTGTTCTATGGTGAGGTGAGATGAAAACGACACGACTTTTCCAAGTTGAATCCCACTTCTGGCCGCCTAAACGATTGACAAATCCAACGATTTTCCCCATTCAAACCTTAGAAGAAATATGACGACACCTCGGCTTTCACCACCTTGTAGCTTTCCTCGAAAGCTTGCACAAGCTCATCAGGGAGCGGACCCATCTCAAGAGCAACGAGATTCTCCTCGAGTTGTCCGGCCGAGCTCGCCGAGGTGATGATAGCATCACCGGATTCCCCGGCCAATTTACTGTGGTGATTGACCCATCTGAGAGCTGCCTGTGCCGTTGTGAGCCCTAAGCTCTTGGCTAGCGGGCGAACTTTGTCCAGAGCATCAAAATGCGCGTCGTTCCAGTACTTCTTTCTGTACAGAGCACCTTGTGCACGATGAGGGTCGAATCGATCACCCTCCTGGGCGTCCGTTTCTCGCTGATACCGGTCTGTCAGAAACCCTCCAGCGAGAGGGTTGTAGGCGTAGAAAGCGATGCCATATTGTCTCAGTGCCGGGAAGAGCTCTGGCTCGACAGCTCGGTGCAGCGCGTTGTAGACCCCCTGGTACACGTCGATCTTTTTCCACCCATTACGACGGATCGTCTCGCTCATCTGTGCCACCTCCCATGCTGCAAAGTTGCTGATACCGAACCGGGTGAAATATCCCTCGTTGTATAGATCGTTGACTTCACGAAGTGTTTGTTCGTAAGGTTTGTTGCGGTCTGGCCCGTGGAGATACAAGAGATCCACTTTATCTGTCTTCAGAGCGCTCATGCTTTCAACCATCAAATCGCGCAGCGTCTTGCCTCTCGTATCCAGGAACGGTGGTATGTGGACGCCGGTAGGAGGCAGTTTCGTAGCCACAGCGATACCGCGAGACTTGCAATTTAGTTGTGCCAGATATTCCTCGGAGCTGCCACCCGCATAGGTACGCGCCGTGTCCACTTCTGAGTGTCCGTGGCTTTGGAAGACGTCTAGAATCTTTGCTGCGACTTCCAGATCGTGTACGCGGGCTTGCTCGGCGCCTGTGTTGATTCATGATAAGTAAGCAGTTGTCGCTAGTCCTAGCAAACGTCAGGACCTTCATACCTTTTTGACCAAAAGTCATTGCGCCGAAGACAATCTTTGTCCGTGACTGCGAGGGAGCCGCCATGTTGTCGATGATATACAGGGATTTGTCGATTGCTGGTGTAGATAGAGTCTCAAATCGGCCTTGACATTTGAATAGATAAACTGCATTTATAGACCACAAATCCCTTTGTCCTTGTGCAGAAATTCCATTTAGAAGATGTCGTGCGATCCGGACTTAGGAATTCACTGACTCTGTCGTCCGTGAAAAGTGAGCGTCGCATCGTCAGCAGTCATGTAACACCAGATGACATGTTTCCCCGGAATACTCAGGCTATGTCGCCGATGCCCAGGTTATTTTGCATTGACGGCAAACGGATCAGGATTATGCTCCGAATTCCGTGTTGCGGTTCCTCCAAAACTGTGGAAATTGTGGGCCGTTTGTGGCTGTCGGGCTTAAGGTCCTGATCAAGCCCGGTACCACGACCTCCTACATGTGGAATCAATTTAACCAAGGACAGGACAGAGAGGCTTTGCAAACACTAAGGGCACGACATGATTCCAAATATCCACTGTTATGTAACCTTGGGCTGCACTATGAGCCGGAGATAAGGTACACGGTCGGTTCAACCTTGTGAGGTGAAGGGCGAGATTATCGGGACTTGGTGCTGTGCCAGGTGGACACTCTTCATCATTTTTTGGCATGTTTCCAAAATCTAACTCATCAGTCTAGAATTGAATCGGTAGGATGATCACCGAAAGCTTGTTTGTAGGCCCTATACACTTCACAAATACTTCTGCAAGAGAGAGAGCCTCTTCCTCGCTTTAGCTACGCATGCTATTAATCAGGGTTGATATTAGTTAAATTAGTTTAGTTAATTTTAAAAACTAACTAATTTATTTTAGTTAATCTTATTAACTAAAACTAAATTAACTAACTAAAAAACTAACTAAATTAACTAAAAAACTAAGAAAAAAAGCGGGGCTAATATTAATTAAAGTTTTAAAAATATTTAAATAATTATAAGCCTATTAAATATTAAGAAGAATATTAAGAAAATATTAAAAAATATTAAAAAATATTAAAAAATATTAAAAAATATTAAACAATATTAAAAGAATTAAAAGAATTAAATAAATAAATAAAAAACTTAAAAAAAGTTATTTTTAAGGTAATTTAAACCCCTAGCTACTAGCATATTATACGGCATATTGTTATGGGCTAGCCTTGGGTCGTTTGCTATAAGGTATCTAAATAGGGTTTATATTTAAAGTGCAAAGGAGAAGGTTTACTTCCCGTTTATATCTGCGCTAAAGCCTATTTTTATAAGGCCAAAGCCTATTAACTAATTATAATAAGCAAAGCCCAAACCATAATATATCCTCCTTCTCTAAGTTCCTATAACAAGCTTTAAAGGGCAGCTATATAATAAAAAATAAAGGATATTATGGTTTAATTATAAATTAAATATTACTTTTTACTTAGCCATTTAATTATACCTTAGCGCTTCTTAACTACGCTAAAAGCTCAGCCCATTATCTATAATTAACACACTTTAACCCTTATAATTTAATATATTAGCTAAAGCAAGCTAATAAAAAATAATTATTTAAGCATAAGCTAGCAGCTAAATTAATAGCATTCCTATAATCCTTTAATGCAAGCCTTTTATATAAGCTTCCTTACCTAAAACCTTAAAATTATAAATTTATTATATAATTTGCAATTAATTAATACTTAATTATAAGCAATTTACTTTATTAATAAGAATTTCCTAAATTTTAAGCATTTTTATAAAGCTAAATTAACTAACATATAGCTAATTTGCTTTAAATCCAAGTCAGCGCTAAGCTAGCATTGCTTTTAAACTCTACCCTATAAAAAAAATTTTACACCCCCTTAAATAAATTCCTCCCCCTTGCTAGCCTTAATTAATAAAAGCTATACTCTTATTTTCTCATAATAATTAAAGTAATTATACTTATAATAGCTAAGTTAACTATATATAAAATACTTAACTTTACTTATTAAGACCATTATAATATTAATATTCATTACTTTATTATTTTAAGGTTAAGTATTATTCTTCTTTATTATAGTGCTAAAAATATCTTTATATTGCTATAAAGCAAAATAAAAAGCCTTAAATATATTTAATTATTCCTTATAATTAAGCTAAGCTTTTATTATAAAGATTAAGCTATTAGCTATTAATAATATTTTATACTTATTTAGCTAACTTTAAGCCTTTGCTATATAAATTAATTAATTAAATTAAGCAAGAAATTTTACTATCCCCTTCTTATAACGCTATTATAACGTAATTAAGCTAAGCTTAATATACCTTTGCTTAAAAGGGTTCTTAAGCATAAGGCAAACCTTTTTTAAAAAGCTTTCTAGCTATTCTTTAAATATTTTTATAAGATTAATATAAGGTAAAAATTAATTATGGAAAGTTCTTAGTTAACTAAATATATAAAAGAATTAAGCCCCTTTAGCGCTAATTACCTCCCTATTTATTGCAAACTTAATCCTTATCTTTATTAACTAAGTTACTAAGTATTCTTAAAATAAAAGTTCCTTTAAATAAAAAAAAGCTTAATAAGCTATTATTATTCTTTTTAAGTCTTGCTATATTAGGTTTTATATAATTATATTATAGGTTTATAATATACAAAAACTTTAAATATATATTATGGGCTAGCCTTAAGTTATTTACTATAAGGTGTTTAAATAGGATTTATATTTAAAGTATAAAGAAAAAGGTTTACTCCCTGTTTATATCCACGTTAAAGCCTATTCTTATAAGGCCAAAGCCCACTAATTAATTACAATGGGTAAAGCCCAAACCGTAATATATATAATTATAAGCAAGGGATTTACGTTGCATTTATATATTATGAGATTAATAAGCATTATTATGATTATCACGGGCAATTATTATAAATTTTATTAACGCTATATACTATTATATTATATACATTATAAAATTACGAAATATATGTGATTCGGCTTCCTTATAAGTGCGTATAATGTATAGTATATAGCATATAATATATCTGCGGCCCCCCTCTTTCCCCCTACCCTTAGCGTAACTACTTATATAAAGCAATTAATTTCTTAGTAAGTTTTTAGGCTAGCTATATAAAAAATATATACTTAAATTGCTCTTTTCTTTTATATTATATATATAATATTTACAAAATAGCTTATCTCTCTAGAAAAATAAATACTTTATAATAATAAATAATAAGAAATATATTTTAAAAATAAAATAAAAATACATAAGTATTAACAACTGCTTTAAAACTATATAGTTATTAAAAGAATAAATAAGATAAATATATAGCGAAATGTATAATTTACTCTTAAAATAGCTTATAATCAAAGCATTATATTAATAAATTAATGGATAACCCTGCTTCTTAAAGTTTAAATAATATAATAAAACCTAAATTATTAAGTTTTAAAATATCCATTAAGGCCCTTAATAACTATAAATTAATATAATGTTAGCTATAGCTTTTTAAAGAAAATAAACTAATCTTTTTCTAACGGTAACCTAGGTAGTTACTATAGTTATATGCTTTACCGCTAAACTATAGTGACTATTTACAAAAAAAAAAAAAAAGCTTATAAACCATATTTAATATTTAAGAAAGAAAAATATATATTTAATATTATTAAAGAAAAATTTATTTATTAAAAGTATTTTATATATTAATAATCTTTAAATTTTATTATATTTAATGAAACTTTAAATATTTATTAAATATTATTATATAAAAGAATGCAAGGTTATAAAGTTTTATTATTATTATTAATATATAAGTTATATAAGCTTATTAAGCAACCCCACTCTTTTTAAGGGTATGAGTTTAAGCTTATATATATATTATATTATATTTATTATTATTAAATACTATGAAATTTTATCTTTAAAACTATATATTTATTATATATATAATGTTATTATTAAATATAATAAAATTATTTTAAATTCTTTTTATTTTTTTACTTTTATTTCCTTTATTTTATTATTATTATTATAATGCTTATAAGTATTAAAATAAATATATTAAATAATAAATATTTTTATAAGCTTATAAAGCTTAAAATGCTTTATAAATCTTATAAAACTCTTATTTTTATAAAGCTAATAAGCATTAAAATAAACACATTAAATAACCACTATTTTTATAGGGCTTATAAGGGCTAAAAATGCCTTATAACCCCTAAATAATAACTATTTTTATAAGGCTTATAATAATTAAAATAAGCATAATAATTTATATTTTAAAAAATATAAAGAATT